TGATACTTTCTTCGTCAATAATATAGTTCCGTGTTGTCTTCAGGATATAGTTTAGCTGCAGTAGATAAATCTGGTAAAATAGTTGGAGTTAGAGCTGGAGATGTAGTGGAATCTAACGATAGGGTTGGAAGGTGAGTACACGCAGAATACAAGGGACTATTCACGCTAATCTCAACTGATTCTATAGCTTATGAGTGTCATCAATGACCCCAAACATTAAATTAATCGAAAATAAAAGTAAACTTAATTTTAAGTGTCCGCTTGTTAATAATTACGTGAGAATGTTGCCCTTTAATCTTGTATCTGAGCAACTTGTCTCCTTTCAATATCTATCTGTCTTTAAAATTGTTGAATTCTGTCATTTTTTTCTTTGTCGCTGCTGCTGGGGGGAGGGGAGCACCAATTCTCCGGGTGAAGGGATCGGAGGAAGGATCAAATATCTAGGTGAAGAGAGGGGGATGATCAATTCTAAGTAAAGAGAGGGGGAAGGATCAAATATCTAGGTGAAGGGAGGGGGATGATCAATTCTAAGTGAAGGAAGGAGGAAGGATCAATTATCTGGGTGAAGGGTGGGGGATGATTGATCAATTCTAAGTGGGGAAGGATCAAATATCTAGGTGAAGGGAGGGGGATGATCAATTCTAAGAGAAGGGAGGGGGAAGGATCAATTCTCTGGGGAGGATCAACTACCTACCAAAAGTCTAATTTTTTTAAGGTTTCTGGAGAACAGCAGTTTATTTAGAAAATTCATCGTAACGTGGGCCAATTATTCAACAAATAAGGTAGAAACTAAAACAGCGTAAGAGTAATTTTGAGGGTTCGTTCATTCAAAAATGGAGAGATTACTTTTTAAAACATGGGTACTAGGAAGGAGAAAAGGAAAGGTTTAGAAATAAAATGATCTTTAAAATTGTTGATTATTATCATAAAAATCGAAAATGTGATGAGAAAATTTTAAAATATATATTTTGATTTGAACATTTTAACCTTTTATAAAACACTTAGCTTATCTTTAACTGACAAATTCTAAAATAAGGGAAGATTTTTGAACTGATTATTTTCGATGATAAGATTAATTTTTATTTTCTTAACATGTTCCTATACATGACGTCTGTACTTTATTGTATAACTTTCTACATTTTATGTCGTCGTTATTTAATAATCTCAAAAAACTAATTCTTAAAGCGTATCCACACCCAAAGTAGGAGTTTTGAACGTCGATTTTGCGCTCAAACTCAGGATTTACAGATTTTTAAAAAGTTTAATATGTCTCAAATAATTCCGAAAGAAGATTTCCACAACACTGCATACTCAGTTCAACTACCTTACAAAGCCGGTCACTCCCTTTAAATGGGTACGAATAATTAAACTACTTCTCAGTACACTTCGATTACACCAGAGTACCAATTTTACTCTCGTTTCCTTACTTACTTACTTCTTACTATTCATTTGGACATTTTTTAAAGATATGTTAAAACAGATTAAACAGGGGCAATACCAGATTTACAACGCTACCCTTTTAAACCTTAATCTGATCCAATATGAGAAGGATAACGTCATTTTTCTGACTCGAAAAGAGTTAAATTCTGATAATTTCTCAGCTGTTTCTTATAAGTAAGAAATACGCAAGTCAATTTGCAGAGAAACACTATTGTAAGTCGGGCATGTAATCTCTATTCTCTAATCGTAGAGTCACGTGATATCACTATAAAAAATGTTTGTTGGTTATCAATGTATGATTTTTATGTTCTCAATGTATAAAAAATGTTGTTGGTTATCAATGGAAGAAAATGTTTGTTGGTTCTCAATGTGAGAAAAAATGTTTGTTGGTTATCAATGTATGAAAAATGTTTGTTGGTTCTCAATGTATGAACATTTTTTGTTAGTTCTCAATGTATGAACATTTGTTGTTGGTTTTTACTATATGAAAATGTTTTCTGGTTCTCACTGTAAGACATTGTTTGTTGGTTATCAACGTATGAAAATGTTTGTTGGTTATCAACGTATGACAATGTTTGTTGGTTTTCACTGTATGAAAATGTTTGTTGGTTATCACTGTATGAAAATTTTTGTTGTTTATTAACGTATGCAGAAAATGTTTGTTGGTTATCACTGTTTGAAAATATTTGTTGGTTATCAATGAATGAAAATGTTTGTTGGTTATCAATGTATGACAATGTTTGTTGTTTATCAATGTATGAAAAATGTTTGTTGGTTATCAATGTATGAAAATGTTTGTGGGTTATCAATGTATGAAAATGTTTGCTGGTTATCACTGTATGAAAATGTTTGTTGGTCATCAACGTATGAAAATGTTTGTTGGTTATCACTGTATGAAAATGTTTGTTGGTTATCACTGTATGAAAAAAGTTTGTTGGTTATCACTGTATGAAAATGTTTGTTGGTTATCACTGTATGAAAAAAGTTTGTTGATTATCAACGTATGAAAAATGTTTGTTGGTTCTCAATGTATGAAAAATGTTTGTTGGTTCTCAATGTATGAAAAATGTTTGTTGGTTATCAACGTATGCAGAAAATTTTTGTTGGTTATCAACGTATGAAAATGTTTGTTGGTTCTCAATGTATGAAAAATGTTTGATGGTTCTCAATGTATGAAAAATGTTTGTTGGTTTTTTCAATGTATGCAGAAAATGTTTGTTGGTTATCAATGTATGAAAATGTTTGTTGGTTATCAACGTATGCAGAAAATGTTTGTTGTTTATAAAAAATATGTTTAGGACAACTTTGATGTATTTTTCCAGCTGAGGGAGAAATTAAATCACAACACATTCACCTTCATGGACGAGGTAAGCAGGGTGAAAATATATTCAATTTTTCATTTCATTTAATTTTTTATTTTAGATCGTAGTTTTTCATATTTTAACTCTCATTTCTTTCCTAAATTCTTTTTTATTTCCCCATACTTTTTTATATACTAATGCATTTCAAAATCCCTCCATATGTTCCCCTTTTCTTATAATCTCGTAAACCCCGCGAAGCCCTGGTTACTCCTAGTTAAACACGCCCTTTATCTGGACTTAGTCTTAAAATTACGATTTAAGCTATTTTTCCCTTGAAAAGTAAACCCACTCAACTTGGAATCTCAGAACCAAGCTAAGAACATCGTTACCCAATGAATACATTTGAGGCAAATATATCATGACTCCTTGTGTTCCTGAGTTATGATCGAACATAAAAACAAACAGAGATTACTACTTTATCTATATTTATAAAGGGATTGTATTATCCAGGTTGGTGCTTCTAAAGTGTATGATGCAAAGCTTCTCTGTACAAGTAAGACAACAAGATCTAAGGGACTTGGCACAAAATTGGTAGAAAGGTAAAATTTAGAAGGGTTTCTATTTAATTTGTGCAGTTCACAATGTACATTCGAGGTCCCTTTAAGATATGATAAATTTCCATAAACTAATGATGCACAAATGTCCCTTTAACTATTGATGTACCATTGATAACCTTTTAGCTATTGATATTGTTAGGTTCATTAACCTATCATGTACTAGGGTCCCATTATGTAATGATATACTAAAGCCACTTCATCCATTGATGTACATAGGTCCCTTTAACCAATGATGTACCTAGGTCGGCTCAGTTTCATTTGCCATAATACTTTTGCCATAATTATACTTGCCATAATACTTTTGCCATAAGTGACACTTGCCATAAGTTACACTTGCCATAATGGTTACACTTGCCATAATTACACTTGCTATAATTACTTTTGTCATAATTTTCTAATTTCTAAAAAGATGAAAATCGGTCTTTTTTTATTGCAAATGCGGGAAATTTTCCCATGAAAATTCCCAACTTTAGTTTTCTCATTGTTTTAAAACAGAACAGTTGACACAAGTTCAGCTCCATATTTTCTCATAATGAAGGACCCTTTGGTTACCTTTGAGACCACAAGTAAGGGTAAACCAATGGTTCGAGACAGCAACAACTACACCTATGTAGCCAATGCCTTGTCTACAGCAGTGAAGTACTGGAAATGTTCGGTTAAAATGTGCTCAGCTAGAATTCAAACCCGAATTTCTCCCTCCAACCTATGAGAGGATTGCTAACATTGTCCTACAGTATAATACTCTTCCCATAGAAGAGTGCCTAAACCTGATAGCTCATGAACTGTCTCTGCATTAGATTTGTAATTTGTATTCAATTTGTAATTGTAAAAGAAAATATAAATATATGTTTGTTAATTCAAACCATATTTAATTTTAATTATGGCAAGAGTAATTATGGCAAGTGTAATTATGGCAAGTGTAACCATTATGGCAAGTGTAACTTATGGCAAGTGTGACTTATGGCAAGTGTTACTTATGGCAAATGTATTATGGCAAATGTAATTATGGCAAAAATAATTATGGCAAAATATTATGGCAAATGAAACTGAGCCCCTAGGTCCCTTTAACCAATGATGTACCTAGGTCCCTAAAACCAATGATGTACCTAGGTCCCTCTAACCAATGATGTATTAAGGCCCATTTAATCAATGATGTACCTAGGTCCCTTTAACCAATGATGTATTAAGGCCCATTTCATCAATGATGTACCAAGGTTCCTTTAACCAATGATGTATTAAGGCCCATTTAACCAATGATCTACATAGGGCCATCTAATCAATGATGCACCAAGGGCTCTTTAACCAACGATGTACCTAGGTCTCTTTATCCAATGATGTACCTAGGTCCCTTTGTCCAACGATGTATTATGGCCCATTAAACAAATGATGTACCAAGGGCCATTTCACCAGTAATGATGTATTAAGGCCCATATCAATGATGTACCTAGATCCCTTTAACCAATGATGTATTAAGGCCCATTAAACCAATGATGTACCATGGACCATTTCACCAGTAATGTAACTAGGTCCCTTTAACCAATGATTTATTAAGGCCCATATCAATGATGTACCTAGGTCCCTTTAACCAATGATGTATTAAGGCCCATTTAACCAATGATGTACCAAGGACCATTTCACCAATATTGTACCTATGTCCCTTTAACCAATGATGTACCTAAGACCATTTCACCAATAATGTACCTAGGTCCCGTCCAATGATGTATTTAGACGGCCATTTAATCAATGATGTACCATAGGGACATTTCACCAATAATGTACCTAGGTCCCTTTAACCAATGATGTACTTAGGAGGCCATTTAATCAAAGATGTACTACAAAAGTCCCTTTAACCAATGATGTGCTTAGGCGGCCATTTAATCAATGACGTACTTCAATAGTCCCTTTAACCAATGATGTACTTAGGCGGCCATTTAATCAATGATGTACTTCAAAATTCCCTTTAACCCATAATATCCCAAGGTCCTTGGAGATAGCTAAGGAGTATGGATGTGAGTATCAATATGTATTTGCTACAGGAATATACTCTAATAGGTAAAACATAAAAAACCTATTTCTTCAGGGCTCCTTAAAAATGGGGGAGGAATAATGGAAAAATTGCTGGGAGGGGGAAAATGTTGTGCCCCCTGCTACCTTTCCATTTCGATCCATGAAAGAACCATTTACTAATTTTTGACTGATAAAAGGGTGCCGCAGGATTTTTTTCTTTAACAGCCCTCAATTTTCCATGAGTCGACGTCGACAATAAATCCTTAAGCCGCCTCTGTTTTTTGATTTTGAACCATTTAACAAAATCCTCGAATTTAGGAAGTAAAGAATCTTGTTAAGAATGAAATAAATAAAAAGTATTTAAATTTGTTAAATTTTCTATTTATATTTGAGGGTATTTGATAAGCTTGGGTTTGATGTACGGAGTGAAGTGGTGTATGCTGATTTCAAGGATAAGGAGGGGAAACTACTTCTCAGGGAAAACAAATAGATCATATTTTAAAAAGATATTTCTGCAAAGAAAATATAAACGGATTGTTCACCTATTTCTAAATCACACTGACGTAACTTATTTTTAAAAAAGTCTCTCATCTTAAGTTTGAAAAATGTCTCTGAAAGGAAAACACATTTTTCAGCGCTTTAAATATTCATATTTACAAGTAATATACGTTGAGAGACAGATTTTTGTCAGGTGAACCTCTTTAGCAACAATGTCAAGGATTCAGTTCGGAATTGTTGAAGTAACACTTTAATGAAAGGATCACTTAAAAAAAGGTTAACTACTCACTGACAAAAAAATTAATAAAACATTTCATTCCAAAGTTTAAATAAACGTCATGATTAGAATATTGTATTTGTACAGTGATAACCATTAAACAATGAAATAGGAAGACGACATTTGATGGAAATAGTTACACTACAGACTTACTAAATCACAAATTTAGTGCCGTGGATCTGTTTACACTGCACACTTATGATGTCCTATGGTCATCGGACTTTTGAAGTTATTGTTTTACAAGTCGTCTTCCTATTTGAGATTTTCTGGTTTTCACTGTATAAAAAATAGAAATTAGTATTTTAACTATTGAAAAAAATTTCAAATTTTATTGATTTTATTTTGACGATCTATTCTTTCTACAGTAATACGGCTCCGCACGACAGGGTGAAGGTTCGAACCAAGAAGATAGAATAGAAGCATCCTTTTGACCTTATTAAGTTGCTATGACAGATCCCAGTGATATTTTCTATTAGTTTTCCTTGATCAAAATCCATCAGGTTTTCCTGCTTTTTTATGCTTAATTTTTACTGTTGTTTATTCCGATAAAATATAGGGGTGTATATTTCCCTTAATATTATCCCCCCCTCTCCCAGAAATTAAAAAACTTTCTTAAGGTTTTATTGCTGCATTGGGGAAAATAAATTATTTTTTTGTGGAAAAAGTATCAAAAAGAATGAAAAAAATTGCCTTCTGCTGTCCCATTTTTCATTTTCCCTAAATCATCCCNTTCTGAAACATATACACTCCTGTGCAGTGAAAATGTGTTACAAAACAATTAGGAAATAAGTTTAATTGTTAAATAAAGTCAATATATATGTATGTTATCCAATTCATAATAGTAAATAAATATAAAAAACTAGATTAAATTTTACCATCTTTTGACCAGCACTACCAACCCATGATTCCCGGGATGTAAAGATACTAAACGGTCCCTTGGGACAATTTTTTGAGAAAAATAAAAAGCGATTTTAACCTAAACAACGATTTCGGAAAATTTGAATTTCGATAAAAAGTAAAATTCCATGAATTTTCTTGTAAAGATGATAATTAAAATTGTTATTTCTTTATCAATATTGCGTTATTCTAAAATTCAAGACATTTGGTGATGAATGTTGGCACTTTTCGGAATATATGTTTTGATTGAATAATGATGTGTTAAAAGAGAAGTTTGAACATAGTTGAAAACTTAAAAGGTCGTCATATTGAATTATATTGATACCCTCTCCATATTATGCCTAATTTAACAGTTTTCATTAATTGATTGTGCATCGAGCTCTATTTTTAAAAATCTTTTACCAGCACATTTTATAACTTTTTACTGGTGTCGAAATTCTTAAAACGTAGGTCTAAACATTTAAAAACCAGAACTTCTTCAGTGACATTTTCTCTGGACTTTTTTCCAAAAAATTTTTTCCTGTGACAAGTTTACTTTAAGGAAGCCAAAGCGTAATTTCAAGTGGACCTCCGTCTGATTCACAACGGTACACTCAAAAGCTTTGTCTGAATTTAAAGAATTTAAGTTGCGGCTTAAATCCGCCAAAACCCGGGTTGAATTGAGCGCCGGCTTAAATCTTGAAACATTTGATACAATTTTAAGTGAAACCAACCATAATTAAGCCGCGGCTTAAATTCAAACCGCTGCTCAAATTCTTTAAATTCGGCCTCTGGTATTAGATCTCATAATCTCGAAAACGATTATCATCAACAGTGTTGACTCTTCACAAGTAGCTTGTGCATTTCTACTGCAAGAAAATATATAGGAATTATCAGAATTTAACACTTTGAAACCTAGAAAACCCAAAATATCTTCCACATTATGAAATCAGAAGGTTTCAAGGGTACCGTTGTGAATCGGGCATTGTCATTTTGAAATTTCGCTTAAAGTCCCTTTAAAACCAATGTATCCTCTTTATCAATATTCAATAATCATTAAAAAAAATAGATTCCTACCTTCCACTTTGATGTAGTTTTCTCTTATCTTTTTCACATCAATACGTGTAACAATAGATCACTCACTTTTTAACTCTGAAAACATAATTGAATAACATTTTAAAGACAGGAGGTGCAAAAACAAAACATTTATGATTATATCTCCATCCAGATCCGCCATTTTGTTCCGATGACAAACAGGAATCCCTGAACACAATTCTTGTTATAAATCAGAAGTACAAATTTTAACGATCCATTTAATTACTCTGTTTACCTCATAGTCTAGAAGGGTGAGAAGGGAGAGGTGTCTAGTAGAATTGAGGCAGGAACCAGAAAACTCGTTTTCCCAATAATCCATTAGTAAGGAATATCTTGACCGTCCCAAGCTATAAATCTACCAGAATCAAGACTAGTAGCTCCATCAATTATCTCCAAAAGTTTGCTGAAATAAACATATTTTATTCACTTAATTTTAAACGTATGAATTGTATAACCATTTATTGCGATGTATTTTATAAGGTTTGTTTGGCAGAGTTGGATTAAAAGGGGGGGGGGGTAGAGTTATGTTTGTAAAGTGACCATTCAACCTCTACGCACTTTGGGTTATTTTAGCACGCAGACGCAATAATCTTAATAAACTCCAGACTCTGCAGTCTTAATCTTGAACTCATTAAACAAACAGCTTACTCCAGGTAATCGCTACAGTTGAATAATATAAGATTGATAAACCGACTAGACACTTAATATTCAACAGTTCTACACTTTGTGCATAGTTTTTAAACAAATCTTTTCTAGAATGAATAAATTGAGATTGAGCTGGCTTTCAGCTATTCTACTGCTACTGGGAGAGTCTTATTCCGCTCCACAATATGGGCAAGCAGCCACTGGAGCTCAAGCACAGGCAGGAGCCGGAGGTTATGGAGGGGCTGGTGGAGCGACTGGAGCGCAAAGTCAAGCAGGAGCAGCAGGTTACGGAGGGGCCAGCGGAGCGGCCGGGGCACAAGCAGGAGCCGGGGGTTATGGAGGGGCCGGCGGAGCGGCCGGAGCACAAGCTCAGTCACAAGCCACAGGAGGAGGTTATGGTGGATATGGCACTACTGGCGCTCAAGCGCAATCTCAATCCTTGGCTTTAGGCAACGGTGGAGGTTCTTTATCACAGTCTCAGTCACAGGCACAAGCCGGAGCCGCGGGTGGAGCAGGAGGAGCTGGAGGAGCTGGTGCACAAGCTCAGGCTCAATCACAAGCTCAAAGTGCAGGATATGTTGGTAATCATGCGGGACATAATGGATATTTAGGAGGATATGATGATTATCCCGGACAGCGTGGAGGTTATGGCGGATCCAGGGGCGGATACGGCGGATACCGTGGTGGGTATCGTGGACATCAAGGTGGTTATGGAGGGTATCGTGGCGGATATCGTGGAGGATATTAAATACTAAGAATTGAAGAAGATTTAATCAAGAAAATATTTAAACATAAATAATGTTCCACGCTCTAACTTACTGATGTACACTGTACAGTTATACAAATACTTTTTAGCTGCTAATAAAAATATCTTAATAATCGAAATCATTTCAAAGAAACAATTTTTAAGATTGAGATGGAGGGGGTTGAGGAAGTTTTACTGAAGGATTTATGACAAAAAATTCGAAAATAATGAGAAAAAAGTTTTCTTTACCTGACTGTAAATTCTGTAGTAAACAATTTATCCTGAGGAACACCTTTCTAAACAAAATTTTTTTTTCTTTTTGTGAACAAAATTTTTTTCATTTCGAAGGGATTCAAGTTGAAATAATGCTTGCTTTAATGTCCATCGTCTAAGATTAAAATTGTTTAAACAGTGCTAGGAATGAAGATTCTATTTTTATGTTTGTCCGAATCCATTTCATTAATAATTCTTCCTGTCGCGGTTATTTCTAATAATAAAAAATTCCTTAATATTTGCCTTTTTATTACTTTTTTTTACAAAAACTTGCTTGATCATTTATCAAAAGGTGTGTTTTTCTGTTTTTATAGATTAATTTTGCTGGTTTTTGGCCCAAGGATCCGGTTCATATATCCGTATATTTCTTTTTACCTGGTGTCCTGCGTGGATTATCTCCTCCCAGTTTTAACCATTTCAACGTACAATGTTAGACAGAAAAAAATTCTAGAAACATCAAAAAATATGTTAACTTAATTTTATGTGCATTTCGACCTAAAATGTATTTCTAAGTGCCAAATCATCAAACCATCAATATTTTTGAGAAATAACGATAAATTTTAATGTGTTCTTCCAATCAAAATACATTAATAAACATCTGCGAATGTCATAATATTGCATTTGATGTCAAACATTGTGTTGAACTGCTTAAAATAATAGGGGGAGATGAACCCACCGTAGGGAGATGAACTGGTTAAAATAATAGGGGGAGATGAACCCACCGTAGGGAGATGAACTGGTTAAAATAATAGGGGGAGATGAACCCACCGTAGGGAGATGAACTGGTTAAAATAATAGGGGGAGATGAACCCACCGTAGGGAGATGAACTGGTTAAAATAATAGGGGGAGATGAGCCCACCGTAGGGAGATGAACTGACCCACGACACCGGATAAAAAGGGCCAAAGGAAAAATACCAAACTAATTATCAACATAAGAAGTTTTCTTGTGGATGAAATTATACGAGTATGTATTTTCCTGAAAACTAACTCTCCCAAAAGGAGGCTTTCGAAAATAATAATGTTATGTATGTTTGAATAACAGATAACACATCCCCCCCCCCCAAGTGATGTACCTGATATGGTTTGGACAGGTCTGTGTCTGTTGTCCCAGGGTGTAGAGATAAACAAATGACCCTGAAAAAACGTTAAACAATTTTTATTATTTTGAGGGTTGAGCTCCTCGCCACTCCCCATGTCAGCTTGGGTTTCATGTTTTTGACATAAACTAAATTAATCACTTAATCAAAATATGTATTAATAAAGGTTAACATCATCAGGTTGCAAAGCTTTAGATTCGAAAATTATTGTGTTGTGGCAAGTGTTCAATTCCATTATCCGAAAACTAAATTTTGACAAGTTTACAACCAGGGGCGTTCAAGAGCTTTAGTGTAAGAGGGGGGGGGGATCATCTTCTGCGCGCGTGAGCCCGCCAAAATATTTTTGCTGTCTTTTAAACTATGAATTCTATGAATTCTTTGAACTATGAAAAAGCCTAACTTTGAAATAATGTCTACACCATCAGGTTTCAAAGAAATAGGGATTAGAAATTTGAGTTTGTGGCAAAAACGAATAGTAATGAAGAGGATAAAAACATGTCTTTTGATATCAAGTTTTCCCCCCCAGTTCATCAGAATAATAACAGAACAGAAGTTCAACAATTTGTGTAAAAAAAATTTAAATGATGAAAAACTTGGATTTGATGTCCAATTTTTCTTTTCTTTTTAAATTACTTAAAATATTTTTATCACAGAAGGATAAATTAAGTTGCCTTTTAGAATAAAGTTTTTCAGTTTTTCTCTATATAAAATCATTTCATACACGAGACACCCTGCAAGGGGAGGGGGGCACGTGCACCCAGTGCCCACCCCTTGTACGCCTCTGTTTACAACTTATTAAAATATCTAATAAAAATACGCACAAATTGAGGACAATTACAACATCTCTTTTCACAAACATACAGTTGCCTGACTGCCTCCGAAAAGAGCGGACCTATCCTATGTGGTCCCAGAATTACAGCCTGGAGGAGCGCCAAGTTTAATTACGCAACTCGTACCCTACAGGGGAAGCATGGAATGTACATAGATTAAAAAAACTTCATCTTTAGGTTGGTGAACTGAAAGAAGGAGTTTAACCCCTGATGGGTATACAAGCTTTACAAGCTATGCACCATAATACAGGCTTTTTACTCAACCAAATGTGAGGACTGGACTGCTATGGAAGATTCTCTCAAGACAGCTTAACTCCCCATTTTGCAAAGGGGGTGCAGTTATGGGTTTCCTTAATCCCCCTTAACTCGGAAAGAGTATAATAAATAAGGACAACAGGGAGCAATCCCCTATACCCGCCCTCCTACAAACTTCCTTATATCTCTCCTACCTGCTCCACAACTTGATGTCAAAATAACTATTTGGAAAGACCTTAAACAAGATAAACAAGAAAACAGAGGAAAATATCAAACAGGAAAATTAGAAAATGTGTTTTAATGTGGGATGGGAGACGTCTCTCCCCCCTGTATATATTCTACCAATTAAATGTTCTAGAAAGTGTTTAGAATATGACAAAAGCAAAAACATCTGCAAATAATTTAATAAGATAGGAGAGGGTACTGACTTGCTCACTAACCCTTCCCCCCCCCCAGAATGCTTTATCAAAGTCCTTAGAAAAGAAAGCAAGGTCAAATGGATATAGTGTTCGGAAAAATGCAAAATCTTTTTGAAAGTAGTTCTTTCTTGTAAAGTGGCTAATTACAAGGAAACCTCTTTTCTTTATTTTCAAAATTAGCTGATATATGATTGAAAGATGTATGAAAGATCTAAAAACAAGAAGAAAATGAAGAACAAGAAATATAGAAATCTCAGAACATTTTCATCTGATATCGTATAAATATTAAAAAATATTGCAAAATTAAATTAATATAAATAATTAAAGGTAAATTTTTTTTACAAACATGCAACAGATCTTAAGGATGGATCAGAATTTCAATTGTTCACCTGTTCTTCCCTCGCCCTAGCTCAAGAGATAAACATTTTGTCGCCATATTCATCCCAGATTTAGACATTCTTAAATACAGATTTACAGAACATATTCATCCCAGATTTAAACATTTATAAATACAGATTTACAGAACATATTCATCCCGGATTTAAACATTCATAAATACAGATTTACAGAACATATTCATCCCAGATTTAAACATTCATAAATACAGATTTACAGAACATATTCATCCCGGATTTAAACATTCATAAATACAGATTTACAGAACATATTCATCCCAGATTTAAATATTCTTAAATACAGATTTACAGAACATATTCATCCCAGATTTAAACATTCATAAATACAGATTTACAGAACATATTCATCCCAGATTTAAACATTCATAAATACAGATTTACAGAACATATTCATCCCGGATTTAAACATTCATAAATACAGATTTACAGAACATGTTCATCTAATATTTAGACATATCTTATTTATCTTATTTAAGTTTAGAATCTGCAATATCCATAGGACATTCTTTACTTAAAACTTTTAAAATTTAACTCAGAAACGTAGTTTCTTCAGAAACGTAGTTTCTTCACTCATGTATTTTCTTCACTCGTGTAGTTTCTTCACTTTAAAATCTTCTATTTTCCTTGTTTACAAAATGCAACGATAATCAAATAGATTCTAGTACAATAGATGGAAACGTAGAATTTGTACACTCTCAGTACAGCTGTATTCTGACGTCATAAGTGTCAATTCAGTTTTTGTGTCCGACAAATTTATTAATAATAGTGTTAATTTTAGAATCAAGTGCTTATCTTACAGTAAATTAAGTGCAATTTTATGTGTTCTTTAGTTTTAGCTTTTACACTTTTTATTTAATCTTGTAAAACAAGTCATCCAATGTAAGAAAATTTTATTTTCCTTGTTATATTTGACACTTGTGACGTAATGCATAATTAGTTCATTTTTCTGTTGCCACCTATAGTACTTGATACTCTATTTGACGATAATGTAGTGACAAAATAAGAAAAGTTATATTAGAGAAAGAAGGGAGGGGGGAGGGGGATTATATTTGTATCTGTACCTGTATGAATACCATCCTCCCAACCTATTATCTGATATAGAACCAACACGTGCACTCATATTAACTAGACAATCCACTTTTTCAACATGGTTTCACTTTTTTCTCCCATTTTTATTAGATTCTAATAAAGAAAACGTACAAACAGCTTATCCGGCACACTGCTCAGAATGTGATTAAAAGAGAAGCTAGAAAGAAATCTCCCTAATCAAAGACGTCATGTAATACTTTAGTAATGTATCAGAAACCCCTATAATATTGGATTCTTACAAGTTTTACGCAGATATACCTATTTTGCTGAAATTGCGTATAATCAATCAATAAGTCTTGTAATAATAATAATAATGTATTTTTTTCTGTTCAGACGAAATGTAAATTAAACCTTTAAGATAAACATTATACATTTTACGCATTTTTACTAATAATTCTGTAAGAGCAATCCAGAATACAAACTTTCTATGTTAACAGGGACAAATTGAAAAAAGGCTGTTGGTGGCTTAAAAAATCAATTTTTCTAGAAAATTTTTAAGGCCATAAAGTAATTTAGCCATTATTTAATGTTTCTACTGTTATTTGATAAAATATTATTTTTTCTGTGAATAAATTTTTTTTGAAATATTTACATATCGTCTGCAGGGGCGTATTCAGGAATTTGTCCAGGGGGAGACTTAAATTTTTTTCTCTTTCCAGGGAGGGCTCAACACCCGTTGGGGCCTGAAAACCCACTAAAATCAATAGATTTCACTGGTCCATAGCCCCCCCCCTGAATACGCCTCTGATCGTCTGAGCAGTGTGTCAGGAACTTAAAAGAGATAGTTAGATAATATCTAACTTTTTTAAAGAAAACATATGTTTATTGTTTAGTGTTTCTCTCCTTTTGTCTGGCAACAAAGTTAAAAAGTGAAGTTGGATTCCTATGACAGAAGAGTGAGATTTTTTAGGATCCTCCTTAAACTGCTGTGATCCCACCAAACCAGTTCCTGATACAAGAAATACTTATTTATAATTTAAAAGGTTTAAAAAATATTAAAACCAAATATTTGGAATCAAAATCAAAAATCATTAAACAATAAACATGTCAGAAAATTAATAAAATCTAGGCTATTTAAGGGCTCGTTTTTACAAGAAAAACATTCTTATCTGTTTTATTGGTTATAACGGGAAACACTTCGAAAATTGCTCCGACGCAGAATTTCTTACAAGGGTAATTAGTCGCTTCAGCCTTTCTAGCTATGTGCAATGTGCATCCTTGAAATCATCTCTAGATTTTTTGGAAGATTTACCCATCTCAAAGTCCTTTTGCAAAAAATTTTAGTTTATCTTTAGATTGTCAAATTTAAGATTTATAAAAACGAGACATTTTCTCAAATAAAATTTTTAAATGGTTTCAAGATACCATCATCATTTAATAAAATTTGGAATTCCGTTTATAATACATTTAAACCAATATCAAATCAAAACAAAGAAAAGTTAAAAAAACAATTTTAGTGAAAAGTGTAATTTCATAATATTAATTTTCATAATTCAAAACTATGTGTTGAGAATTTCGCTGTCCAGAATCGATATACGGAATAATCTAATTCCTTTTCGATAGCATGTGGTTGTCATACCATGCAGTGATAACTATAATTGAGTGATCATTATTTATCCTCTTTTAAAGTGACCACATTAGACCTTAGAAGAAATATCCATCTGACAAACTACAACATTTTTATTATTTAAAAGTATTTTCCTTTTTGTAGAAGAGGAGCAAGATGTTTGGCCATCAAGAGAGGAGCAAACGTGTTGACCGTAAAGGTGGACATCAGCCCTTCAGCTGTTACATCTGGAACATTGAGAACATATAATTAAGATTTTTCCTGTAAATAAAAAAGCCGCCATAATATTACCAGAAAACTGAGAACCAGAAAACAATGAAAATGTTTTCGTTGTTTTTTCACTTTTGAATCATAAAGGTTTTTGCTTTTATTAAAAATGTGCCCGAAACATTTTTTTTAAATTTATTATTTGCATCCATTTCAAATTAGTATAAGGAAGAAAAAAGGCAACATTTTACAAATCTTTTAGTTGCCGAAGGATAGTTTAGAAGTCACATATTTTGTGTTGTAAAACTCTGGATCAAGTATTGATCTCTATCTCATGTAGAGTGTAAACCTACGGGTCAATTTAATTATTCTTTAATATCCCGTGATGGTATACACTGCAGGGATAATTATGATAAAGGGATCAAGCATTGTCCTCTTAGAAAGTGCCCACATTGGATATCGAGATCAAGTGTTAAAGGTTAATAAAATCAAAACGAAAGTATAAAAATGGAACAATTAAGAAGTACGTGCTGCAGGGAGAGGGGGGGAGGGGGAGGAAATCTCTTTGCAAAGGAAAAATATCCTGAACGTTTCTATCCATTAGGTTTCAATTCAATATATGACCCAGATTAAAAACATTAAAATTGTTTACTTTATTCAAAATATTTGCATCATTTATTAAAAACTTTATTGTGAAAAAGATTTAAAATAAAAAATAAAAAAAAAAGTTAAACGAACATTTCGAACAAAAAAATTCTGGAAATCTCAAAATTCAAAAAAGCATTTTCATTAAAAATGGTTTCCTAGTTTATTATATTTCTGTTTGACAAAGTCTGCCATAGTTTTTATATTCTCTTCATTGCTGACGTCACAGGGGATTATTTCAGTGTTCTTCAGCGATCTGTCACCAATCAATCAATCAATTAAAACGTTCTTTTGAGATTTTTGAGTGTTATTTCTTTTATTATAAACAGCAACAATTGATATGTTTCACACTTAAACAACATTTTCATTATTTCCCTTAAGGCATTGAAAAATATGTCTAACAGAATCATCAATGATTCACAAAGTTGCCTTTTATTGTATAATCAAAGAGGAATTTTTTTGGAACTTGCGGTCGCTCCATTTTAGCAGGTTTTAAGTAAGAAAAGGCAGAAAAAAACCAAAGTTTTAATTATACCTTGAATCTTAAAGATATAACTTGATTCTTAAAAATATAACTAAAATCTAAAGATATAACTTGATTCATAAAAATATAACTAAATTCTAAAGATATAACTTGATTCTTAAAGGTATAACTTGATTCTTAAAGATATAACTTGATTCTTAAAGATATAACTTGATTCTAAAAGATATAACTTGATACTTAAAGGTATACCTTGATTCTTAAAGATATAACTTGATTCTTAAAGGTATAACTTGATTCTTAAAGATATAACTTAATTCTTACAGATATACCTTGATTCTTAAAGGTTTAACTTGATTCTTAAAGATGTAACTTGATTCTTAAAGATATAACTTGATACCTAAAGGTATAACTTGATTTTTAAAGATATAACTTGATTCTTAAAGATATAACTTGATTCTTAAAGGTATAACTTGATTCTTAAAGGTATAACTTGATTCTTAAAGATATAACTTGATTCTAAAAGATATAACTTAATTCTTAAATGTATAACTTGATTCTTAAAGATATAACTTGATTCTTAAAGATATAACTTGATTCTAAAAGATATAACTTGATACTTAAAGATATAACTTGATTCATAAAGATATAACTTGATTCTTAAAGATATAACTTAATTCTTAAAGATATACCTTGATTCTTAAATGTATAACTTGATACTTAAAGATATAACTTAATTATTAAAAATATAACTTGATTCTTAAATGTATAACTTGATTCTTAAAGATATAACTTGATTCTTAAAAATATAACTTGATACTTAAAGGTATAACTTGATTCTTAAAGGTATAACTTGATTCTTAAAGATATAACTTGATTCTAAAAGATATAACTTAATACTTAAAGGTATTACTTGTTTCTTAAAGAAATAACTTGTTTCTTAAAGAAATAACTTGTTTCTTAGAGAAATAACTTAATTCTTAAAAATATAACTTGAAAATATAACTTGATTCTAAAAATATAACTTGATTTTTAAAGGTATAACTTGATTCTAAAAATATAACTTGATTCTAAAAATATAACTTGATTTTTAAAGGTATAACTTGATCCTAAAAATATAACTTGATTCTAAAAATATAACTAAATTCTAAAAATATAACTTGATTTGAAAAGAAATAAATTGATTCTAAAAGTCGTCTACATATTTAAGAGTTACGTCATTTAAAATAAATTTATGATTCAATCACTCAATGATATTTTTGATTATTTTCCTGAGTTTTGCATTGTCTGGATCTCGACACAAAGCCAGTACTTGAACATTATTACGCAAACTTAAAAGAAATAAGAAAAATATCCATTTTGATGTCACCATGCCACATAAAAAAATTCGAAATTATTTTTGTTACATAAGTTCCGGGTAAATCAAAATATAAGTCATAAAAAGATTACCTAAATCCGTCGGAATTTTTACAAAAAAAGAAAGAAAAGAAAAAAGAATAAATACTTGTCAAGAAAACCTTCGAAAAAAATACTTTTCAGAATAGTTACGTTTTCAGATGATTTACGGATTTCGCTACACCAAATAAAATTAATTTTAATTTCTAAACTTATAATGATTTGTAACATAATAACATGCAAACTTTTATCCATAAAAAAAGTTGGGAATTTTTTGGAAATTTTTGAACCAAATATGCAACGAAATTTACGATAGCAACGTTTTTTTGGAACCCTGTAGTAAAACTTTAGTTACCAAAAAATGTTCTTACTTTAGATAATAATTTGTCTATCCCTCTCAATAATTTTTAAAAAGAATGTGCCGCAACAATGTTAAACTCTATGTGAGGAAATAAATTTTGTAAAAACACAATGTGAGAAATGAAGATCTATAAAACACAATGTGAGGAATATAGTTCTGTAAAACACAATGTGATGAAGATCTATAAAACACAATGTGAGGAATATAGTTCTGTAAAACACAATGTGAGAAATGAAGATCTATAAAACACAATGTGAGGAATATAGTTCTGTAAAACACAATGTGAAGAGTGAAGTTCTATAAAACACAATGTGAGGAATATAGTTCTGTGAAACACAATGTGAAGAGTGAAGTTCTATAAAACACAATGTGAGGAATATAGTTCTGTGAAACACAGTGTGAGGAATATAGTTCTGTGAAACAGTGTGAGGAATAAAGTTGTGAAACACAATTTGAGGAATATAGGTATGCGAAGCACAATGTGAGGAATATAGTTTTGTAAAACATAATGTGAGGAATATAGGTATGTGAAACACAATGTGAGGAATTTAGTTCTGTGAAAAACAATGTGAGGAATATAGTTTTGTGAAACACAATGTGAGGAATATAGTTCTGTGAAACACAATGTGAGGAATATAGTTCTGTGAAACACAATGTGAAGAATGAAGTTCTGAAAAACACAAATGTGAGGAATGGAGTTCTGTGAAACACAATATAAGGAATAAAATTCTGTAAAAGACAAAGAGAGATGAAATTCTGTAAAAGAGATTGTTCATGAAGATCTGGTAAACACTATGATTAAGAATCTTTAAAACACAATGTAAGAAATGAAGTTCTTTAACACAATGTTAGGAATAAATTTCTGTAATTACAATGATAGAACTATAATTCTATGAAATACAATTTAAGATAAAATAAGGCGAGAAATGAAGTTCATAAACACATTGTAAGAAATGAATTTCATAAACACAATGTTAGGAATAAATTTCTGTAATTACAATGTTAGAACTATAATTCTATGAAATACAATGCAAGAAAAAATAATGCGAGAAATGAAGTTGTGTAAAATACAATATATGAAGAGTGAAGAGTGCATCTCATAAATCAAGATGAGGTAGAACCTGAGAACTCTGCAGAATTCTAATCCAATCCCTCGGCTTGCCCCTTGAACCAGACAAACTGCCATTTTATCTGAAATTTACATTTTATTTCTTACATTTCAATATTTTTATTTCATAATTTAAAAACATTTCAATAACAATAAACTAATTTCGTGTTTCAAATATACAATTTTTAAATATTTAATATTTCATCATACATAGAGGTGACGTCCTTGAATTTCAAACAACCTGAAAATAATTAAAATTCAACAAATAGTTTACATATAAAATAAAATTCAATGAATTTGAAAAAATCTTAACATAATTTTTATGAACGGCGCTAAAGCGAACTTTCACTGAAAAAGAAAATAATGTTAAATAAGGATATATACAAAATAAAAATATTCAACAAACTAACGGAAACTTTTTTCATGTCAGTTTTTAAAATTAATATAACTTACCAGAATGGTCAGCAGGCAAGATAACATAAATTCAATCCAACATCCAGAAATTTTCTTCTTAGGTCTAAAATATTGATTGTTATTCATTGATTAATTTATTGATTAATCATAAACAAAATTAAATTTTTCGAAATTATTTTTTAACTTAATATAAAGGGTAAATTTTTCTATGGCCTTTTATGGAATTAATAATTGTACTTACTGGGTTGGTTATCTTTGCAGGGACCTGGGATTGGGCCAGGGTGGTATCTGGTTGGGCCAGGGAAGTATCAGGCTGGGCCAGGACAGTATCTGGTTAGGCCAGGGCAGTATCAGGTTGGGCCAGTATAGTATTAAGTAGGGCCAGGGTAGCATCAGGTTGGGCCAGGGTAGTATCAGGTTGGACCAGGGAAAGTATCAGATTGGACTAGGGTAGTATCAGGTTGGGCAAGGGTAGTATCAGGTTGGTCTGGGGCAGTATCAGGTTGGTCCAGGGCAGTATCAGGTTGGGCCAGTATAGTATTAAGTAGGGCCAGGGTAGTATCAGGTTGGGTCAGTATAGTATCAAGTAAGGCCAGGGTAGTATCAGGTTGGGCAAGGGCAAGGATGAATAGAACCAGAAGGGACCATAGCAATCAGATATGGTTAGAGTAGAATCAGACAGGGTCATAAGGGTTAATTCGGATAGGGCCAGGGTACAGGTGGTCAGGGCAAGGGTATAGGTGGACAGAGTCAGGGTACAGGTGGACAGGGCCGGGGTAGAGATTGGCAGGGTCCGGATAGAATTGTGGCGAGGCTACAGTCCAACAGGGCCGGGGAAGAATAAGGTGAATAACCCTGATTTAAGGGGTTCCTTTAGAGTCAATAGAATCAAAGAAGAGGGACGGTGTAGGGTCATCAATTGATTCTGGGTTGTCCAGGAGACTGGGGCTCAGGTTCGGGACAATCAATGGGCCAACTAGTTCAGGTTCATACAGAGGGCAATATGTACGGGGCCATTCAGGGGCCTAGAGTACATGACCATCCAGGGTTTTCCGAGCCAGCAAGGGCTTAGGGGTTCCAGTCCATTTTAGCCAGGGGGTTCCGTAGGACTTTGTTCCGGGCCATTTAGGCCAAGGGGTTCCATGTCATGAAGAGCCAATGGATCCTCGCGATCCTAAGGCACAGGTGTTCAATGCCATCAGGGGCCAAGGGGTATCGGGCCATCCAGGGGTTCACTGACATCCAGGGGTCAAGGGGTTCAGGGCATCATCGTCTTCGCAAGTGCCAGGGCAAGGGCATTTTTACATAATATTAAACAGAAAAGGCACTATTTTAAAATCCTTTAAAATATTTTTAGCGTAAAGTAAGGGATTATATGAGAATGTTATTTATTAAATTAATGGGAATAATTAAAAAACCAAATGATTATCAAACAATAACAGTCAAACATACCAAACAAATCTAAAACAGAAACCAGAGCTCAAGTTCAGTTTAATGTACAGATAAGATCCTTCATGGTGAGAAGAGATCTATATTGGGATCCATGATGCAGAGTAAGGATTCATCTAGAATCTTCCTGGTCCATACTCCCTTACACACTGCTGTAGAAGATACTGAGCAGTCTGAATTGCCTCCGGATCCCCGGTGATAGTGATCACACGCTCCTTAGAACCCTGCTCAGGTTCAGCAATAGAAATTTGAGCAAGGGAGTCATTTCTGATCTTCCTGATCCTCTGTCCTCCAGGTCCTATGATAGCTCCAGCCAAATCATTCGGTATAGTCACTTGGGTGGAGTTACTGGACTCGGAGAACTGAAGAGTATTTCCTCCAGTTTCTACTTCGCTCTTGAATCCTCGTTTAGGTCCTCCGAACCCTTCAGCTCCACCTCCAAAACCACCTCCGAAACCACCACCTCTACCTCCAAATCCACCACCGGCACCGTAACCTCCAGCTCCAAAACCACCCGCCGCTCCATAGTCTTCCTGTGGTGCTCCATACCCCGAACTCGGTTCCCCGTATCCTCCATATCCGCCTCCATATCCTCCAGCTTCGCCTCCTCCATATCCAAAGTCCCCACCATAACCTCCTCCAAATCCTGGGCCTCCAAAACCTCCCCCTCGACCTCCAGGCATACCTCTGCCTCCTCCCATACCCCTTCCACGTGGCATGCCTCCACCCATACCTCCACCCATACCTCCTCCCATACCACCTCCGTAACCCATTCCCATTCCAACTCCCATTCCCATACCTCCTCTGCCTCCTGGAAAACAATCTACGTTAGTGGGGAAACTATTTATAAGCATAAAAATTAAGGTAACTGCTATCCAGGGTTGGCATAAAAAAAGACCAAAAAAACCAATATTGAGTTATTCAAAAAAAAATTTGAATTAATCCAAGTAGTTAACCTGGTCACTCTGTATGTGGTATTGGCGGTAGTGAGATTTGAAAATCCCAAATGAGAATATAAAATTTAAACTTTTATTTTCAAACTGTGGTAATGGCGGTAGTGAGATTTGAATAAAAAATTTCAACTTATATTTTTAAACTGTGGTATTGAGGGTAGTGAGATTTGAAAATCAAAAATCCAAATAAAAAATTTCAACTTTTATTTTCAAACTGTGGTATTGGCGGTAGTGAGATTTCAAAATCCAAACTGAGAATATAAAATTTCAACTTTTATTGGCGGTAGTGAGATTTCAAAATCCAAACTGAGAATATAAAATTTAAACTTTTTATTTTATTTGGATTTTTGATTTTCAAATCTCACTACCGCCAATACCACAGTTTGAAAATAAAAGTTGAAATTTTATATTCTCATTTTGGAATTTCAAATCTCACTACCGCCAAAACTTCCAGTTTAAAAGTATTTACATTTTCTAATTTCGAAAAAAAAGGCATTTAATAATCTGAAAAGTCTCAAAAAAATGCAAAAACTAGCTCTCAAAGCCTTCAATACCATTTTCTTTTAATTTGTACATAAAATTTTCGCTCAAAAAGAAGGCATTTTATACAAACACCCCCCAATCAGATATATGTATCCAAGTAAAATATAGAAGTAGTCTGAAATTTAAAGAACAGTAATGTAAAAAAATTGCAGTATTCCCCCAATGCAATGCATAGGATCCGAAAAAGAAATGAAGAGCAATTATTTATGATTATTGATTTTAGCCTATTATCACAACATTTTAATTTTTCGTAACTATAAAGTTCACCTATTACTTAAATAGTCTTATTATTATGAGAAGTATGAATATTAGCAAGTTTTAAATACTTTCAAATGGAAACATCCAAAAAAAGCCCAACAAAATAAAAAAAAACCAATAGGCTGGGGGTTTTTTTTATCTAAAAACCGAGTTTTTTTTAAACCCAGCGCTATCATCAAGGTGACCGATCGTTCATAAGCCCTTTATTGAAGATAAGGTTATAATGAAATATTCGGTTTGGAAATTCAATTCAAATAAGAAAACAAAATATGGAACATTTTACAGTGTAATTTTGCTTAAAGTTTTTTAAAACGAAAAAAACCGTCTTCATAAATTTTCTTATTCATCTCTATTAACAAAGAAAATTAGTACCTGGGGCCCTGCCGCGTCCTCCGCCACCTCGCCCTCCACCACCTCGTCCTCCTCCGAATCCTCCGAGTCCATCAGATCCTCCCCAACCCAGATAGTCGGAGGCTCCGGCAGCATCAAAGTTCAGAGGATCATATTTCATCTCCTCGCCCTAAAATGTATACCCGTTAACAATCTTACATGGACAGGAGGTCTGAGATTATAAACAAATCAAATAATCCCCCCCCCCCAAAAAAAAATATGTTATGTTTTCAACGAAGCTGTCCATTATTTTATGTTTATACTGATAAATTAAGCTTTTCTTGAAAACAAATAGATGTTGAGGTTTGAAGAGTCGAATTCTTGAAAACTAGTGTCAAAATCACGAAAGCCCTCAATTGTGAGTGTTTGTCTTAAAAAATATTTCAATCAAGATAATTAAGTTTTGTGTGGAAATAGACAAGATAAAGATTGAAATACATGTATAAGAAGAGTTAGCTAACCTTGATATCGGTAGTTTTAACCTTCTCGTAAACTTCTTCAGCTGCAGCCATTATCTTATCCAGGGACCCAGTCAACTAGATTAATTAAGGGATCTGAGGCCGAAACTTTTAATTCAATTCTGTGCATAACGCACTCAGTCGGTACCCCTCCCCTATTCGGATTAACTCCGTCGTAATTGCACTCTCATTTCTTTTAATCATTAATTATCTTTTCGTGGATTTCACGTTATTTCCTAAAATTTGTCTTTAATTCTTTTTTTAAATTTAAGCTATGAATTTAGTATGTCGTTATGGCTAGCTAAACGGTATTTCAACTAGAGGTTTACTCTTCTGGTCAACTAGAGGTATAAAATATGAACAGGGTATAATCTTGTATAAAACAAGTCCTGTTATAATTGAGATATTTAGGATGAAAGCCTGTATTAAAATTATTAGTTTTCCAATTCGACAAAAGTGTAAACCAATTGTAGATAAAAACTTACTAACTGAGATTCAACTTCACCCCCCCACCTGCACTCTTATGCCCCCTATACAACTCCCCCCCCCCCACTGCAACCTTCTGCCCTCTATTACCTGAACAACTCTGTCTGTAGACTGAGGAGCACAATTAGAGGAAACCTTAATAAATCATCTCATTAGTCTTTGCTTTTTTAAGTGTTAGAACTATCGTTAAAAATTCATATTGGGGATTTAGGCGAAAAATGTATTCTAGTTTTAACTTCTGGAAACAAATCAAATCTAAGTCTGGAATCAAATCATCCTGTTTCTTCTATTTCTACTCTTCAAATCCAAACTGATTAAACCAAATCAATTCTGAAGCGAGTCCTTGTAATTGATTATCTATTTATATTGAAGAAAAGAATGTACAATTCACAACGGTACCCTTTCAAATTCTTGAGTAACAAAATGGAAAATATCGTAGTTTTCTATCTGAAAAAAAATCCGCAAGGATCCTCTACACTCTACAGTGTCTTAATCAATGACTAAACACAAGCACAAAGGATACCGATAAAATCGCTCAGACCTTTCTATAAATGGATGGTCCCTTGAAACTAGGTCTATGGTCCCTAGATAGTGAATGAAAACTGTACCTTCACTCCAGCTCCAGTAGTTTGTCTGATCTCTTTAATCTTCTCTCCACCTTTACCAATAACTCCTCCAGCAATAGATTGATGAATCAGGAATCTTAGTTCTCTAAAAAATAAGTATATTAACATCTATTTTTTTCTATATAAATATTAAAATGGAAGTGCTGTCGAAAACATTTCAAGCTGTCCTCCATCTCCATTTAAAGAAGAAAATGCCCGATTCCCCATTGTCTCTTTTAAATCAATTGGACTAATGATTGATTGAACTAACGTTCGTTTGGACTTATGTTCATTTGAACTAACATTCAACTTGTGCTAAAAGATTTCCAAAGATTAAGTGGCAAAATTGAGATAATAATAACTAATAATGATACAGGATCACTTAGTTCACAATTCGATTCAATTCAATTCAATTTAATTCAAGAAGCCAGGGATTTCCCAAGTGCTCCTTGATGTCAACAACAACAAAAACACCAAAAACATCAGCGTATGTGAAGGAAATCAAAGACGAACAAATGGGCAAGGTGCGGGAAGTGGGGGTGGGGGACAAATCTTTGCAAAACTTACTTGTCCGGCGTATCATCTAACCCCTCGTACATGTACGGTACTGCAGCCTGTAGGCAGGGTAGAAGAGGGTCATAGCTTTCCCCACTTATCTCTAGAATACGCTCAGGACCCCCAGGACAATCAGGGATACGCACCTACGCAAATACAATAGTTGGCACAAATTATTGTAAATAATCATATTTATCATATTTCGTACACAATAAATGTATTTTTACAATTTTTTATTTTATTTACAATGAAGGTCAAATAAATTCAAGCAAAGATAAAATTTCTACTGGGTGATGCACATATTATTATTATAAAACCGCAAATAGAATAGTACGGCGATCCGACTTTTTGGCCCAAACGAGTTTTTGGGGCTATAAAATATATACATCAGTTTGTAAGCACTATATTTGCATTTAGTTGATAACATGCGCCATGAGATCTTGCTCACTATATTTAGATAGTATAGTACTAGCGATTTTTTCAGAAAAATTAGATACACAAAATATATGAATGAATAAATAAACAACAATACATCTATAAGATAATCAGGAGTCATACGATTGAAAACAAGCTTCTTCTGTGCAGACCGAAAACAGAGAAAACAAATTTTTAAAAGGTTTATAAATCAAGAACTTACTGTGCAGCCATATTCAGATCTAAGCTGCTGAATGTTCTTCCCTCCCTTGCCGATCACGGAACCAGCGATCTATACATAATATAATAATGTTATAAATCTGAACCATATGTCACTTAATTTTCTAATTATTCCCAAAAATCATTTCCCCAGGATATTTTTTAATAATTGAGAAGTTAGAAAAGATTAATCAATTAATCAATAAATCAATCAGAGTTTTGGGGACGTACACGTAATCTTATTAAATAAAAATATCGTTGACCTTACTGGGCAGGAGGACTCTTATCTCTGGTCTGCCTCCGGAGGTTTTAGACCTTTTCCCTCCGAATCCTCCGTCATAATCCTCAAAAGCACGTTTATGCATAGCTCTGAAAATAATCACTAATCATCATAGGTCGCATAATAGAAACAAAAATCACGTTGGGGCGAATCAAAGGTGATTATATCACAGATAATTATCACTTGGATAATTTCTTTCTTGCATTGAATATGCAAAACCCGGCGGGGGACCCATAAACCTGTGGAACAGGACAACGACTGCTAGACTTTAGTGTAGATTTTAAATAGACCAATGAACAATGAACATGGAATAGAAAAATTGTGCAGTATCAACAGACCAGTTTTACCCGTTCATTTAATTTCCAAGCTAAATGTTTTATCCTATATTACGACATAAAATACCAATATTATTGCTTAAATGTCGTCTTCCTATTGAACAGTTTTATGTGTCTGACTCTAAGGATTTTCATTATTATTATCAATCAATCTATTAATTTAGTTATGTCTTATTGGCAATGAATGGGGATAAAACAGCTTTTATATTGATCATGAACATTAAACACGGGTAAGTTTTGAATAGTACTGGTCATACAGCTGTTTTCAAAAAGGTTAATCGTTTTAAATAAACATCTGTGCGAAGGAAGTTAAAAAAGGAGGATTTCAAGAAGTTACATAAACATTACGTTACATTATTTTGATGGGTAATGTGTTTTTAGCACCATTTTTATCATTGATAATCTTGAGAATTTCTCAAGCTTTAATTCCTAGACACCCAATACTTCGACCTATGATGTATATTTAGAAGCTTGATAAGTCAGTTTTACTCAAATCAAGAAAATTGGTTTAAAAAAATAGTTGCATAAATTCAGCTTTAATAGAGGCATTTTTAAATACTTCTCATATAACATTGAGCCGAGTTAAAATGAAGCTCTGAAGTAAAAAAAGGGGGACTTTCTGAGAAATTAAACTGAAAACCATTGGATTGAAGTATTGAGGAGTCATATTTAGGTTTTAAACTGGTTTTTTCAACTTGGTTCATCACACTAGGTCCTTCTCCGACAGGGACTTTCTGACCAGGAGGTTTACCAGCTGGTACAAGTCCAGCTCTTGATCCTTCTCCTACGGGGTCTTTCTTTCCAGGAAGTTTCCCACCAAGTCCAGGTCCAGCTCTTGATCCTTCTCCTACGGGGACTTTCTTTCCAGGCGGTTTCCCACAAGGTCCAGGTCCATCTCTTGATCCTTCTCCTACGGGGACTTTCTTTCCAGGAGGTTTCCCACCAAGTCCAGGTCCAGCTCTTGATCCTTCTTTCCGACCATTTCTTTTGCTTTCTCCATTTCCTATGTTCTGGTTTAGCCTCTTATCAGTATCTTTTCTGCCATTTCCCTTTTCACCTTCCATCATACCAGGATTTTTTACATTCCTATTTGTGCTTTTCTTCTTTTTGATTCCGTTTAATTCCCTTCCATTTTTGTTTCTGGATAGATTGGTTCTTCTCTTGTTATTTCTGCTTCTACTCCCGCCATTCCTCTGACTAGTTCTCGCATTTTCTTTATTGCTTTCAGAAAAGAGAAACTTAATTAACTTGAAAGAACCTTTCGTTAGTTTCCAGCCACCAACCAAGGCAAGCCTTGCTGCACTGAGAGTAAACCCAACCGTTCTCCTCGTTCCCTTCCACACTCCTCCTCTCACCCCTCTCCAATCAACCTCATCGAATCTTCTCTTCACTCCTCTGCCTACAGCACAACTTCGTCGCTTGGTCCACTTCCAAGCAACACTTTTTCTGCTCGGATTGATTTCCACATGGTCGCATTGAATCATAGGATTCTCCGTTTCAGAATTAACATCCACCCAAGACATCATAGAATCATTGATGCTCTTCTCTTCAGGAAATTGTTCAATCTTTTCTAAATCTTCAATGGTCTCCTTCTTGATCACTGGAAAATTGTCAAGAACTTCTAGATTTGAAATTTTCTGACAATCCTGTTTTTTATCACTGTGTTTTAAAGGCTTTTCGTCAGAATGAAAGCTCTGTTTTTCCACCTGTTCATGCTGTTTTACAGAATTCTGCGTTTCAATCACCTCATTGATTTTCGTGTCATCATTGCTCTGTTTTCCCACCTGTTTTCCAGAATTCTGAGTTTCAATCACTTCATTGATTTCTGTGTCATCATTGCTATGTTTTTCCACCTGTTCATGCTGTTTTACAGAAGTCTGGGTTTCAAACACCTCATTGATTTCTGTGGCATCATTGCTCTTTTCCTGATCATATGATCCACCATTTCCGTTCTCATGTTTACTTCCTGTATCAGGCCCTCTGTACCCTCTACCTGAACCACCTCCTCCACCTCCTGCTCCTCCTCTATAGGAATCTCTATTTCCTCGGAATGAACCTCTTTCTCCTCGTCCAGACCCTCCTCTTCTTTGTCCTCGACCCCCTCCTCGTCTTCCTCTTCCATCCCCTCCCCTCCTTTCCCCCCTCCCTTCATCCTCCTTGTCTTGAACCCAGCCTAGATATTCAGCACACCTTGATGCATCGTAGTTCTTGGCAGAGTACTTAGACTGTTTACTCTAAAAATACACGGTGTCACTAAAATAACAGTTGATTGATGCCAGAGCCTCGATTTAGACCAATTTTTTTTTGATATACTTAAAAAATGGTGCAAACAATAAAAATAAACTGTTTATTCCCAATTAACATCAACGGAATTCTAAAACTTTAAACAAGAATAAAATTAGCTGAAAACATGATAAAAAGTTTGAACCTTTAGATCAGAAAGTTTAAAAATTATGTAACATTTACAAATACCGAAGATCGGTTAAAAATTGATGCTAAGCTATTAACAAATAAATTCTAAAATAACAGCTCATGACGTTTATCAAGGTTATTCTCAAAAGACAATTATTATAGAACGACGATCTAAGCTGAAAAATAATATTAAATGTTTCATAATTTTTTTTTTTTTTTTTTTTTTTACTTTTCAACCAACCTTTAAGCTGCAGGTTTGAACCTTGTCATAAATAAGTTTAGCCGCGGCCATTACATCTTCAAGTAGACCAACCACTTGAACTACTCTCTCAGTAGACAGTGGAGCACACTCGGCAGAAATCTAAGGAAAATCAAGAATAAGAAATTATAAATTTGGCGATGGAATTTTTGTATGAACAAATTTTTTTTTAAAGAGAATTTTTTCTTAAAGTTACAAATACTATTTGTACTTTGAAAATATATATTTTTATCACATACTTGAAACTATGAAATTATAAAACTATATCATGCAGCAGGTTTGAGTTTTTGATGTATAGAGGGAAAAAATTGGACAGCAAAAGAGAAGTTTTTAAATCCTTTCAGATGAAGGAATAGGAATAACAGGAAGGGAAATGGCGCTGGTCTGGCATGAGAAAGCCAGTCGCACTGCTTTGCAGACGAGTTCATTATTACACACGCACACTCTTTTGGTACAGACACACAACATGACTACAGTTAAGAAAATTGCAGAACACTGTCGTCAATTATAATTAGGCTTGAATAACGAGTAGTTTATTGTAAATTTTAATCAAATTATATTCTTTGCATGAAAATTTGGCTTAGAATGTTGACTTCAATATAGTAAATAATATATTACATGTATATTAAACTTATTTCTAAGTAAACAATTAACAATAAACAAATGTACTAACTTAGACTGTACAAATACAGAGATTCTTATGTACTGTATTAACCTACAGTACACACTTTCGGTTCGGTATTACTTACACACACTCTTTTGGTACAGACAAACATACAAGACGTTTCCGCCCCTTTCCTCCCAATATTTACTTATTTTCACCTAAAAATCAGTTATTTTCCCCAATTCAGCGAATAACAACACAATAAAATAACTTCTGGTACAAAAATAAAAATTTTTAAAGAGAGGGAGGGACTATGATTTTTCAAAAACTGAACACCCCTTTACATTAGTTTATTAGCGCAATGGAAACAAATCTTCTAAAAGAACAGAGTAAGATTAAGAGCGAGATTACTAAAAAACCATGTCTCAATAAGCTGAAATAAATGAGAACAAAAAGGGAAAGAAAACTATAATTTAAGTACTTGAAAAAAGGACGCAATGACGTCATTAATAAACCAAAAATGATAATGTCTGACCTCAATTTTAACATCTGTTCCCTGAAGCAAATCCTGAACTTTCTCTTTAGAAGCTCCGAACTCACTCTCAATAATATAGTTGGGTATCAGTAACCGGATATCTCTAAAGTAAAATAACAAAAATTAAAGATGATCTAGAGACCCTTTGTCTGAAGAGTTTTATGAACAACTCTGCTGAACTCGCTACGGCATCCATAAAAAAAGAATCTTAGCCAGCAGGTTTTCTAGAAAGCAATTTGTGAGAATGACCCCCAGTAATTGTTTTCGAAAACTTAATTATTTCGTCGTTTGGTTTAAAAAAAAAATAACTTTCCCAGCATGGATATTTCTTGTTTGTTATAGAGAATATAGTGAGAAGTGACTATACATTTCGAAAAATGCAATGACACGGAATATTTCTTAATGTTTTAACAATATTTTTTTAACGCAGACAAATTTCAAATTTTTTGGCTTATTTTAATTACAAATTTAAAAAACAGAAACATGGTCTATAAAATAAGCTTTCATTAGTTGCCACTTACGATCATCGTTTTTAAAAGAAAAAATTGCAGTTGATATTCTGCCCCTTAGATCATGATCCCTTAAAAACCTTAATCTGATAAAAAATGTTACCGACTTACTCGAAAAGGGTTAAGTTCTAATTTCTCCATTGACTATTTTAAACACGAAATGTGCATGTCACTCACGCCTCACGCAGAGAAACCGAAAGGTAAATAAAAGTTTGAAGTAACAAAACCATGGATAATGTATATCTTATTCATACTTGATAAGACAAAGCTTTCTAAGGTACCATTATAAATCGGGCATTGCCATCTTTGCACTGAGAGTCATTTAAAATTAAGCTTACAGTCCCTTTAAAATAACTATCTAACCTGGGTTGAGATTTTTCCTCTTCAATATTAAGTAGAGCTGCCTCTAGACATTCAAGCATTGGTTCTTGATCCTCACCCTTCAATCCTAGTACACGATCCCCACCTCCACAAGTCGGTAGTGATACCTAGATAGTTGTACAGTTTACACTAGGGATACTTAGATAAGTGTACAGTTGTACATTATGAATACCTAGATAGTTGTACAGTTGTACGATAAGGATATCTAGATATGTGTACAGTTGTACACTAGGGATATATAGATAGTTGTACAGTTGTACACTAGATATATTTAGATCAATGTACAGTTGCACACTAGGGATATCTAGATAGTTGTACAATGTACACTAGGAATACCTAGTTAGTTGTACAGAGGTACACTAGGGATACCTAAATAAGTTTACAGTTATACACTAGGAATGCAAGGCTAGTTGTACAACTGTACACTAGAGACACCTAAATAAGTGTACGTACACTAGGAATACCTAGAAAGTTTTATACTAGGGATACCTAGATAGTAAACTAGAGAACCTAAATAGTTGTGCAGTAAACACAGTGTACGATACAAATACTGCTGTACAGTATTATACTATTTCTACTCAGAACGATAACTATTTCTAGTTTATGAATTATAAAGCTTACCAAGCACGTGAATCTCTCTTGTAAATCTTTAGTTCTGATACAACATTTTCCACTGTACCCAACCATCTACATATATAATCATAAAATATTAGGTATAATCTTAAATTTAAACTTTTTGATGGCTGTATAGTGTATGGATATGGCAATGCCCGAATTAAAACTTTAATATGATCAAAAATGGAGAAGGGTTTTTTATATCTTTGAGTTTCTCCATTGCTTCTTACCAACAAAAAATGTGCAAGTCACTTTCGCAGAGAAACCACAAATGAAAATAAATGTAAATCCGGCATTGCCATCTTTGCATAGAGGGTAGCTTGAAATAACACTTATAGTCCCTTTTAATGGATATTGAGATAAAACCCACTTTTTCCTTTAAACATGTAGATTGAAAACGAACGTTAAGTTTGACTGATAGCTCATTGATTAAACTTAGAAGATTTGTCCAGTAAGATATCGGGTTATTTCTTGACAAGAAGAGAATAATTTTAGCCAATCCCAACCATTAAAAAGTAACCAGCTCTGAATTCGTAATTTGTTAGAATGTTATTTTTAATAGGATTAATTACACAATTAACGAATATGATCTAAAACATTGAATAAGGTTAATGTATGAACACCCCTGATAAAAATGTTTTAAAGTAAGTAAGGAATATTTATACGATACATTACAATCTTCATATGAGATTTTATCCAGATCACTTTAAGCTACTCTCAATCCCCTCCCACTTCCCTAAGAAGTGTTTATCACTGCTACCTTAGAAGAGAGAAGAACCCTTATCTCTACTCTAGGTTGTTCTCTCTTCTTCTTCCTGTCCGCTAGGTTAGGGTTGAGCTGGAGAAAATGTGAATATATTTGCTCTTCAACTAGTTCAAGAAATAAGCTGCTGTACTCTTCTCTTAGTTCACTAAACAATATTAAGATTAGGGTTAAGTTAAAGAAAATGTGAATATATTTTGTTTCTACTTGTCTTAGATCAAAGATGGAAATGTTTCTACCTGTCTTAGATCAAAGATTGAGATGTTTCTACCTGTCTTAGATCAAAGATGGAAATGTTTCTACCTGTCTAAGATCAAAGATGGAGATGTTTCTATTTGTCTTAGTTCAAAGATGGAGATGTTTCTTCCTGTCTAAGATCAAAGATGAACACTGGAGATTTATATGCGTCTTAGATAGACAATGGTTATGTTTCATTTGTCTTAGATATGATCTAATACAAACCTACAAAACCTTAGAGGTTGAAGGAGATAAACTCTGGTTTTAAAGAGATAATCAAGTATCTGTGAGAACCAAGAGACATATAAATGACAGAACCAGGAACTATCAGAAGTAATTTCTTTACCCAAAGAGTCATTGATAATTGGAACCAGTTAGAGAGTCCCAAAATATCAAGATATTTAAAAGAAATCTAGATGAATATCTATCTTCTTCTGAGATAAACTAATCCTGAGAGAATGATGAGATTCACAGAAGAAGACTGGGTGGAAAAGATGTTGCAAAATACCCCTAGCGGGGGCTACACCAACTACTCTTCTCTAAGTATACAAGTATGTTCCTGGTCCAGTGTCGACCTCTTGACCAAGTCTTATTACCTATTGAATGATTGATGAAGTGTCGGAACTAAATCTAATTACCTATTGAATGATTGATGAATTGTCGGAACTAAATCTAATTACCTATTTAATGATTCATGAAGTGCCGGAACTAAATCTAATTACCTATTTAATGATTCATGAAGTGCTGGAACTAAATCTAATTACCTATTTAATGATTGATGAAGTGCCGGAACTAGATCTAATTACCTATTCAATGATTGATGAAGTGCCGGAACTAAAGGAAGAACATCAGATGCTGCATAGTAAATCATCTCATCGGATAGTGGACGTCGGGCCCAGAACTTGTTATCACGGATATATATCTTCTTCATCTAAAAAATCATAAAAATATTTTTAATCCTGCTTTCGTAATGCTTATTTTATAAAGAAACAACCTTTACATCAAGACAAGTACATAATCATTTTATAAAAAAACCGTTTATTTTGGCACCACATGATAAATGTTTTTTGACTAAAATTATTCATCTGTTTTCCTGTATCTCTGGATCTCTGTATCATAAATAGATTATATATATGCATAGTTGGGTGTTCCAAACAAAACAAAAATCCATGCACCCATTTCTGCATAGTTCCCTTAGTCTGAAATGCTTCTTTGTTGAAAAAAAGAATATTTCAGGCAAGTGTAAACTTTATATTAAAACATTATAATTGCTGAGTTTGGACCTATATATCAAGTTAAAGGGCACAACCTACAATTTTGGTCTTCTTCAAGGATCGGAATGAAAAACATAGATCCCAAGTTAGTGATCTCCATTTTGATCACTAGTCAAAATGGAGGTCCTGATTCATAATCGGTCCACTACACGCACCAAATACAGGCTCTAATCTACGGCTTACCTCATCTTTGGCATTGTTAATCGGAGCTTTGTACTCTTTGCAGAGATTGTTGAATGAGATGAGCTGTGTGAGGTAGACGGGGATATTTCGTGTCTGCATCTGCAGAACTCGATGAACACTCTACAAAAATATGATTATTTAGAACTAGCTTGGGAACCTAGCATTGCCCAGGTCACTCATACTTACTCCCACCGTTTACCCGATTTGGTCGATTTTACCGGGAAAATAAATTGTTGCCATTTAAGTCGATCCAATCAACTTAAACTCTCAAAACCAAACTTACAACATTCCAGTGGTTGTCCCAAGTTCCCCCAATTAAAATTTCAGGCAATTCGGTCCCGCGTGGGGATTGTGAGTTATGTTCGGGCATAAAAAACAAACAGAGCTGAAAACTTTAGATTTAAGAATGAGATATCCTTAATCCTGATCTCTTAATCTGAGTACACACTTTTGATTTTATTCTTAATCCTCTTTTTTGGATATCCCTACTATATAAATGTTACGTTTGATAGCAATTATAGATACAATGATATATCGATTGAACTTATATCTGATTAATTAAAAGTTAGCTATTTACTAGCCGGCTTTTAGAGCATTTAAGCAAATATAAATTTAATCATGTTAATATGAACTTATTAAAAAATATATTTTATCACATGTTAGGACTATAATCATTTTAAACGTTAGTCTTAACAAACATTAATCCAAAACTTACACTTATTTAATCGTTGTTTAGTTCAATTTATATGAAACCATTTTAACACCAGAAAAAAAACGGTTTTTCACAAGTTAAAGAGTACATCTTAACATGATAAGCTGATTGGTTGAATTTTATACTTCTTTCTTGCATTAATCTTGATATCCATCATTCTAAAGTTTTCAGCTCTGAGACTTAAACTTTATATCTAAAGAATAGATACTAGGCTTCAGGACCCATCGACATTCGTAATTCTTACATTGTAAAGAAACTAATTGAGTAAAATTTTGCGGATTTTTCTGTTTTTATTTCGCTGATTTCCAAGTGATTTAAAATTCAAAATTGAGGCGGTCTTATGACGTCCAGCACAGTATTGGGGCTTGTTAATTCGGTTTGTTTATCGGATAAGACAAACAGACAAGCCAAATATATACATAGATTGATCATGAGTAATGATCCAAAACCATTGGATCCGCGTTTTCATCCAATTAAATCTTGATTTGGATCTAAATATCACAAAATTTTCGCCGTCAGGTCCATTTTTTTTGACGGATCTAAATTTTCCTTTCAGTGAAAGGGATAAATTATGTTTGATGACCCCCCATGCTGATTTTTCAAAAGTACCTGTGTATCAAAAATATTCCTTAGAATGATGCCATGCTGATATTTCAGAGCTCCAGAGTCATTCGTACAATCATGGATAACCTTAACAAACATTCGTACAATCATGGATAACCTTAACAAACATTCGTACAATCATGGATAACCTTAACAAACATTCGTACAATCATGGATAATCTTACCAACATTCGTACAATCATGAATAATCTTAACCAACATTCGTACAATCATGGATAACCTTAACAAATATTCGTACAATCATGAATAACCTTACCAAATTTGTAAATTAATCTCATCATTTGAATCTAGGAATAATTATTTACTAAAATTTGAAAATCTTTTTCCCAAAAACCTACCTGGAGAAGATAATGGTTTCTAGGGGAGAATAAATAAATCTGAAGGTAGAATACATCTATGAAGGGGGAGAAGATTTGCCTTTTAATGTCAAATTAAAATGTTGAGCCAGGCAGATCAAAAATCCATTAACACCAAACCAACGAATCCCCCCCCACCCCACAAATAACCAATTAATTAACAAACCAGCCAACTAACAACCAACAACCCAACCATCCAACCACCATACCAAACACCCTTAGGTCTACCAACCAACCACCCGACCATTTAACCACCATACCAAACACCCTTTGGCCTACCAACCACCCACCCAACCATTTATCCACCATACCAAACACCCTTAGGCCTACCAACCACCCACCCAACCATTTAACCACCATACCAAACACCCTTTGGCCTACCAACCACCCACCCAACCATTTATCCACCATACCAAACACCCTTAGGCCTACCAACCACCCACCCAACCANTAAATTTTAAAAAGTAAGACATTTCTCTTTAAATATAGTGAAATTAACATATATACCATACCTAGTACATTGACGACAAGAAAATTTTAGAAATTAGATATTAGAATATAAACAAAGACAATATTTTTTTCAAAGTTTTGTAGAGTAGCTTTTCTAAAGATTTAAAAAAGTTACATCTTTTTCTTCTTGGAGTAAAACTATTTTTTATGTTACTTAAAATAAATTCAGTTTTTTTACAGATCTTTGTAGTTAATGTCAAATGAATGACTATAATGAAGGGTATAAAACAAGTTGAAAGCTGAAAGGTAGGAAATGAAGACTTTTTTGGATGGAGTTTGTAAATGTCAGAAATGAGTGGAAAATGCAAATCGACCCAACTAAAACCAATAATTTGATATACATCATGATATTTTTCTAGGGGTAAAAAATTATTCTAAGGGGGGGAATTAAAAAAATTTACCCCCCCCCCCCTACAGAATCTTTATTTACGCCCCTGTTCACAAGGGTACCTTTTAAAGCTTTCTCTGATCAAGGATGAGTAAACATACTTATTCCTATTATTTCTAATTGTAATTTCCCTCCCAAAGTTACTTGCGGTTAATTGCTGCAGAAACAATGGAGGAATTTGACAAAATTTAAAACTTTACTAGAAAGAAAACGACAACATCTTCCTCTCATTGTTACACAGATAGATGTTAAAATGGCACTGTTGAGAATCGGAAATAATATTCTTTAAATTGAGATTAAGTCTACAGAAACTCTAATTTTAATTCATAGAACCAGATTCAATGTTTTAGTCAATAAAATCTTGCCCCCTTTTTCCAAAAATAGTAAAAAATAAAACATTATAAAAATAATTTGTTTAGATCCTTCAAATAACTGTGAAGCTTTAAAAAAATTTTCAAATTCAACATTCAAAATTTAACAATAGCAATTTACTTCCCCATTGACAGTACTTTAAATTAAGGACCAAAACCTGAAAGGAAAACACCACTGGGAATACATTCTTTAAATGTACCTTCACTTCTGTAATGACGGTCGTAACTGCCAACACACTTTCACGAACTTTCATGTCATCCTGAGGAAACAACAATTATCTTATGTACCAGGGGTGAATAATTCATATATTTCCAATTTCTTTTTCTACCCCCCCCCCCCTTCCACATTTTTTTAATATATTTATTTCCCCCTACAAAACAAAAAGGGGGGGGGGGTGAAATAATTTTATTCATTCCTGGTGTACTAAAAGAAATGCTGAAAAAGCATCAGAAGAAAAGAACAAATTAAGAGAGAATATTACCTTGTTCACTTCCTTCGTGAGATCAGCTTTCTTTCTTTTTTGTCTCCAGCCACCATTCCTGCTTCCTCGTCCTTCAGCATCATATTCCTTCCTGCCACCTCTTCCTGCCTCTTCATAGGATTTCCTGCCTCCCCTTCCTGATTCTCCATAGGATTTCCTGCTACCTCTTCCTGCCTCTTCGTATGATGTCCTGCCATCCCCCCTAACCCCTTCTTGATCATTGGCACTCATTATGACATCTGAAATTAAATCTTTTCGGTGAGCACCTTTTTTAAGTAAAAAATCACTGGTCAATAGCAGTCGACAATCTCTACTAGTCCTTTATTGTCTGTAGAGTTGATAATATCTTCTAGAATAGAATCAAGAAAATCTTCTTCTTCATCCTCTATCCCCAACCTCCGGTCTCGGTAAATTAGCAGAAAATCCGGAAAACTTTTTTTCGAATAATTCACAATTTTTGTGTCTGTGCAGACGGCGCTAGTGTGTAATTCAGCCACAAGATCCGAGTCCTCTGCTTCAACTATCCTCTCAATAATATCATCAACATCGTCTTCTTCAAAATGCGGAACACTTTTGTTCGGGACAGATTTCCTGGAGTTTAATGCCGCGATATCCAACTAAATATCATCATATCTTTAGGGGAGCAACATTTTTGAAGTTGGTGTAGTACCGTGGTTTTATATTCTAAAAATTATTATCCCCCCCCCCCTGCTCTCCCCGGCCAAATAAATATATGCCTGTTTAACATTAAACAAAACATTTAAATCTAAACAGAATATTTTGCACAGACAATTTTTTAGGAATTTATTTTAAGTTTTAAAAAACTATCTCTTTATTTTTTTCTAAAAATTAAGATGTTTANCCCCCCCGGCCAAATTTTCAATGGATAAATGTGAGAAATAAAAATATGATTGTTTATCGTAAATCAGAACACTTAAACTAAATGGAAAATTTTGCACAACATTTTTTTAGTTATTTATCTAGCAAGCAGGGGTTGTCATAATAAAAGTTAATAAATTAGCTTATTCAAAACTTTTACCTTTTGGATCTTGTTCAAACAATGTTCTTCTCTAAGGTTTAAATCATCTTCAAGTTCCTCGAGAAGCTCTTCGAACCTTCCTCGAACTGAACCCTCGTAGTCGGTCAACCCGAGAATAAGTCCGTTGAAAAATCCGCAATTTTGAAGACTTTCGTTTCTATCTAAATCTTGCTTGTGCTTAGTAAAGATCTTCGTCCAAACAGAGGCAGTTTTTAGCTTTACTTCCCAATCAAAATCCTTGCTTAAGAATAATCATTGAAATAAGGAAATTTATATTCCCAGTTGACTGGGTTGACATTTATAGGGAAAGCTCCAATCAAAGCTGGGATCCCAAACTAGTTTTCTTATAAAATCGTTCATTAAAAAAACAAATTTTCAAAATGTTTTTATGCTTTTAAGGGTTTTCGAGCAAATAAATATTTTTTTTTAAAATTACGTTTTAACAACAGACTAACAGATGAATAAATAAACCACGGCCTACTTATAGATATGCTTCTATCTACCGATCTTTACTATTTGGGGTGGTACATGTAATTTTGTAGGTGTGCTTTACAGCTGTTTTATTTGAGTGGACCCTAGATTTTTTGGGAAATTTTGAAACCTCTGCATGGTGTACTTAAGGCTTCATTCTGGCTATCGTTCATTCTATAAAAAATAATTTTTTCGTTTAAAAAAGAGGAGTTTTGTTAAATTGTGGACCCTGGGGTAAGCAGAAATGATATACCGTAGCTAATGTAAATCCTAAGAATTGGGTAGCATCTTATGTGCATTATTTTGAGACTTCAAAACTGTGGTCTGCCGTTTTTGTACCATAAGAATTGACTGAGAAATTGAAAAATTTGTCTAAAATTAAATCATTAAATATAACCAAGGTTGTTTAAATATTAAGTATCTCTGACAACTTCTATGATACAAACAAAGAGGCTAAATTTTACCAAGTTTTTCTACATTACTTTGACAACTATTAACTTTACAAAACCAAAGATAAATTTAGAAGTCCAGGGTCCAATGTCTAACGTACTGCATGACACCCCAGCCACAAAATTACATTAAACCTTGACTATGACATATCCATTCTATCATATCCATGTAAAAATAGAACAAGTGCATTGACAAGTATAAATTTCAATGTTAACCTAAGAACATGAATGAGAAGATTAGACAGCTTCTGTTCCAACTCCCTTGAATTTAGAAGGAAGACGACAGAACTAACAAAGTCCACACACTCTCTTCGAACAATGGCTTCCTCGTCGGTTAATAAAGTTTTCTCTGCACGTGAATAGATAAACTGCTGGTCATCTTCGGTCAACTCTGGAAGGCAGGTATGTATTTTCAAATACTGCCAACCGCATGGGCTGTGATAAATGTTGATGCTCTTGAGAAAAAATGAAAAATCTTTATTATAAGGAAATTTTTTTGGCCTTTTTTGGTGCTATTTACCCGGCAAAAACATAATTTATTTTCCACTACATTTTTTTCCCCAATTTAAATCTGAGGGAAATGACTTNTTAAAGAATATATACACCCCTGCTTGAAGGTTGAGTAGGGAAGACCAGAGTTGGTAGGATCCAGATCTTACATAGCTGTTGTAGTTTGTCTGGGTGGAGTTAATAATGTTCTGAATACAGAAGAGTTGTTCCAAGGATAGGACAGGCAGGCAGGATTTCAGAATAATACACAGACACTAAAACATGTTAAATCGTTATCCCTTTGTTAAAATAGGTAGAATAAATAGGAGAACATTTATTAATCATTAAAGAAGCAGAGTTTTGGAACAATCTCAGATTTTTAAATCCTTATATCATCGCAAACTAATGCCGTTCACCGTCGATATTTAAATACTATGAATCATGTTAGATCAAATAGTTTAAATTTGCAATATCTGAGGTTTATGCTAAGATAACGGGATTATAAAATTTTTATTTGTGGCAAAAACTCAGTTCCATTGTTGGGGGGGGTTTTGAGGTAAAATATTAAATTTAGGGTTAAATGCAAAAAATATCTAAACCAAATATTTAAAAAAAAAACTGTTGTTCCAAATAGAAATCATATCCTAAGATATTTGTTTATTGATAAGAAACCTTAAGAGTAAGTGCGGACTTAAAAATACCTGGATAGCGGAATCTTTAAGCTGCCATGATCCAGTATCACTCACACAATTGTAACCAAGGGAGGACAAAAACTCCAGCGCTGCCTGACTGCCGATAACATCATGTAGGACAAGGGAGGACAGGGTTTGACAGCAACAGGATTTAAGGTTGTCAGGCACGCCCATGAACCGTCCTAACGTCGTTCTGATAAACTGGAGGATGTTCTCTAAGCATTCAAGATCATTAAATTGAGAAATTCCTTGGACAAACGTGAGCACAGCGAGTATATTCTGGATATTTTCAGATTCTTCCTCCTCAAGTACTTTTACACAACCCTCCAAACATTTTCTCCTGAAAAAAAACATGTGACCTGGGAACTAACTATATCTGAAGACGATGAAAAAAGTATCTCTTATTGGTCAGAAATAAAATGATTGACAAATGAGAGACCAAATAAAAAATTCTCAAAACTGTTTTGAATTTTTAACGAAGAGTTTATAAGTTTCTAGTCCTGCAAGAAGGTATTCTTGTAAAAAGAGTCAAGGAATCTTTGTTTTCAAGTTTTTCTTTACACACTGACGAATCAGAGTAAGTTTCCAAATAATTTTTCAGGAGACTGAATATATTTCCAAGTTTAAGGTGAAAAATACTAGCTTTGTCTTTACAGCTTATCTAAGTTTAAATACATGTTAAAGCTATCGCTCGTAAGTATGCTCTAAGTTCTAACCTAATATAAGGGTTGGATGAAATGTTACTTAAGTGCTAGGTTTAGAGATCAGGGTTGGCATAAAAAAATCCAGCGCACAAAAACACCCAAAAACACCAATAAAACAAAATTTAAAAAACCCTGTTTTTTCAAACCCTGTTAAAGATTAATCTGATAAAGTGTATTCTGACCTAATATGAGGGTTGGATGAAATGTTATCTCCTATGTTTGGTTTAGAGATGAATCTGATAAAATCTGGCCCTGTTCCAACCAGGTTCAGATAATCTAGTAATAAACAAACATTCTTTTTTCATTATAAATAGATTAATACCTAGAAAAATTTTAACACATCCCCCCCCATTACAAACATGGAATTTTATTAGAGGCAAATTTTTGAAAATTGATCATCCATAAACCTTCCCTGGGGTAATGTGAGATCCCACAAAATTTGGCCCCGATCGGTTAGTCCGTTTTGACGTTTATTGGATACAATCAAACCAACAGACAGACAGACAGACAAGCGCTGCTTGGGAAGTTGCCACTTAAGAAATTACACATTTGGGAAGTTTTCACTTGGGTCAACACCCTCTGGAAGTAGCCGCATGGAAAAATGCCTTTTGAAATTACCGAACATTTCAAAAATCTTTAGTATGTAGATAGAGACTGATCAAGTTTTTTGCAGGGGTGTAAAAGGGACAGAGAAGGGAAGTAGAAGGGGAAGGTAAGAGGAAGGTAAGAGGAAGGTAGGGTAGAAAGGTAAAGGGAACTAAGGGAATGGAAAAGTAGAGAATCAATGGAAGGTTGGCAGATAAAGAAGTAAAGGAAAGGGGAGTATAGAGAAGGGAAGGGCTGGAGCTTTTTACCTCTACAAAACTACATACCTTTATCTAAAATCAGAGTTTTTCATAAATAAATTCCCCCAATAGATATAATGCTTTAACTTCATAACAAACATGATAAAAGAATGCTCATTACTCAATAACTTTTCATAATACTCAAATAGACTAAAAAAATTCAGGACAGACAAATAATCAATCCCGACTTTTTCCTGCCATTGCCACCATACCATTAACCAAAGTTTTTAAAAAAATTTGCCTATGGCACCATTCATGCTTTTTAAAATGCATCATTTAAGGGATTAACATGCAATGCAAAATAAATATTAAAAATTATGTCTTATTAGTTAAATCAGTTAAAAATTTGAGAGAGGCGGGAAGAATAAAAGAATTTGAATTATAATACACCCCTGTATTTGTTAATAGGAGATTTTCAAAAGCCGGACAAGTAAATCTGATAAATCATTGATCAAAACTATCAGATTTGACCAGCATTGATCTGAGATTGATCTCTGGTACAGACAAATAAACTGCCTGTGCCAACAAGGATTTAAGGTAGAATGTGTTCCTGTAACATGTGTTACTAGATTAGGAGCTCTGGGAAGTATTCTGGTGATTTCAACGCAAGCTGTCAGGCGCAATGTAGGATCCTCGACACGGACTAACTTTCTAAACCAAACATATTCTTTTTTAAAAGTAAAACAAATCATATGAAAATAATTGCTTAAAAAAGAAACTAGTTTAACATAAAGAAATCAAAAGAACTGTCAATGTCATTTATTATAACATCACCCCCGCCCTGGCCCCCATATACCTATAAAAATACTAAGTGTTTTGTTGGTTTTATCGCGATTTTCTGGGAATATTAAATAAGTTTTAGGAAAAAAGTTAAAACGAGATTAAAAAGATGGCAGAAAATTAAATTTTTTCAATTTTTTCTTATCTTCTGTTTTTAGATATATATTTACTAGCAGTTAATATGTAAGAGGATTATCGGTTTCCTTGCTGTTTCTTCTATATCTCCGTTGTCTAGCCCGGATTCAAGCAGAACAAAGCAGAAATCTCTAGCACCAAAGCTTATCATTGAATAATCTAGTTTACACTTCACAAATTCAAACAGTTCTGTCTTTAATTCACTAATCTTAACCTGCTTCACCATCTGTTTCAACTGGGCCAGAAGAAGTTTTGTGTCCTTGGCGTTCTCAAAATATTCAACGAGAAGATTTTGGCAGATTTTTTTGTAATTAGCGGATTTTTCATCCTGTTTGATTTGTGATAATACTGTTAGAATTGAGATAAAGCACTTAATAGAGCGATCACTTATATGATAGGAAACTGGACTTTGAAGATTTTTTAACACCATTTCTAGAAATTTTCTTTTTGTTGCGATACTAACTAATTGTCCACTAAGAATGGGGGGTTCATTCTTATTAAGGATAGACTGTATTAGGTGTAGTAGTGCCGAGATCAAGTTTTGATCATCAGATTGACAGAGATCTTCTATCTTTTGCTCAACCAGGTCTAGTATACTGGGAGCAGATTCTAGTTTTAGCAGGACTATCCGGGATAGGTTCAGAGCTAGAGTTTTCAGCCCCGGGACCTTCAAAGCTCCGGCCAGGACGGTTTCAATAAACCTAAACAAGTTTCTGATCAGAATGTTTGTTTTTTGGATTGTTTGATTGTAGCCAATAACAGTCAAAACGGATGAACCTATTATATAAAATTTTTGCAGTAACTCAAATGATCACAGGAAAGGTTTTGGCCGGTCATGTCGTAAATCAAGCTAAAAATCCCTCAAAATAATTTTTATCTTTTAGAAATTTTGGAAATCCTGCAAAGCAAATAGGAAAATCTGCGAAACTTGTCGTCAAATTGACAGTAAAATGCTTGAAGTTTTCTTCAGTTTTGTTTTTAGTTTAAGAAATTTATACCTAAATATACCACAGCTTTTAAACTCACTTTCAGTGTTCACTCTGGACTCTGTCTCTGTTAGCAGATGCTGTCTATAAAAATATATTATTTTTTTAAATAAAATTTTTTGGACTTAAATACCAAAATATTTTTGAAGTTATCAAAATATTTTCCTTCATCCCCGAGGTTTGAAAATAATTTTTCACTGTTTAAAAGTAAGTATGAACGGAAAATGACGCTAGAAGAAGTCAATAATACATTCATTTCAGCTTTTTTTAAGCCCGCACTATGGCTCAAAGTGTTAAAAAACGGGGAAAAAAAGAATTCTCATAGTTTTTTTCGCTGCATTTCAACACATTAACTTGAACAGTATGTCTGGGGAAAAATAAATTTAATTTTTTAAGTCAAAAAAGATAATGTTTTCACCCTTTATTTTGCATGTAAAGGGGAACTAGTTCACGCTTTTTTAAAGTGAGATTGTCAACTGAAAAGTTCACAACTTCTTCTTGGGGCTGACAAAATAAGAAAAAGGTTGCAAGGTTCTTAATTGGATATAAGCTCAAGAAATTTTTAAAGAAATTTTTTAAATTATTTATTTTCACTTCTTGGGAACATTTTTATTCTTAAGATTTTAAATTTTTTTCAAATATCTAGTAATTTGGACATTAAATAAGTTGAGACCATTGTAAGATCTGGAGATCTTTATATGACTATTGTTCAGGTTGATTCACGAAGCATGAGACTCTGCAAGTGTTCCTCCAGAAGCATTCAAGATTTTAATACTCTATCTACAAATATTTATTCTACATTTATGAGTTTTATCCTGAAAACTATATTTATTGGACTTTTTAACCTGAGAACAAGAATTTTATATTACATGCCTATATATGTATTCTCAAAGTTTACTTCTAAAAAACTTATATTTAAACAAACATCTAAAACGACCAAGCTTATATTGCGTGATTCACTTCCAAAAGAGAACATAATGGGATAGCTTTGTATTTTATTAAAAGATTGTCCTGTTAGCTCCAAGTTGTGCACTCAAGTTAATAATCCCGGGTCACCACCTGTTCTACCTGAACTCTGAACTCTAAATATAAACAGGTGATCAATTGAGAAACTCCAGTTAAGCTGACTTGGAATTTCATTTAACTTTTGGTTTATCTTCAGATAAGCCTGGTTCCTCTGATCTGAGTTGCTGCTCAGATCCTCATCATCACGAACCTGCAGTAGCTGCGATCTCTCCGCCGCTGCTACCATCTCTCAGCCGTTGCTGCGATCTCTCCGCCGTAGCTGCCATCTCTCCGCCGTAGCTGCCATCTCTCCGCCGTAGCTGCCATCTCTCCTCAGTAGCTGCCATCTCTCCGCCGTAGCTGCCATCTCTCCTTGGATGAAGTAGAACTACACTTCTTTCCAAACCTAACAGCTTGAAGATAAAGCTGAATTATAAAAGGTGATGATCAATAGATTGAAACTAGTTACTCAAAGGATTAAATAAACTAATTTAATCCTGTTTAGATATCTCCCCTATCAACCCTGAGTGCTAGATCAAGTCCTGTAACCCTTTAAGCTGATCTTACCTGTACCTTCTATTCCCCAGTCTCTGTCGGGATAACAATAGGTACATATTAGTTTCTTGTGATGAGTGTGAACTATTCTTTCGAGTTATAAACAATTGAAAACACATATTGAAAGTTAAAGGCTATATCTTTCAAATGAGCTCACCGTGATATTTTTAGTTGTGTACGAGATATGTTGGCTAAGATCTAAAGAGCTGTTAACCTCCGGCCTAATCAACTTTGTAAGTGCATTTTTAAATCACATTAATATGTCATGAAATATTCACATTACACACCTGGAGCAAATTTTATTGGCTAACTATACATGTTTATTATTTTACGATTTATTTAATATTCATAATATAAATGATCTAACCGTGACTGATTTTGTGTTTTTCAGTTTCACGGCTTAGAGCTCTTGTTCCTGTATCTTTAGACTAAATAAATAAGATTAAGCAAGACTCTAGTGTATAAACGAGGTGCGCTGGTGAAAATGCCCATCTTAATGTTAATAGTTTGAATACCTGTGGATCTAAGGTATTGGTATTCTTGGTTCTATCCTAGACCTTGAAAATGGCACAACCATACGAAATGAGGGGTAACTTTCATCTCTAGCAAATACTTATTGGTGTGTAAAAACTTTGTGAAAATTTACAGATGCCCGAAGTTCCGCCATTACAAATTAAATATTGCGAAAAAAGGACATTTTACAAAAATTTCTCAAACCACGGAGAGCTCAATAGATTTAGATAAGTGTTTTTTACTTTAAATATTTATTTATTTATTTGGTATTTATTTTCAAACACAAAATACAAAATAATAATGTATGATGGTTCAGCTTAAAATAAAACACAAAAGAAAATTTATTATGAGCCAATTGAAAATAATGTTTGATAATTTTGTTTGATCGTTTTTGTTGAAACAAAGTATGCATATTGAAATCTCAACTAAATATACATTCATTAAAGTAGATAATTGCTTCACTGTTATATGAATAACTAATAATTCGTTAAGTAAAATGGACCTTGCTATTGTTCTTGGTCAGAATGCATTCTGCATGATAATTAGAATGGTCAATTTAAACACACAAGTTGGTTTATTAGTTTTAAAAACGCTGGTTTTGATTTTGCACTGTATATTTACATTTTTGAATCAAACGCAAGTTAAATAAAAATCCAATAATCATTTAAATTTTTTTGGTCAGCTAGTATGCAGCTAAATTTAATTATGTCATTGATACAAATGTGCATTGTGCAATGTGCATCAATCAAAATATCTCTGAACAATTTGATTGGCCAGCATGCATCAAGCACGCATCAAGCATGCCCAGTTGCATAAACCTCAACTTTGGACTAAAATCGTTTTACTAACCAGAAAATATAAATCTATAGTTCGGTTAACATTTTTCAAAAAATTTGACCCCAAGCATACATACTGAACGGAATGCACACAGCTCAACTTTTACCCTGTAAATGGATTAGTTGATGACAAAACAAAAGGTTGCCATTTATCTATTTATCATGAATATGCATCAAGCATCCGATGCATCCCACATGCATGCTAAATGATGAACTCAATGCATGCTGATTAGTACTTAAATAGAAATGGATTTCTTAATCTCATACGAGTTATTTCTGGTATTGATTTTGTAAGCATCCAAGCAGCAATTAATTGTTTCCGCTTTTTTGACACCTTAAGCCATAGTGGGCCGGAAGTAAAAATAAACTCTGGAACTCTGATGACAAATCTACAAGTATTCAAGTAAGTATAAAAAGTCTTACATGTACGTATCATCCTTAAGGTCCGCGCTCTGTTTGAGAATAGAGTCAAGGGCCCGGGAATATCTGTTTGCTACTATTATGTCAAGGTCCCTGAAACATCCTTCAGATACAACCATTTTTCTGAAATCTATAAAAACAATTTAATATAATGTTTTATCACAATATAATTTTCACAGTTTAGAAGCCAATTTATAAATTTTTGCGAGCATTTTGGAGCCGAAACAGATTTTGGTAGTTTTATTGTTATATAATAATTAATTTCAAACTCAGTCGATGACAAATGATACAGGTATATAACTACTTCCTAATAAAAACTACTAAAAAAAGGACTAAACTGTTTTTTACTTTCTTAATTATTATGATTGATTCCAAGTTCTGATACTAGCCGATGATTCCCATCAGATTGTACAAAATGAGATATTTTCCTGAATACTTTTTGTCAATATATATTCAAATACTAAGGACCAACGTGTTGTATGATTTTAAATCTACTAAAATAAAATAAAACTGTTTTTTATAAATCTTGATTTTAATCCCTCATTTATATACAAAGCTACAATATTTCGGAAAATGAATTTTAAATTATTCTTTTATTAAAAATGTTCACTGTAAGGGCAAGAGATTGTTTGAGTAATATTGATGTCAACCCAAAGAATAGGGAATGTTTTGACAGGGGGCAATAATTTCAATTTTTTTCTTCTTTAATATTTTCAATATTTTTTAATATTTTCAATATTTTTTAATATTTGAATGCTTTTGGATTATAATGAGAAGTAAATATTCTTGCATTGTTATTTTAAACTTTTATGTAACATTTTTTTCCATTTTCCAAGTCCAATTATTTGTATTAAATTATTGAATTTTACTGACCCCTGTATTTTGAAATGTGTCCAATTTTTCAACTAAATACTTAATTACACAATTATAAATCTTCCGATATCCAAGGTTGTTCAAAAAACACGGAACTATAAGGATTCAAGCACTCACATATGAAGCATATTATCGTTGTTTCCAGTTTAATGTTTAGTGACTAACCCTGTATATTTATATATTCATGAATATATATTTATCTATCTGTCAATATCCTGGGTTTTTCTTCGGTTCAGGCGTTCCTGATCTTTCCGGGAACATAGTTTCGGTCAATATTGGGGTCCTGCAAACAACATAGTTTCGGTCAATATTGGGGTCCTTCAACAACATAGTTTCGGTCAATATTGGGGTCCTGCAAACAACATAGTTTCGGTCAATATTGGGGTCCTGCAAACAACATAGTTTCGGTCAATATTGGGGTCCTGCAAACAGAAAAGCATGTTTTAATAACTGATGATTTTTCAGTTATTAAAAAGATATTTATCTTTCAGGAGATTTTGTTGCATCATAGTCACTGAGACAGTCATGATTTCTATAGGGATAAACTTTCTGTACATGCAGTGATAAACAGAAAACTCTGGAATAGGAAGTCGACTTTTACTCTCAAATTTTGTCAATACATAGTCCAATGAACTCGAACACACCAACTGTGCCGTGTAATCAGACCCATTTCACTCAATAAGTGATTTGATAACTTCGTAGTAAATGAAGTAACTTTGTAACATCATCAAATGCACTTCAGCATTGATTTAATGTCGTCTTCCAATTATACAGTTTCCTGGTTATCGCTGTATAGTGTATAATAACCTTTTTAAATTAATAAATAGATTTTTTTTCAATATATTCATACATCGATGTTCATGATTCAGTGGTTAGGATCCGGATCCGTTGGACCCGCAAGATTTTGGCTTCCTGGATCCGGATCCGGATCCGCAAAAAAAATGCGGATCCACGGATCCGGATCCAAGGGGTAAAATATCAACCAAAACCATTTTTTCAGTGCGGATCCAGGATCCGGATCCGCATCAAAATTAAATGGATCCTAAGCACTGGTTCATGTTGATTATGTCAATTTAATTTAAAGGGGTAATTCAATAATTTCGAAGCAAAAAGTTTTGATGTTTATGATCAGGTCTTTGGCCTGCTCCCTAGCCTCGTAAAAATCTTCAGGATATTTATTATCGACTTTTTTAAAGATAGATTAATCATTGACAAATATTAAACTAGTATCTAACCTGAAGGAACATATGAAGACATTTTTCGTTCTGAGCCAGAGGATGTCCAGCAATTCTAGGAATAAAAGGGTTTATAGAAAGTGTCCAGCAATTCTAGGAATAAAAGGGTTAATAGAAAGTGTCCAGCAATTCCAGGGATAAAAGGGTTTATAGAAAGTGTCCAGCAATTCCAGGGATAAAAGGGTTAATAGAAAGTGTCCAGCAATTCTAGGAATAAAAGGGTTAATAGAAAGTGTCCAGCAATTCTAGGGATAAAAGGGTTTATAGAAAGTGTCCAGCAATTCTGATAAAAGGGTTTATAGAAAGTGTCCAGCAGTTTTAGGAATAAAAGGTTTGATAGAAAGTGTCCCGCAATTCTAGGGATAAAGGGTTAAAGTGTCCATCAATTTTAGGGATAACAGACTTATAAAAAGTCCCTAGCAAATCTAGGGATAATATTAAACTAACTTGTTGACGAATCCCTCGAGGCCTGATCTTCTATCCTCGATAAAGTTCTCGTCATAGATCCCGTCATCTCCACGGAACGGGAGCTGACGCTTCAGTGCCTTACTTGGTAGTGGAGGGACTACAATCTTAAAAGATAAAAATTAGCTGAAAGGTCAGGTGCCATGCATGGAGATTGGAGAGTCTACTCCTAGTGATTACATCATTGCTATGCAATTTTAGACAGCAAAAACTTGTCGATATTTATTAATGTATTTTGATTGGACATTCGCAAGGTCGGGTATCTATGTTTCGAAGAAATAATAATTGTTTAACAATTCGAATAGAAGAGGACATTTAGGATTAAATGTATTTTTTTAATTTCCCCATTAAAAATACTTTTTAGATCTAAATGTGACATTTCTCATGAAAACTTAAAATTTCAAATGTTTAAAGTTGCTTTTAATGTCGAACATTGCGTTGAAATAGTCAAATCACTTAGGAGACAGGCTCTCCATGAAGGACCAGGTGTGTATATTCTTACTTTTTTTATTTTTGGGGTCTATGTATTGATTTCTATGCATTAAATCATAGAATCGCAACCGTATGAATGATTTTTGAATTTTTTTATCGCATTTCTCTAAGTTTTAATGCACGAACCCCCGGTGGGCGGTTGGCTCAGTTCCCATATTGATGATGCCTACAGTGGGGCTTATTCAAACTTAATTTGTTTGCTCAAATTAACATATTAATACTTTTTTTGGAAAATCGTCTAATGTACCTTAGAATCACGTTCAAGCTCATTCCTCAGCCACTCAAAATCAGAGAATCGTCGTCGAACACTTGACTCCTTTACTCGGAAAACCGGCAGGTTTGTCTAAATTTTGACAATTCATCAGATTTCAAGAAAAAATAATAGTTATAATCTTAATTTTCAGAAAATGTCATCTAGAGGAGTTGAGTTAATTCATTTTAAAGAAATTATAGAAATTGAGTGCATTTTCAGGTCTGAAACAAACGTATCAGTAGTTTTAAGGCTTAATTAAGCTAATTCTGTTTTTTTCTCTCGATATTTTTTAAACCGCTAATGTCATGGTTTTAGAAAAAAAGCACGTGAACTGTTCCAACTGTTCAAGTACTGCCCAAAAAAAGTTTTTATTCATGTGAAATTAGTAAATATCACACCAAAAAGCTTTTTCATGCCGTATCTAGTCAGCCAGGCAGTACACTTTGATTTTTTGCTACAATATTTCTTAGGACTGTTCATGAAAAGTTACAACATTTAGAGAACCTGCCATTACCAGTTCAAAAAATATCGCAATAAACCCAGAAGAAGCATATTATAGTCTTTAAACGAAATTTCGTTTGATTTAAACCGTGAATGCATTTCACTTTTGAGATTTCTAAAAAACGGATTTGCTAAAAATTCCCTCAGTGGCATTTTCTGAAAATTGAGATTATACATCAGTAGACTACATATTAACATATTCCAAAGAAAAAGTATAGGTGTTTTGACTTGAAACCTGATGGTCCATTTTCAGCAATGTGTGAAATTCTTTTTTTTAAAAATTCCGTTTTTGTTTATGATCCCATCATCAAATATATTTAAATTGTTCAAAAAATTGACGTGTTACCAACACTATCTGAAGGGCATTTGATTGTATTTCTACTTTCCCAACGCGTCGAAAATTACCCCCCCCCCCCTCTCTCTCTCTCTAAGCCTGGATAAAAGACGATCTTACCTTGAGTCGGCATTCGTAATCGGTGTAACGTTTATTCCCGACCCCGTGTGTGATCGGATTGATAACATCAATCTCCAGGAAATTGGCGGGCGCAGCATACGCATCATCCAGGGTCTGCTTCTTACTGAGATTAAGAAATAAGATTTGGCTAGATCGATACACTGTAAACTCTTCAAGAATAAAATTACAGTAGGTAGATAAGAGGAAGGTAGTGAAAGAGAAGGGGAAGAAGGTACTATAGGGGGAGAAATGGAGGTAGATAAGAAAAGGTGAAGGTAGCGAAGGTCGAAAAAGAAGAGGGAAGGTAGGGAAGATGGGAAAGGGTTAAGAAGGGAAGGAAGAAAATGAAGTTAAATGTAGGAAAGGGAAGGTAGAAAAGGAAAGGTGAAGGTGGGGAAGAAAATTGATGGGATGGCTCAATTATCATTTACCGCCTTTTGACCAACATTACCAACCTATGATTCCCCGAACAGAGGGACGTTAAGTTACTTATGTCCCTTGGGACAATTAAATAAAATAACGACAAGTTCTGCGAAGTCTTCGTGAAAAAAATAGGGCATTTCGGGATTTATCATCATTGTTTTGTTTAAAATGTACACTATACAGTGTACATCCATCTAATTATTTACAATTCTTATTCGCTTATAATGGGCCATCCTATCAAAACAACCAACTCTGGTTAAGTGGGTCCAAACTACAGAGTAAATTGTGATTTTTTTATTTATATTATCTCGTGCTCTGTAGTTAAATAAAAATATGACTAATCTTGGGGCCTGTCCCAGAGAAAGATTTCTGCCCACCCCCCCCGGGGCCAGACACCGTTCTCTAGGAAATAACCCAATCTTGCATACAAAACGTCCCTCGCTGCGCTCTAAATCTTTTGTAGGCAAACTTCCCTGTAAAATAGTTGTAAATAATTTCAAGTACGAGAACTCAGCACGATTATAAGTAACCGGTTATTTCCTAGTATACGAATTTTGGACCGCTATTNGATGTATTTGGTTCTGTGGCCGCTGCGCCCTGCCCCCTAGCCTAACCTAGCCGCGGCGCACTCACCCTATCCTGTCCTTTCCGCAGCGCTCGGCCCCTAGCCTGTCCGAGCCGCAGAGCTCGGCCCCCTAGCTTATCCTAGCCGCAGCGCTCGGCCCCCTAGCCTGTCTTAGCCGTAGCGCCAGGCCTAGAAATTGTCTTAACCTATCCTAACCCTAAAATAACACAAATTATATATAATAAATTTGCTGAAAATTAGTGGTCATATTCAATAATGATAGAAGGGGTGGGGAGGGGGGTCCATAAATCGTATATTAGGACGGACCCAAATTACCTGCTTAATCGCTTGGTCGCATCATCGCTTGCCATTATAGACATTTTTACTCTGAAAGACAAAAAATATTTTGAAACTAGCTGTCTGTCAAAGATTTGTGCAAACAGACAAAGCTTTATAGTAGAACCAATGAGAGTGAATTTTAAACAATTCAGTTTTCCCATCTCTATAGTTTCATACCTCCCGGCTAATGAACACTCTTCCCCTTACTCCCCTGACCCTGTAGTTTACATTTTTCAGGTATAAAGGGACATTTTGACAACTCCCAACACTCAGGAGCAGAGCCGACTGGAGTATTGAAATGTTGCGGGGCATTCATGTCACGGCTCTGTGTTATCGAGGTTCTACAAAAAGGAGATTTTCCTTTTAATTGAATAAGATGGTTAGAAGACGATCAGAAATGTTATTAACTCAAATTTAGGGGAATAAGTGGGATGGCAGAGGCGGCTTACAGGGGGAGGGGGGTATATTTCTAAAGAAAACGTTATATGGAAATTCGGAAATTCAATAATTGAATTATTCCCCCTACCCACTTCCTAGAAAATTAGAAAATATGTATAGCCGCCCCTTGATGGATTCGATTGATGTGACCTAAAATAAATTACAAGGAGCCCGGGGGGAAATTCTAGAAAAATTTTAATTATAATTATCCAACATATAGAAAATAGACTTTAAAGTGAACATTTTAAATCTCTTTCCCAATTATAAGGGTTAAAACGTGAATTATGAAGATTGTATTCATTATTAATGTTGGTTGGGTTATAACATTTTGGTGGTATGGATGTGCATTGTTTTGAAGTCCGTTTAGCTGAAAATATTGACTACATCACATCAAACTGAAGTAAATTTCACATCAAATGGAAATCTTATATATGTTTTCAATCATAACTCCTGTTATTTTAAGCTATTGCGAAAAAAAATGTTTTGAATTTCTAGTATGTATAACCAATTAAAGCTTTTCTCAAATCTAGTGCTTAAAATCAAAACCATAGGAGGTCACAAACTCGTACCAGTTAAATTTTCCCTATCCCTTCTGTTGTTGGAGCGTGACAATGACATGTTTTACTATCATCTTTTTTTGTTGCTAAAGGGACCGTTCACTTATTTGGGTAATTTCGGGGTAAACTAAATATCTTATTAGCTATCGATTAGTTTTGGTCTTACTTTTCAAAGACCGCTGTGGCCGGAAAAAAGGCGATTTTTCGTTCAGAATTCAATTTGTCTATATAAACTATTTGGTGTTTTTTGTCGATGTTAGGTTTCCAATGTAATAGTCGTGCAGTTACGCGAAATAATAATCATTTTGTGTAATTTCACAGGATTGCATGCAATTGGCGAAACTTCAATTTCGCGAAATAACGGCGTAATTTTGCGTAATTTACACAAAGTAATTTCGAGAAATTTTGTAATGATTACGCGTTATTAGCGAAACTTCAATTTTGCGAAATTACGACGTAATTAGAAATGTTACGATCAAAATGAGACATTTGAGATTGAGATAGTTTGAGATACATTGAGATAGTTTGAAATATCAGGAATTGATCTGCAAAATCAATATCAAGATATGAGGATCATAAAACATCCCAGCTAGCCAAATTGCGTAGATAGCGTGGTCGCATATTATTTTGGCTCTAATTGCACAATTAAAACGCAAATTTGCGTATGACTAGATTTCAAATTAGTGTAAATATCTAATTTTTCTAAAGAAAATATTTTATAACCCAGCTTTAAGTAAAAATATCATGAATTTGTGAAGATGTGTATCATTTTATTTCAGGTATACAAATTGCGTAAAAATACGCTCAATTTGCGTAATTCCCTAAAACTCTAAATCTAAATTATTTGTGAAATATCTAAAATTTCCGACATGGCATATATTGCATTTTCCCAAAAAATTGAAAAAATAAACTTTTAAAAAGAATTTAAGTTGTCTTTGTTAGCATTAAAATTACGTAAAAATTGCGCTCTTTTTACGCATATGTTTTGAGTGTTTTAAATATTGAAGAATTGAGTGGCCCAGGTGTGTGTGCATATAGCAGAGTGCAGCAATGTTATATTATATAGAAAGCCGTGTGATATGTAGATAAGGGTGGGAAGGGGGGGGGATAATTGGGCAGAGAATTTACAGTGCTATATAGTACACTGGTTTTTAGTACCAAATTTCACCGCTAGGTGTCTCTATTTGTTTCATGTAAAATTTCATCTCTGTGTTGAACTGTATTCCGGATGAATGGAAACAGTTCAGAGACAGTACCATATCGGTACTCATGGGGATGGATGGCCTACCTGCATGCATCAAATATTGCATAGTTTTGGTAATTGAGAAAATAAAAATGCGCATTTTCTGCGTAAATTTGTATAATATTATTACGTAAATTTTACGTCTCCTAAAACCAATAAAATTTACGTAGCTAAGTGTGCGATTTTACGTCTTTCATGACGTAAAAAGAGCTAAAATGTCGGCGTAAAATTTACGTAAAAATGCCAAAAGTGACGTTTAAATTGCGAGCTTTTTGCGCAATTTGGCTAGCTGGGATAGAGCTTTTAAGAAATTAATCAGATCCCTATCTATATATAAATTTGGCTTGTCTGTCTGTTTGTCTGTCTGTCTGTCTGTTTGTATCCAAGAAACGTCAAAACGGCTGAACCGATCGGGCCCAAATTGTTTGTGGGACATCTAGGGACCCCAGGGAAGGTTTATGAATGAATGAAATTTTAAATATTTGTCTCCATCAAAATTCGATCTTCATTAATTTTTTTGAAATTTTGAAAATCCACGAAATTTTTTGTGAAAATCCGCGAATTATTTTTGTTTTGTTTTACGATGTACTCAAAGAGAACTGCATGTTCACAATTAATTTAGAAGATGGGCGCGAAGCGCCCTATAAGGCTAGTTTTTTAAAACTGGAGATGGGAAGTGACCTTCCTTCTCGACTAAAGGAGCTACGGGAGGGAAGCCACCCCCTCGCCCCCCCCCCCCCTAAGCTTGCGCCTCAGTGTTACTGTAAGAAACTATAAGATTACTGAGGTGTGTTAAAAGCTTTTACTTCCAATTGTTTATTTACAGCTTACAAGATACCCATTTTTAAATGCTGTGGTGTTTGCTAAACTGAGAAAGGATATAAAATATAATATATTTTTGGTTTTTTGTTATTTTATAAAAATGTACAGCAAACATGTCTGTACAAATGCACGTAAACTTTTATATCTCCAAGGCAATTTTTTTTATTTAAATTTTCAATAATCATATTTTCTAAAATAGATGTATAGGTTTATTCAAAAATGTGATAGTTCCATTTTAGTATGCCTAACTTTTCGAATCTCGAACAGTTTTCATTAATTAAACGTAGAGTTTTGGTATTTTTTACGTAATACAAATTACAGTAAGATTGAAAATTTCTTTGTTTTAATAATATTAACTTCTTTTCTTAAAAAGATATAAAAACAACAAAAAAGCTTTGAAATTCTAGTTTGTAACCAAATAAATTTGCTCTCACATTCTTGAGCGTAAAATCAAAACTAGGGAGCTATGAGGTGCCAAAGTCCTACCAATACTGTCACTTAGATTGTACCTTCTCGAAGATATCAGGTATGGTGTGCGTTAGAGATGTCAACGCTTTGCTTTTTCTAATTTCAGCTTTCGTGAATCACCATGATTCGTTAAATATGAGATTTTAAAAGTCGTCTTTACTTAGTTTAATTGTCTTCTAATAAAAATAGTTAAACCCTTTATTTGATATCTTCACGAACATGCACACAATACACACACAAAATCCATCTTATACACACCCTCATCACACATCAATAATTCAAAAAGGTAGATTTGAGAAGGTTAAGACTTAGTCAAGATTAGATTAAGATTAAGATTCCGATCCTTATCCTTTCCTTATATATTTTACCCTTTACACCCTCACCCTATCCTAATTTCTCCTTAGTTTATCCTTTCTTTATTCTTTATCCCTTGTTAATTCATCCTATCAAATATTTCCCCTATTTTTCTCCTTCTATCCTAATCTTCCTCTCTTTGAATTTCTCCCATTCTTCCTTATTCCATTCTTCTTTCAAACTAGCATTTTTTATGGTTCAAAGCAAATATTATCAATTATTCAAATGATTTAACTTTATAGAGATTTATTTATTTTTACTCTTCATGTTGCACAGATGGATACTTACATTAAAAATATGATTCAAATTAAAAGTGATAAATTAGTGTTGTTATAGTATTCATAAAACTGTCCGTCTACTCTACGTAGTGACGGAGAAATGCGCTCAGTCCGAGCATAGAATGAAACCAACAAAAAGTCGGAGAAAAGAAGGCAGTCTATAGTAACCCGCACTCAGATGAAGTAGTTGGCTTTTGCCTCTAAAGCCAGGCGAGTCTCGTATCTCCATTCTAAAAAATTGCAATAGTTATAAATAAAGACGTTTAACTCTTCTCCACTCATATTAGATTGAGCTACAAGATAGATCCAAAATTAAGGTTTCAAACAAATACAAGTGCCCGGGAATTTTAGATAGGCTTTCTCAACCCACTTAAACTATAGACTCAAAAAGATATTATCGGGTTGGCCACACTAAAATTCCCCGGCACATTCGTTATGATATTGTTAATATAAAACGATGAAACGTTAAGTTGCACATTAAGACCAACGTTACGTAATGAATATTCTGCACCTGAATACCTTACACAACGTAAAGCTTTAGTAAATGTTGGTTCGAAATTTCGAGATTCATGGGTTATTGACACAAATGGGACCCTGTTTAAACTGTTTAGGTTTATGTTACCGGGTGTGCTGTACTTTTCCGGGTAGTAGGTGTTTGCAAATCCTAGGTCAAAGGTTGGTTTCAATTCCTCCTGAAATAATGATCCCTTGACAGCTTGTTTAGAAAAATCCCAGGGGTGTTTGTGAAACATTGTTTCTTGGTGTGATGGTAGTTTTCAGAAGGAGTCTTCTTTTTCAACTTTTTTAAGCACACTTTCAGACAGGAATGGAACTTTTCCTGTCGACTCATCAGTGCCAGCTTTGGCAATGGCTTTCTTTCTTCAAACTTTTTTATATGTTAGAGTTCTGTTGGGGTCTTATTAAAACGGGAGATAAAACCTTTTTAATGCTGTTTTTTCTCATCAATGCTGTTTCCCTCAAGGAATTCTGTGAGAAGAATGGGGAGCTGGTACCTAATGTTGCTAAATCTGCTGGATCGGTACATCTTGAAATATTGTCCAAGGGGTAGAAATTCCCAGTTAACCAGCCATCTGGAGCTCACACGTATACTCGGTTTGACCAACACTGTGTATATACAGTGATAACCAGAAAACTTTGGATTAGGAAGACGACTTTTAGACTCAGTTTATGACTTATAATAGTCCAATAACATGAGGCACAACAATTGTACAGTGTTTAAGACCCATTTCACTTAATAAGAGCTATTTGCTTTGTAACAACATCAAATGCACATCACTATTGCTTTAATGTCGTCTTCCTATTCTCTTGGTTATCATTGTAGACTATAGCGTACAATTATATAGCTAATTTTATATATAACGTTTTAATTACTCTTTGTTTGATGGCCTTTAAAAAAAATTTCAAAACATTCATAGATATGGCGCCCCCGGCCCCTTCTGAGTAAATTTAAATTGTTTACTCATATCCACCTCTTTTTTACATATGCAATACAAAATTAAACTTAACTTTAATAATTATTCTTTTTTTAAGAGAGTTTTATCAACATATTAAAGCAGAACATTACACAGTTTATTTCGAAACAGCCTGGACGATAGTTTCATTTGTGTCTAGTGTTGCGGAATGCGGAGTTAAAAAGAATCTGCGTTAATTTGAGTAGTAGACCGAGTCTCTTAAACACTCCACTCTCTCCTCTCTCCTCTCACCCTCTCTCTTGCACCGATCTAAACAGTAAACAGTAAACATCCTCCCCCGCCCCGGCGTTGTGTGGAAAAGAGTGATTGTTGGACGGAGGTTAAATTTGGTTTAGTTTCTCCGTCAACATCCACGGTCATAGTTTTTAGTCTCTCCATGAACTTCAGCGGAGCTGTAGTTTATAGTTGCTCCATTAAATTCTGCGGAGCTATAGTTTCCAGTTTCTTCTTTCAACTTCATTGTAACAATAGTTTAAAGTTTCTATGTCAACTTCGGCGGAGCTACAGTTTCCAGTTTCTTATTTCAACTTCATTGTAACAATAGTTTATAGTTTCTATGTCAACTGCCGTGGAGCTATAGTTTCCAGTTTCTTCTTTCAACTTCATTGTAACAATAGTTTATAGTTTCTCCATGATTCCATCAACTTCTGCGGAGCTATAGTTTCCAGTTTCTTCTTTCAACTTCATTGTAACAATAGTTTAAAGTTTCTATGTCAACTTCCGTGGAGCTATTGTTTCATAGTTTTTTTCCCGTCAATTTCAGCATAGCTATAGTTTCTAGTTTCTCCGTCTATTTCAGCAAGGCTATAGTTTCTAGTTTCTCCTTCTATTTCGGTATAGCTATAGTTTCTAGTTTCTCCTTCTATTTTGGCAAAGCTATAGTTTCTAGTTTCTCCTTCTATTTCGGCAAAGCTATAGTTTCTAGTTTCTCCGTCTATTTCAGCAAGGCTATAGTTTCTAGTTTCTCCGTCTATTTCAGCAAAGCTGTAGTTTCTAGTTTCTCCGTCTATTTCAGCAAAGCTATAGTTTCTAGTTTCTACGTCTATTTCAGCAAAGCTATAGTTTCTAGTTTCTCCGTCTATTTCAGCGGGAAAATTATAGTCTGTTTTTGCAAAACTTTAATAAATAAAAACAAAATAATTTAGATAACAACTGATCTAGAGCCAAACTAGCTATTTTCTTTGAAGAAATGTGAAGTTTTAACAAGTTTAGCTTCATGCACAAATTACTTGTTATCTAGAAGAACTTTTAAGGGGAATACTTTTACAAAATAGAGTGATATAATGAATTGGAGGAGGGGGAATGAATATATCATTGAATAATACATTTTCAACTAGAAAGTTGAGCAATAAATCTTTCCTGAGAATAAAATCTTTTCACAAAATATGCTTAGGTTTTCTTTATTTATTCAAGGAATTCTTTGACTTAAGGTAGGAGTAGATTTACATCATCTTCACACATTTTATTGATGGACATTTAATTGATGAACATTTAATTGATGGACATTTAATTGATGGACATTTTATTTATGGGCATTTTATTAAAGGACAATTTATCAATAAATATTTTGTAGATGGACATTTTATAAATACACATTTTGTAGATTGGACATTTTATTGATGGACATATTATGAATGGACATTTTATTGATGGGTATTTTACTGATGGACAATTTTTTAAAGGAAATTTTAGAAATAAACATTATTGTAGATTGGCATATTATTGTAGAACATTTTTTGATGAACATTTCATGTGTGGACATTTTTTTATTGACATTTTATAGATAGGAATTTTATTAATGTACATTTTATTGATGGACATTTTATTGATAAACATTTTATTGATGAACATTTTATTGATGGACATTTTATTGATGGACATTTTATTGATGGACAATTTATTGATAAACATTTTATTGATCGACATTTTATTGATGAACATTTTATTGATGGACATTTTATTGATGGACAATTTATTGATCGACATTTTATTGATGGACATTTTATTGATGGACATTTTATTGATGGACATTTTATTGATCGACATTTTATTGATGGACATTTTATTGATGGACATTTTATTGATGGACAATTTATTGATAAACATTTTATTTATGGGCATTTTATCGATGAACATTTTATTGATGGACAATTTATTGATAAACATTTTATTGACGAACATTTCATTGATGAACATTTTATTGATCGACATTTTATTAATGGACATTTTATTAATGGATATTTTATTAAAGGACAATTTATCAATAAATATTTTGTAGATGGACATATTATAGATGGACACTTTATAAATACACATTTTGTAGATTGGACATTTTATTGATGGACATTTTATGAATGGACATTTTATTGATGGACATTTTATTGACGGACATTTTATTGTTGGACATTTTATGGATGGACATTTCTTAATTGGACAAAGAGCTCAAAAACTTGAAGTTTTCTCTAGATATGGGCATAGATTGACATTACAGCATTACAGCAAAGGGACATTTAAACATTTAAAGACTCTGAGCATTTCTTCGCAAAAAAATATGTGCTAAGCAAAAGTCAAGCCAATAGGTCTTTGCAAATGCTCCCTTTGATTTTTTATTTTTCTTTGTTTCAGATTTATAAAATGGTTCCTAGTTTGTAATAATTCATAAAAAGTCAAACCGAAGCTGCTGGTCATCATGATGAAAGAATTGAGGTTATATATTTACATATAAACCCTACTTTGTAATTGAAGAATAATGTAGATAAATATTTATAGTTATGATTTGCATAATATTTAAGCAAAAGATAAAAATATCAAAAAGTAAAACTAAGCTTTTTAACCTTTCCCCCTCCCTTCCAATTCATGTTTTTCCTATTTTTCTATAGTTATGCAGCTTTCCAAGTGCGGTTGTTGTTTTTACAAGAAGAAAGTAAAAACTGCATATTATCTTAGATTTCGTAATCTTCTCACATTTCCCTCTTCAAACATGCAAGGGATAGAGTTGATTGCATCTAGAGTGTCTGCTAGTGATAGGCTTCATTTTTTTTGTATTTTTTTCTAAATCAATGTTGTTTTAGCTAGAAAACTTAGATTTAAAATTCGGAATGTTGATAATTGACAGACTAAACCTGATATAGTTAATAAAGTAGATGTTAGTTCCACATTTTATTGAAAATTGACCCACGTCTTGTTTACTGTTTTGAGGTTTCATAAGAAACTGAGATGCATATGGTAATTAGAACGGTATTCTTCAAGTTTGCTCTCCTGACATTGTGAAATTTGTTTACTCAATTAAAAAAAAAGATTTATCAAATATAACCAATTGTTTTCATTTTCAATGTGATATAAACAAACTTTGAAATATTACAGGAATATCACATTTGTCTGGAACATTTTTAAAAACTTCTAAGAACAAATTATAAACTGTGCCCATTTTTAGTTCCGTTGTTGAAATATGCCGATCTTTGGGTCCGTCCTAAAGAACGATTTTTGGAACCCCCTCCCCCCCCCTCCTATCAATTTTGTACATGATAGCTTATTTTTTCATTTTTCAGCAAAAATATTATTACTTAAATTTTATTATTTTAGGTTAGGTTAGTTTAACACAATTTCTGGGCCAAGCGCTGCGGCTAGGACAGGCTAGGGGGCCGAGCGCTGCGTCTAGGTCAGGCTAGGCCGAGCGCCGCGGCTAGGACAGGCTAGGGGGCCGAGCGCCGTGGCTAGGACAGGCTGGGGGCCGGGCGCTCCAGCCACACGATCAATTATATCCATGTGTTACATATGAGATCCATGTGCAAAATTGTAAGGAGAGGGGGGGGGTCCAAAAAAAGTTCTCTAGGAAATTACCCCCCTCTTTTAGTTCCGGTGTTGAAATATACCCATCTTTAGTGTCGGTGTTGAAATAACGGTCATTTTTCCCATTATATCATTTTTTGCGACAATGAGGAGTAGGACAAAAAGTTGTACTACAAATGGCGCATTTAGGACAATTTATGTACAGGACATATTGTGTATAGGAATTATAATGTTAAGGACAAATAGTGTACAGGAATTATAATGTAAAGGACAAATAATGTTTAGGGTAAATAATGTGTAGGAATATAATGTATAGGACTTAAAATGTGTATAGTACTTGTAATGTGTTGGACGTGTAACGGTGTAATGTGTAGATAGGACAAATAATGTACAGGATAAATAATGTACAGGACAAATAATGTGCATGAAAAATAATGTGCAGGATAAATAATGTACAGGACAAATAATGTACAGGACAAATAATGTACAGGACAAATAATGTACAGGATAAATAACGTTCAGGATAAATAATGTACATGACAAATAATGTACAGGATAAATAATGTACAGGATAAATAATGTACAGGACAAATAATATACAGGACAAATAATGTACAGGATAAATAATGTTCAGGATAAATAATGTACATGACAAATAATGTACAGGATAAATAATGTAAGAGTTATAATACGCAAAAACAAATTTTAGAACAAATAAATTTTTGATGATAAGTAAATAAAGCAATCAATTTCAGATTTAACATGGATCTTTCAATTTTTGTGCTGTAGTTCATTGTTTTCACCACGTAACAAAATGTAAACCAGCACCTAAAATTCCAAGAGAATAAAACAAATAAAATATTTCTGTTTTAGTCCGGACATATTAGCAGCAGTGGCACAACGGTTAGAAGATCAGTCTAAGCGGACTTTTATAGATTTAGAGGATTTAATCAGGTAGGATTAGAGGATTTAATCAGGTAGGATTAAAGGATTTTATCAGGTAAGATTAGAGTAATTAAAATCAGGTAGGATTTGAGGAATTAATCATGTAGGATTAGAAGATTTAATCAGGAAGGATTCTTCAGGTAGGATTAGAGCAATCTATCAGATAGGATTAGAGGATTTAATCAGGTAGGATTAGAGGATTTAATAAGGTAGGATTAGAAGATTCAATCAGGTAGGATTAGAGCAATCTATGAGATAGGATTAGAGGATTTAATCAGGTATGATTAAAGAATTTAATCAGGAAGTTTTAGAGGGTTTAATCAAGTTGTTTTAAAGGATTTAATCAGGTAGAATTAGAGGATCTAATCAGGTAGGATTAGAGGACTTAAAATCATGTAGGATTTGAGGAATTAATAATTTAGGATTAGATGATTTAATCAGGTAGGATTAGAGGATTTAATTATTTAGAATTAAAGGATTTAATTAGGTAGGATTAGAGGATTTAATTAGTAAGGATTAGAGGATTTAATATGGTAGAATTAGAGGATTTAATGAAGTAGGATTAGATTAGAGGATTTAATTAAGTAGGAAAAAAGGATTCAATCGAATAGGTTTAGAGGATTTAATCAGGTAGAATTAGATAATTTTATCAGGTAGGAATAGAGGATTTAATTAGTAAGGATTAGAGGATTTATTCAGGCAGAATTAGAGGATCTAATCAAGTAAGATTAGAGGATTTAATCAAGTAGGAAGAAAGGATTTAATCGAGTATGTTAGGAGGATTTAATCAGGTAGATTTAGAAGATTATGTCAGGTAGGAAGAAAGGATTCAATCGAGTAGATTAAGAGGATTTAATCAGGTAGAATTAGAGGATTATGTCAGGTATGATGAAAGGATTTTATCGGGTAGGATTAGAGGATTTAAGGATTTTATAAGGTAGGAATAGAGGATTTAATTAGTAAGGATTAAAGTATTTAATCAGGCAGAATTAGAGGATCTAATCAAGTAAGATTATAGGATTTAATCAAGTGGGAAGAAAGGATTTAATCGAGTAGGTTAAAAGGATTTAATCAGGTAGAATTAGAGGATTATGTCAGGTAGGATGAAAGGATTTTATCGGGTAGGATTAGATGATTTAATCAGGTATTATTAAAGGATTTAATCAGGTAGTTTTAGAGGATTTAATTAGGTAGGATTAGAGCAATCTATCAGGTAGAATTAGAGGATTTAGGCAGGTAGGATTAGATAACTTAATCAGGTAGGATTAGAAGATGTAGTCAGCGGATTAGAGGATTAAATCAGGTAGGATTAGAGGATTTAATTAGGTAGGATTAGAGGATTTTATCAGGAAGGATGAAAAAATTCATCAGGTAGAATTTGAGGATTTAATCATGCAGGATTAAAAGATTTAATCAGGTAGTTTTAAAGGATTTAAATTGGTAAAATTCGAGAATTTAAGTAGGTAGGATTAGAGGATTTAATCAGGTAGAATTAGAGGATTTAATCCATCCATAAATTGCTCCACCTCACGGCAAAATAATTAATCTAACCTAGCAAAAAGTTGGAAATAATCTGTTTTGTTTCAGGACAACAAAGTTTTCTAAACAAGAAATAAGAACAATGTACAGAGGATTCAAGCAGGTATAGTACAGTACAGTACAGTACAGTACAGTACAGTACAGTACAGCACAGTACCATACAGTATATACAGTACAGTACACTTAAATATTTTGTACAGTGCAGTATAGAATAGTAAATAAAGGTAGTACACAATATTTCCCAATACAACTAAATAATTAGGTAGTACACAATATTCACCAATACAACTAAATAATTAGGTAGTATCAGGGAGTATACAATATTCACCAATACAACTAAATAATAAGGTTGTACACAATATTCATCAATACAACTAAATATTTAGGTAGTACACAATATTTCCCAATATATTAAATAATTAGGTAGTACACAATATTTTCCAATATAAATAAATAATTAGGTAGTAAGCAATATTTTCCAATATAAATAAATAATTAGGTAGTACGCAATATTCCCAATTTGACTAAATAATTAGGTCGTACTCAATATTTTCCAATATAAATAAATAATTAGGTAGTAAGCAATATTTTCCAATATAAATAAATAATTAGGTAGTACGCAATATTCCCAATATGACTAAATAATTAGGTCGTACTCAATATTTCCAAATATAAGTAAATGATAAGGCTGTACACAATATTCACCAATACAACTAAATAATTAGGTAGTACACAATATTTCCCAATATAACTAAATAATTAGGTAAAACACAATATTCAGCAATAGAACCAATCAATACTTTCCTTACTTTTCTTACGTACCTTTCTTTAATAACCCTAGATCAATACTTTCCTTAGTTACCTTTTTTTTTAATAAACCTTGATCAATACTTTCCTTACTTTTCTTACCTTTCTTTAATAAACCTTAATCAATACTTTCCTTACCTAACTATAATATATTGCACATATAGTGAAAAGAAACCTGCCTATTCACAATGTGTAACTAATCATGAAAACATATTGCTGGAGAAACAAAAATTTTATTATCATTTACTTATGTTTTCCTTGTATACTATTTTTATATGATTCATTCAATATAAAAAGAATAAACTTTATAAAGAAGTGTTTGTGAAAAATAAAAGCGGATTAAGGAAGATACCTCTATTCACTTTCAAATTAAATCGGATCCAATATAAATGATTCTTGATGTTTATTTAATGATAGAACAATCGGAAATGTCCGATATTAAGAATGAATCAAAATTCTATCCTAGAGGGACCATGTAAGCGTAATTTTAAGTGACCCTCCATGAAAGTAATGCCCGATTTTCAGCGTTTCCTTTACTAAACTGGTAACATAGGCTATTTAAAAAAAAATGTCCTTATTTCACGGGCAACGTTATTGACTTAAAGTATAAAAAAAAGTACTAAACTTGATGAATTTACATTCTGCTTGCTTTTCAAGACGACAACTTATTTGTCTTTAAAGATTTAAGCAAACAATTCGTCCATAAAATATTCTATTTAAAAGATTAAAGACTTTTCTAAAACTCAAAAATTAGTTAGATTACATCGAGTTCACAAAACAGAAGATTTGATTTAAATCACAGAAAAAAGATGCTGTGAGGAAAATTTATGTTTACCTTAAATTTTTAACATTTTCACATTTAGAATTTTATTTTGAATTTTTTTGTTGAAACAATGTCGATTCATCATTCCCTTGTCTTAGGGAAGAATGAGTGGGTGGCAGGGGGGGAGGGGTAGAGAGGGTGGGTACAGGGGTATGTATAGTCGGGAGGGGTACTGAGGTTGTAGAGTAAGGGGGATATAAAACCGCTTGAGGATGAATAAAGAAAAAATAAGCTTTTCTTAGCTTATCTGTAATCTGAAAACGTATGGGAAATATACAACTGATATTTACGCCCCAGTCAGGACTAAACAGGAAAAATCTTTCAAGCAAGTGATTGGGTATATACATTTGAAAGAATTAAAAAGACAGCTCTCTCAAATCTATCAGATCGATCTTTTTGATTTGAAGATTTAAAAGTTTTAAATTGTTTGTTTATGATTGAGAAAGGGAAGTAGCAATCATAATTCTTTATGGTGCTTTGCGTCCATTTTCTATTTCTACTTTTAATAGTGCCTCTGTCTGTGAGCATATTTTCCAATAAAAATAAAAACAAAAAAGTTTGCGAATGTTTAAAATTTTACAAAAATCAAAAACTTTTGGATACCAATTTTTGTAGATTTGAGCATCCATAAACCTTACCTCATGTCCCACACAATATTTGGGCCCGATCGGTTTTACCGTTTTGACGTTTATTTGACACAACGGGACATCCTTCAACATTCAGACAAGCAAAGTATAAATAGATTCCATCTCCCCCCCTTCACAAAATACTAAGGTTGCGCCTAAAAGTATGAAAAAACAGCTGTTAAATGTTAAAAGTATTGATTTCCCTTGAAGTAAGGAAAACAATGGCCTTATTTTCTTTTTTTTGAGAATTCAAGTATTTATAAACAAACTTGACAAGAGAATAGGTATATGAATATATTTGTTTATTTTATAATGTTAAAAGTCTCTTTATATTTAATACTAGCTGTAGTGCCCGGTTATAGTCATAGTTACTCCCACCGTTTTCCCGCGCTTTGTATTAAATCATGATTTTAGCTTAAGTGCGATGATGTTTATAAATATATATTCATTATTCATATATGGGTGAAGAATTTTTACTATAATATATACTGACAATATTATATACTTTGCTCGTCTGGGTGACTGTTTTTTGTTTGTTTGTATCCAATACACTTCAAAACGTTTGGGCCCAAAATTTTGTGCGGGCCCTCACATGACCACAGGGAAGGTTTATGGATGCTCAAAATTACAAAAATTTGTTTCTAAAAGTTTTTGATTTTAGTAAAATTTTGAAAATCTACGAAAAAATAACTCTTGGAACTTTATTTTGTTTTTGTTTTATATTGTACAAAGAGAAGATCCTTACAGATTGAGCCACAGTTAAAGGTTGAAATAGAAGATGGGCGCAAAGCACCCTGAATGCCTAGTATTATATAGTATATTGACAATGTAAGATATTTAAGTTGTTTATACAATATACATAGCTGTGTCGGAAATGAAGGATAACAATTGCATCAAGCTCAAATTTTTCAACTTTGCATGACCTGAAACATTTAATATTACAATCTTGGACTATTTGAACAATAAGAGAGTTCATAATTGGAAAAATTAAAAGTCAACGACTCATGGTTGCAAAGATATAAGAATTTGAAAATAGAGTTTAAGGCGAAGTGTCTTAAATTTTTAGAAAAATTCCGAAAATGAAATAAAAAAGGAAATACCAGGGAAGCAATAATATAACGTGAGATTTAAAAACGAACCAAAACGCATTTAATCCACAAACTTTACAGTTTTACTAGTTGGGGAATTCAGTGTTGCCCAGGTTATTCCTAGTTACTCCCGTCGTTTACCCGCGCTTAGTCGGAAATTACGATGTTAGCGATGAAAGATGACCTGTACTCACTTAGAATCTCAAAACTAAGAACAATCACGTTGTTCTCCTGAGTTCCACAATCAAAATTTTAGGCAAATCGATCCAGGGGTTCAGGAGTTATGATCGGACATAAACAGACAGAGATTACTACTTTATAGATATAAAATAAACTGTTATTTGACACTGTTCGTGTTTGTGAAGATATTTAACTATTTAATAATTGTATTCAACTAGACAGAGAAAACAAGAAATTACAAAAGAGGATTAAGAATTTAGCAAATAGTCATACATATCCTTACTTTCACTCCTTTCCTTTTTACACAAAAATAATTAAATTGTGTTTAATATACAGGGTTACCCACAAAGGTTGAGACGTCAGAGATGACTTAAAGTAACTTATTGTCTGCTTTCTTATATTAACGAATCCCTGCAACTGTAAACCAATTATTTTCTGTACCAAATCATTAAATAATTAAGCAATTCTATATTTAGAGCAGAGGACTTTATTTAACCCTAGGATTAATGTATTTTAAAAATTTTATGCATCGTCTTTACGGTCTTATCCTTAGTGGGTAACCCTGAATCTATACTTTATATATATAGATACCCCCCATGGCAATTTCAGAAATCTTAAAGGGACTGTAAAGGTAAATTCAAGTACACCATCCATTTAAGGAGAGGGGTCCTTTACTATTTACAGTGACAGTATGAAAAAATTTTCATTCGAATTTTTGAAAATCCCTCTGAACATGGAATTATATACACACCGAGTTCTCTTTTCTTGATGATAAGTCAAAGATTTGAATAGTACCGTTGTGAATCGGAGCTGTCCCTCTTTTAATGGGAATCACTTGAAATTGAACGTACAGTTCCATTATATCTATTGACATTGTAAAAAAGATGTAATTTCCCATGGTAAATCTTGATTTTCTAAAATTTGAGTCTAACAGTCGTCTTCCATCGTATTTTGGGTCCGTTTAGAATACTAGAAGTGGTAAAGTTTTAAATTGAATAACAAAACGTTGCCATAATGTTATCAAATGATATCAATAGAACTTAACGATTCATATCAAATAACAAAATTTCTGAAATTCGTTAAACTTTTAGGCAGCTTTTGACCAACTAATAAAAAATTAAGCCAGTCAAAGAAAAGTAAATGAATCAAGTCTTTGCCACAAACTCTGATTTTCTAATCCCTTTAACTTTGCAACCCAATGTCGTAGACTTTAGATATTTCAAACTTTGCATTTTGTAATTTACGATAAAACAATCTAGGTTTGAAATATCAAAGGTTAACAAAGTCAGGTTGCAAAGATATAGATATTAAAAAATTTGAACTCGTGGCAAAGACTCGATTCCTTTAATGTTCTTTTAAGATCTTAACACATCAATCTTATCTCTAAACTCGGTGAAAAGTTATAGTCTTTTTCTTCGGTCTGTTTCCTCAGAACCCAAAACTTAAGACAGTGAGGGTATCGTTATGAAAACCAGTTTTGAAACACGGGTTTCACTATTTACTATTGTGGTTAGGCAGTTTTGAAGCCCGGTTTTCACATTCACTTTTGTGGTTAGGCAGTTTTAAACCCGGGTTTCACTATTTGCTATTGTGGTTAGGCAGTTTTGAAACCCGGTTTTCACATTCACTTTTGTGGTTAGGCAGTTTTAAAACCCGGGTTTCACTATTTACTATTGTGGTTAGGCAGTTTTAAAACCCTGGTTTCACTATTCACTAAATTGTAGTTACTAATTAGGCAGTTTTGTCGATATCAATATTTTTGTTATGAAATATTATAAAGTACTATACCGAAACCTTAGTTTAGGGTGACATGCTTTTAATTATAGACTTGAAAAGCATTAACAAGGTTTTTAGATCTTATTGCCACCAAAAATTAGATTTTTTTTTCATTTTTACGTAAATTCTAAACTAGAGGAGCTGCAAGATCAGAAAGTTGTAAAATTATTTTCGCATAAATTTTATCCTTTTATAGATTGAAGTGGAAGATGAAGGAATTTAAGATTTAAAAATGAATTACAAATTTATTCAAAATAATTTTTAAAATTGTCTCAGGAGTGTCCGGGGGGTGCTGTGAACGAGGACACTTTTAGAGAAATATATGAAAAGTTTTTTCCGTACGGCAGTAAGTATTATTTGAATAAAGCATGTGGTTGGTGTATATACAGGGTTACCCACAAAGGATGAGACTGCGAAGACGACATGAAACCAGCTTTAAATATAACGAATCTAAGTCTTTTGCCTTGAACAAAGTCTTTTTATGGCCCATTTATTGGACAAACAGGTACAAGTTTGTAAATGCAAGTAAATACAAGTTTGTAAATAAAAAGGATACAGACAGTCGTCTCCGAAATCTCATCCTTTGTGGTTTTCTCTGTATAATGACAAGATGTACTGAAGTCAGATCTTTTATGATTAGAGATGTTTACGTTTTCAGTTTTTTTCTGAAAAACGATCGTTTCGTTATGAAAACGACGACGAGAAATCGAAAACGAAACGTTTGTTTTTAAAAACGATCGTTTTTTAAAAAGTTCGTTTTAAAAAATGGTCGTTTTGAAAACGATCGTTTTGAAAAACGATCGCAATTCGTTTTTTAAAAAAACGATCGTTTTCAAAAAAACTATCGTTATTCGTTTTCTAAGAGTTCAAACCGATTGGGTCGTTTTTAAAACGATCTTTTTTTCCCAAAAACGAAACGATCGTTTTGAAAACGATTGAAAAACGAAACAATAAATGATCGTTTAACGATCGTTTTCAAAAACAATTAACAACCCAATTTATGATGTGAATCTTGGGATCAAGCATTGATCTTCATCTTCAGACCTACGGATGAATCTGATTCCTATAACCTGTAGGGATATCTTTAATGAAGGGATCAAGTTTTATCGTTAAATTTAAAAGTGTTCACATTGGATTTCGAGATAAAATGTTCGAGATTAACGCAAACTCCACATAAAAGCTTTGGTCTCCGTATTCAGAATATAATCGATTAAAAAGGAGAGTACCTATATTTGCATGTTTCCCATCCAAAATTTACTGAATTTTTAATATTTAAAAAAATTTAATTTAATTATGATAAATCTCAGAAACCCTGTTTCAGATGCTGCATGTTATGCTCACCATGTTTTCAAAGCATTTGATGTCAACTCAACAGGAGCAATCAGTTTTAGGGTAAAATAAGTATTCTTTTAATCAATTATCAGAGGAACTGAAAACTTGCCTCAAACTCAAATTGTCCAACCCCTATATTATGTTTATTCAATGGTTTAAACCTTTTTTATTTCAAACTTTGGTTAGATATTTCAAAATTTATTTTTTTTGTATATAATAGCACAGTGCGATAAATTTTTGATTGGTTCCGGGATTTTCTCTAAAAAATGTATATTTAGATTTTTATTTCTGCATTGTAAAAAAGCTTATTTTTCCTAAAGAAACAACTTCTTCATCATAACAAGTACACAAACATTTTATGTACAACAATATTATTTCTGCAGAAAGGTTCCTGCCTCTCTCGATAACGAGAAAAATTCAGTCCAAAAACTTGCACTGCGAACCAAAAAAATAGTATAATACATAGTTAATTTGAAATATCATGAAATTTAGATTTGTATCTAGTGTTTCAGCCTCTTTTTAGTTTTGCTTTCTTTTATCTTCCCTCTTCCCACTGTATACTTTGGTCCACATTATTAAGTGGGTGCCCCCCCCCCCCTCCTCCTCTATGGGTCTCTGTAAGCTTATTAAAATTTCATAACTGTAACTTTACATTTTACATGAAAAATTAAAAAGTTTAACATGCTTTCTCTTTCATATTTTTTTCTACTGAATATTGTAGACCTTGTGCATAAACTTTATCAAGGTATGTATACTATAGGTAGGGGATTGAACACGTATTTAACTATGATTAAGTAAATTAAACGTAAGAACGAACTCTTGAATGTTTTCAATCATAACTCCTCTTCTTCAAGAGCATTGAAAAGAACAAAAATGTTTTGAATTTCTAAGATGTAACAGAATTCATTTCCCCCCCCCCCTAATACTAGAGGAGCTACGAGGTTAGAAGTTGCACCAGTAATGTCGAATATATCTGATTTTTTTCCTTGTTCACAGGGGTTCGAAACTAGTTTTATCAAAACAATAACCAAATAACAAAGATTGTAAACAAAGGTCGGAGAGAAGGCTTGGCTTCTTTACTAACTTTTGTTTATTTACCTTAAATCCCTTCCTGGGCAGTACTAATACGTTACAGGAAAATGTACACATAACCTATACCCCCTACCTTTAGTATACATACCTTGATTCTCAATTTCTCTGTGAATATTCGGCAATATTTTCAAATATTTAATATTTGCACAAATTCAGTTTTTGTCGGACAAATATTTGAAGACTAAAACAGGGGGATACATTCTCACACAAAAAGTCAAAGACAGTGTTTTTATCCTTTTGCAGAATCTTTTTTGGGGGGCTCAAATTCTTCAAAAAATGATAAAAGATGGGAGAACGTTGGTAAAATTACTACTCTTTTAAATTCTTTTCATACACATGATGCTTTTATGACTGTTTAGGCTTTTAAAAATTCCAGCTTTGATTATGTCTACTCGAGTGTTCGACATAATTTGAACTAATGTTTAAACATATTTTACATGTCATCTTGAAATTCCACAATTTAACCTGTCCGAACAATTTTCAGCTTAAACACAAAGAAAAAAATCATTTTTAACATTTGTTTTTCATAAATATAAATTACAATTATACACGTCAATAAATTTTTATGCTTTATTTTTGACTTTTGGAGAGGTTTTGAAAAAATACATTTTAGTTCTCCAAACTTTTAACTAGAATAACGTAAAATCTGAGGAAAAAACTATTTATTTTTGCACGTTATGTTGTTGTCAAATTTTGAAAGATACAATTATGAAATATTTTATCCAGGATATGCTGGTTTCCTTGTCTACTCTTCTGCATGGGACACAATACGAGAAATTAAAATGGACGTTTAGAGTCTATGATCTGAACGGGGATGGAGTTATAACAAAGGTAAAACAAAATTTTAAATAGTTATCAGGGTGCACCAAAACAAAGTATCAAATAGTTATCAGGGTGCACCAAAACAAAGTATCAAATAGTTATCAGGGTGCACCAAAACAAAGTATCAAAAAGTTATCAGGGTGCACCAAAACAAAGTATCAAATAGTTATCAGGGTGCACCAAAACAAAGTATCAAATAGTTATCAGGGTGCACCAAAACAAATTATAAAATAGTTGTAAGGGTGCACCAAAACAAAATACTAAATATGCATTAGTAATGTGCACCAAAAAAATACTAAATATTTATTAGGGTGCATAAAGGCAAAATATCAAATAGTTATCAGGGTGCACCAAAACAAAATATCAAAGAATTATTAGGGTGGTACACCAGAACAAAATGTCTGTCAAGGGTGTATTTAAACGAGAGTGCACCTAAAAAAAATAGTTAATAGGGTGCACCAAAAAAACATTTTTAAAAAAATGGTGTTTAAAAAAAGTGGGCTTATAATCGTTAAATGCAATTTTAAAAAGTTTGTTTTTATTACCCTTGAGTTTAAAAATAAAATGATTAGAATTATTTAAAAAGATTCATATTTTCATTTGAAATGAATTTAGTTTGAGTAGCTACAGAGCGTCCCATATCAAATTAGATTATCTCCAATCTTTAACGACAAAATAAACCCTTAATACTCGAAAAACTTATTATTTTCCGCAAGAAAATTCTTATATAAGCCTTATGTTATTTTTCAAAATGATTAATTCTAATTAAATTTTCTGATTAGTCCCGAAAATCGTAATTTAGACCCGTTCTCGGTCTAATATGATGTGGGACACCTTGTATGTACTGTGAAGATGTAAACCGACCGACATTTTGGAAATTTGATTGAGTGGAGAAAAAATAAACTTTTATTCATTCGACTGAATCCTATTTAGAACTTGTCTAAAACTATGGAACTGACGTTAGTAAAAACGTCATAGATATATCCAAAGTGATTTTTAAATTCTTCTAACATTGTCAATTTTTTTGTAATATAAAGTTTACAGATTACAGGGTGAGTATAAGTGCATATATAATTCATATTATATATATAACTAGCTGATGTCGAATTTTGAAAAAAAAATTTCGAATAGAAAAAAAATGATTTTTGGAGAAAAAATTCAGAATTGGGAGGGGAAAAAAGTTTCAATTTTTTTGCCTATGATTCCTAAGGTTAGCCATGGGTTCCTTTAGCCGGCTATAGGTGACATAAATATGAGCAAAGAGCTTTATATATATAATATAATGTAGCTATCTTGGGAACCCAGCGCTGCCCAGGTTAATAAAACTTACTACCACCGTTTACCCGCACTTTTACGATTTTACCGGGAAACAAACAAACAAACAGACAAACAGCTATTACATCTTCATACATAAAGATATAATGCATAATACTTATTGCTGTAGTGTCCGGCGTTGTCCAGGTTACTCATAGTTACTCCCGCCGTTTACCCGCGCTTGGTCTTGCCCAGCGTTTCCCGTGGAATTTAAAGAATTACAAATTTTTTAGCCTATGTCACTCCCGGAGTACCCATGTTTACCTCAAAAATGTCAGCCAATTTGGTCCAGCCCGATTGGCGAACATATAAACGAACACAGAATACCAGTATACACCCCTGGATGAGTGTTCCCTTTCTGATACTAAACTCTCTGTTCTTTCATTTATTTTAACAACATATATTTGTAACCTCCTGCAAATATTTGTGTCGGCTTATAAGGCTTGTATAGAGTGCATAAGTTCTAATTTACGAAGAAATGCAGAAGCTCATTATATCCCACTGTCCTTTTCTTTCGTAATATATGTTATACTCATGAGTCATGGATAGAGATTATAATAAAGAGAGGATAAAAAATGAACTGAGTCAGAACCTTTTAAATAAACAGAATGAGTTTTTAAAAAGTAATCGATCTCTCATTGCATTGGCATAAATCCTAAGTTTTGACAATGGGGTTTTATTAATCTCCAACTACGCCCCTGTACTCCTTCATCTTTATTAATCTCCGTCTACACCCCTGTACTCCTTCACCTTTATTAATCTCCGTCTACCCCCTTGTACTCCTTCATCTTTATTAATCTCCGTCTACACCCCTGTACTCCTTCACCTTTATTAATCTCCGTCTACCCCCTTGTACTCCTTCACCTTTATTAATCTCCGTCTACCCCCCTGTACTCCTTCACCTTTATTAATCTCCGTCTACCCTCCCGTTCTCCTTCACCTTTATTAATCTCCGTCTACCCCCTTGTACTTCTTCACCTTTATTAATCTCCGTCTACCCTCCTGTTCTCCTTCACCTTTATTAATCTCCGTCTACCCTCCCGTTATCCTTCACCTTTTTTAATCTCCGTCTACCCTCCTGTTCTCCTTCAGCTTTATTTCAAAGAGCGCTTTGTTTTCAAAATTCTGTAGTCTAGACATATTTAGAATCTGTGTGATTATTTTTCTGAAAATTCCTTCAGAAATGTGAAAATGATACTTTCTTTAACTTTCACAATGATGCCTTTCCGTTTTCCCTCCAAAATGATCATTAAATTTTACACCTGTTTGCTAAAATTCAAATTTTGGAATTTTGTTAGAAAATGTCACTGAACTTATATGCAGACGTATTATGTTTCAAATATAAGTTTGCTTAATACATATAGTGCATACAAGTACATCTATATATAAATTTGGCTTGTCTGTCTGTTTGTTTATTTGTCTGTTTGTATCCAATAAACGTAAAAACGGCTGAACCGATCGGGCCCAAATTTTTTGTGGGACATCACGTGACCACAGGGCAGGTTTATGAATGATAAAAATTTAAAAAAACGTGTTTTAAAGATTTTTAATTTTGTAAAAAAATTTAAATTCTTAAAAAAACGCGATTTTTTTTAAAATCCGCAAAAAATTTTCTTCTTTGTTTTAAATGTAAACAAAAAAAACCTGTTCACAATTTAAATAGACATGTATGGTGTTTTTTCGATATTTTTTGAAAATTTTTAATTTATTTTTTGGTGCTCCAATGGCCCAAAAGAAAATCCGCGAATCTTTTTTTTTCCCAAAATCCAAAGTTCAGAAAAGCAAAAAAGTGTATATAAATTATTTCTATCAAAGAATCACAGAATTGTTATACGAAAATTCTCAATTTTTAGTTCTGGTCTTATTTTTAAGGAAAAGTTTTTTTTAAATTCTCTAGCTCCTTTCTTCTCAGTATATTCTAAAGTATTAAATACTAGAAATTCAAGGCGCTTCGCGCCCTTCTTTCTAGCCTTAAAGGCGCTTCGCGCCCATCTTCTAAATTAGTTGTGAACATGTTCTCTTTGCGTACATCGTAAAACAAAACAAAAATAATTCGCGGATTTTCAAAATTTTTAAAAATTTAATGACGATCGAATTTTGATGGAGACAAATATTTGAAATTTTGATTTTTCATAAACCTTCCCTGGGGTCCATAGATGTCCCACAAAAAATTTGGGCCCGATCGGTTCAGCCGTTTTGACGTTTATTGGATACAAACAGACAGACAGACAAACAAACAGATAGACAGACAAGCCAAATTTATATATAGATGCGCTGTTCAGTTGAAAAGTTAAGAACCATTGAAAAACAATTTTTCCGTAAAAATTATACCAGAACTAAAAATTGCGAATTTTCTAATTACAATTTTGCAAATTTTCTGAGATTCTGTGATTCATTCTTTTTGAAATTTTAGATTTCGATAGAAACAATTTATTTGCACCTGTTTCATAATTGATAACAACATAATAAATCAATATTGATAAATCGAATATTGGAAATATTGTTTAGTGACTGTTTATAAATCAAATAATTTAGGAGATTAATGTTGAAGGAATTTTTTTTTTCCACAAACTTTGATTTTTAATCCCAATATCTCTGCAAACCAATTTCATACACCTAACAAACTAGATCAAATAATCCAAGTTTGAAATTTCAAAGGTTGACTCTTGAAGTTGCAATAAATATGGAATAGAACATTTGAGTTTGTGGTAAAGATTCAATTAATTAAATAATTGAACTTTATCAAGCTTACAAGTTACAACTGAAAAACTGAAAAACCGAAAAACTGAAAAACTGAAAAACTTAAAACGTCAAAAAATTTAAAAATGGATGGGTTGGAGGTGTTTTCATATGTACAGAAAATATTTAGAATTATTATAAAATATTAGAAAAACCTCGAAACTTTAAAAATAAATGAGAAGTTTATTTTAAAGAATGATTTTGTATAAAAGTTAGTTATAAACTTTATCACTTTTTATCCAAACCTACTCCCCCAGTAAATCAAGTTTATTATATACCAACCAGATGTTCGAAAAAAATTGATTTCCTTTAAGTTTTGGGATTCTGCTATATAAAAAGCTCATATATTTGCTGGCCAAAGGACTGGAACAAATTGGCTGAAACTGTTTGAGAAAATAAGCTTAAAAAATCGATTTTTACCTCTTCAAAACTCGAAATATTGTTTTTAAAATTCGATTTAAAAAAAGGGGTTTCAAATTCTACGGGCAACGCCGGGCACAATTCCGCTAGTAAGATACAAAATATAAAATTAAACGCCAAAATTTTTTGAATTTTTTTATGATCTACCAAATATTGGCACAATTTGGTAGATCATAAAAAAGACAAATGGTTCGTACTTGACAAACTTTTCAATTGGAGGATTCAAGTTGTATTCCGGGAATATACAGGAAATCCACGAATTTATAATTACGTAAAAATTATAGTTATCATATTTCATATTTCATATTTCTATTCAATTACAAAGAACGAGATAATACAAATAAAAAAATCACAATTTACTATGTAGTTTGGACCCGCTTAACCTGAGTTGGTTGTTTTAATTGGTTGGCCCACTAGTAGATTGATTGATAAACGTTTATTTCTATATGCACTTAGGCAGGCGTCTTAAATGTCTACTAGTAGATAAATGTCTTAATGAAAGGACACATCAAAATAAAGTAGATTGACAGTAAATCATGATCAAATACAAACTCAAATTTTCTAAAGCCTGTATATTCTCAGCCTGATGTAAACCTTTGATATTTTAAGCTAAGATTAATTGATCTAACAGAATTAATAGTTTGAAATATCTAGGGTTAACAACAATTGGTTGCAATGATATTAGATAAGAGTTTGTGGCAAAGACTCATCTCCTTTGACCTTCGTTTTAGTTCATATTGAGCGAGGTTGCTGTGTAGTTGTACTATATGTTCATTTAAACCACAATGGCCTGCTGGGGAAGGGGAATCAGTGGCGCGCGCGTTATGAACAGATTTCAAATTAAACAGTTTTGACATCAAAGCCTGAAATTTAAGAGAGCATCGTTGCATATAACTCCTGAGTTTTCTTGTTTAGAGACTAGACGTTTGTGTAGATATTTATAATGTAAGAACTAGAAAATGGTAAGAATAATCATGTGAAATAATATTTCGAACAAAAACATTTAACTCTACAAAATTTACACCGAATAAAACGTAATGAACAAAGTGGAGGACAACAGCCCGAATGCCCCCCCCCCACATCAGTTTCAACCCAGCTCAGTGCATTTAAGGAATTCCCGAAGTCAGAAAAACCGAAGGAATTGTTGATACAGAATCCCATGTTATGATTAAATTGTGTCCGCATCAAGTAAATATAGGTAACAGGGTGTCCAAGAAAAACTATTCTCAAATATTGGTTTTAGCTTTTTTTGTGACACCTTGTATTCCCTTGCGATATTAAATATGGAGGATAAACTTGGATAAAGAGGATGAAGGGGGGGGGATACTGTGAACCAATTCAAGCCGATACAGGGGGAGGGGGGTCACATGAGAGATGGAGCGGGGGGGGGAGAGAGGATTACAAAAAAGTCTGTAACTTTTGTGAAAAATATTGGAGAGCATAATTGACAAATGACAATGCATTAAAAATTAAAATGAACATTTTTCTAAATTATACAAATTAAATATATCGAGTTAGACAAAGTAAAATATTTTATACAAATCTTTTTGCTACTTTATCTCTTTCCTCTCTCTGTAAAGGTTTATTGTTTGTGTCCATATTCTTTTATTCAAATAAAAGTATATTTTACTGCTTTTTATACCTTTCATACAAAACATAATATCTAGTATAAACAACAATTATAATGCTTAGCTTCCAGTGTGGAGGCGCAACTTGAGCATCTGGTAAAAAGGGAGGGGGAGGGGGGGTATTTTTTGGTTTTTTATTGAATGAAGGAGAAATAAATTTTTAAAACGAAATCAATTTTAGAATTTTGAATCTTCATTACACAAAACCATATATTTTTCTCCTGTTTTAGTGCTGAAAATTTTCCTTTTTTCAATCCCTTTCAAGGGAGGTCGACTCGACCCCCCCCCCCTCTATTTGTTACGCCGGACCGAATGTTAAATCAGCGTAAGTGTATTAAACCTCTCAAAAATTCAAAACAAACTGTAACTGTAAGCATATAAAGTAGTTATCTTAAGAATTTTTTCTCCGTAGATCTGATAAAAAGTTTAAAAAGTTATTTATTCGTTGACAGTTTAAATTGTGGATTTAGGAATACAGAAAACATTGATGGAAAATAAACAAGTGCGAGAATATCTTTTAAGCAATCTTCTATAACATGTTTTTTTAAGAATCGTGAACTAAATACATCTATTTAATCCACAAAAGGAGAAGGTTAATGTGTAAATACTAACGATACGACTTTGTGACCTCGTAGCTTTTCCATTTTTAATTTTATTCTTAATTATGAGAAAAACAAATTCATCCGATTACATGTTAGAAATTAATAAAAAAATTTTCCCTAGCTCTTCAATAAGAGGTTTTATGATTGAAATCATATGAGATTTCAATCAATAGTTCAATTTTCCATAATGGACGGAGGAATCAAAGTATTATGCAAGATATGGTGCACAACATATAAGAAAAATCTTTCCTTTTAATAAATGAAATAAACATCCCAACGAATGATTTGACAGGTTCTTTAAGTCAAAACTTTTTGTTCTTTAGTTTTAGACTCTGGTTGTAAAAAACCTTGCTAAATTCCTTTAAGATTGAAATAAAGAAAGAAGATGACAATATGACAATCCTTCCCTTATACAGGGTTACCCACGTCGGGTGAGACTGTAAAGACGACCTAAAACTAATTTAATTAGACTTTTTTATAATTAAATTAAGTATCTGTCATAACTATAGTATTTTCTAGCCGTTTTAATGATTGGTCAAAGAAAGAAAAAAAGGAATTGAGTCTTTGCAACAAACTCAGATTTTCCAATCTCTATATATTTACAACCTTGTGGTATAAACCTTTCATATTTCAAACTTAGATTATTTTATCTAACAGAATTCATAGTTTGAAATATTTAAGGTTTACGCAAAGATAATATATATATATATAGATATGCAGGCAGGTAGAAACCTCCTTCCTAAATTGCTTGTAGCAGACAACTAATTTTTGAACCTCTGAGAGAAGGTGCAAGGAGAGACATCTATAGCAAATTGATTACTTTCTATATTCCTTTCTCCCCTTGCTGCCATCTGTAGGAAATACGCATTTGTGTTATATAAACATACAGTACGCGTATTGCATCCTGTATAGTTCAAGTGTTGCTATCTGGACCTGTTTGACCAATAAAATTAAATTTCAAGGTAACACAAACATACAGTACGCGTTTTGTTTATGTTATGATCAGTTGTACTTAGTAAAGATATAGTAGACAAACAGAAATATTGACAAACCTTTATTTAAATTGCGTTAATTTACGTATGCCATTAACAGTACAACTTGCACATTTAAACTTTGTCTAGTCAAATTCCTACCTCAGTTTTATTTGCATTGATTAATTTGTTTCATTAAGTACAATATGCAGTATACATTGTTGATACTATAGTAAGCATTTAGTGTTATCACGCATAAACAAAGTGATAAATTAGCAACAATCCAGAGGATAAAATGCCATGCGTACGACAGAGATGGTGCTGTTTGCACCTTTTCTCAAGACCTCAAAATTTATACCTGCCTGCATATCTATATATATATTATCTTTGGGTTTACGACATTGGTTAGAAGATATAGAGATTAGAAAATCAAAGTTTACGGCAAAGATTTAATTCCTTTAGAGTTGGAAGGATTCTGCTAAATATAAAGAAACAGACCGTGTTAATTTTGTACAATCGTCTCTTAAGTCCTTCATCCTTTGATGGTAACCCTGTATATTATTATTCACTGTATATTTTATCTAGACGGAGCTGGGTAATGTTGTTGTTGGAATATATGAACTAATGGGAGTAAACCTTCTCCCTCCGGTCAGTAAACATATTTAAATATATAGACATGGTGTACCACCAAACATCATAACGACTGAAAGGTCGTCCTTGATTTGTGGTATTTATTTGTAGGCTTAAATCTAGAAGTATATTTCTAAAGTTATTAATCACTAAATAACCCTAGTCAAGGCATTTCCAAAATGTGGTCTGCCTTTTTGGTGCTTTCAATATTACCCGAGATAGGAAGAATTTGGTTCAGATTTCGATTATTTTGGTTTTATTTAATAACTTGAAATCTGAACGAAATTCATAATATCTCCTGTAATATAAACGGTACAAAAATGACAGACAATATTTAAGAAAGAAAAGGGAATATTTTTTAATCATTAGTTTAAGTATCATAAACGTTAAAGAAAGTTATAGAATGCATGACGCAAATACGACTTTTTATTTTGACACTCGAAGGTGTCTAAGGGGTTCTAAATCATCGATACAATTTGTATAGTCTTATATTGTTCTAAACCTTGTTATATTTCTATAGACTGGTTCATTTTTAAATATTCTTCTAAACCTTGTTATATTTCTAAAGGCTGGTTCAGTTCTAAATATTGTTCTAAACCTCGTTATATTTCTATAAACTGGTTCATTTCTAAATATTGTTCTAAATCTTGTTATATTTCTTTAGACTGGTTCAGTTCTAAATATTGTTCTAAACCTTGTTATATTTCTATAGACTGGTTCAGTTCTAAATATTGTTCTAAACTTTATTATATTTTTATAGACTGGTTCAGTTCTTAATATTGATTATATTCCGCGTAGAAGAGATTCAGTTTCAACAGAAGGTAAGATTGCAGGTTATGGAAAGTGTTGTACGACGGGAGGATGGCAACCCACAACTGTTTTACCTCCCAAGACCCAGCCACAAATGAAGTCATAAAAATTGGTTTGCCCTCAGACTATATCAGTGTGGATTGGAAGGTCTCCGGGTAAGCGACGTCAGCAAATCCTTTATGTGACGTCATTAGTGGCTGGAAGGGAAAACCGGTAAAGCGGAAGTGGGCTGCCTTCCTCTCTTCGATGTACACACTTCATCATACAGTGGTCACAAGAGTGAAGACAACTTTTGGCGCAAATACATTGTTTACAAAAGTAAAACAATTTAATTCCATCAGTGCATCATTTCAATATGTGTAATGTTTATTTAGAGGGCTACATTTGCTATTATTTTCTAAACTACTTTATTCTGAGGACTACTGTGGACGTTGTAAATCTTTTTAGAAGTTTTCATGAACATATTGTATATCAATATTTTTTGACAAAAAATAATATTTTTGTATGTTATTGTTAACTTTTCTTGTTTTGGTTGATTGCAGATAAATCGTGGATTCCACCTTTAAACCTGACAATATCTGTCAGGGAGCTAAGGGATAATGTGGAGACAATCTTTACCAGGCTAGATACTAACAGGTAGGTTCAGGTAGGTCAGCTAGTTCAAGTAGTTAAGGTGGGACAGGTAGTGCAGGTGGGACAGGTAGTTCAGGTAGGTCAGCAAGTTCAGATAGTTCAGGTGGAACAGGTAGTTTAGGTAGTTCAGGTAGTTAAGGTGGGACAGGTAGTTCAGGTGGGACAGGTAGTTTAAGAGGGACAGGTAGTTTAGGTAGTTCAGGTATTTCAGGTAGTTCAGGTGGGACAGGTAGTTCAGGTGGAACAGATAGTTAAGGTGGGACAGGTAGTTCAGGTGGGAGGTTTATTTAGGTAGTTCAGGTAATTCAGGTTTAAGGTAGCTCATGTAGTTTAGTTCGTCCAAGTATTTTATGTTGTTTAGATACGTTCAAGAAGTTCAGATAGTTTAGGTAGGTCAGGTAGGTCAGGTAGTTCAGGTAGTTCAGATAGTTTAGATAGTTCAGGTAGTTCAGGTAGTTCAGGTTTTTCAGGTAGTTCAGGTAATACAGGAATTTAAGGTAGTTATAGTGGTTCAGGTTGTTCAGATAATATAACTTTATAGAAAGTGTAACTTTATATGAAGTGTAATTATATGAAGTGTAATTATATGAAGTGTAATTATATGAAGTGTAATTATATGAAGTGTAATTATATGAAGTGTAATTATATAAAATTTAATTAAACAAAATGTAACTATTCGAATTACAACTGAGCCTTTTTTCTCCGAGATGTAAGGCTGGGTAATGTTTTGTTACCAAACGGCAATTTTAGAAATTAACAGAAATTAACGTTATCGAACTGAAACCCCTATAGCTTTCAAAACGTTAACTATCGAAATGAGTTGTTAATGAAAAGAAAAACGAAGGAATGATTTTAAAAATAACGGATAGTTTATATACCTCAAGTACAGCTCTCGTCAACTAATTGACAAACTGTTAAAACGGTAAAATAACTAACAAATATATAAGTAAATACCGTTAACGCCGTTAAAATTGAGTTTGTTAACAAACAGCAACTTGAGGAACGAAAGGAAAAAACTGTTATTGATAAAAAGTGAAAGACTACTCGATGAGCCTGTCCAATCCATCAATTTATCTTACGTTTAATTAGCGGGTTGGAGAATGTGGAAACGAGCACAGCCCTATCAATGTGTTTTCTTCTCATGATGGACTTTAGATTAATCAGTAAAATAAGATCAGACACATCGACAGCTCTTGAGAATTAATCTCATTTCCTAGAAAAACATATACTTATATATATATATATATATATACATATATATATATATTTATCTATAAATATATTTATATATTGGATACTTTGATCATTGTCTTGTACAATTTACAAATGTAATAAATATAAATATATTGTACAGCGATAACCAGAAAACTCTGGCAAAAGAATTCGACTTTTAGATTCAAGTTATGGCTTTGTATCGTCCAATAACCATGAGGTACAGCAATTGTGTAGTGTAAACAGACCCATTTCACTTCATAATAGATTCAATAACTTACTAGTAAAGCTATATGCTTTGTAAAAAATCTAATACACTTTAAGTATTGCTTAAATGTCATTTTCCTATCCTACAGTTTTTGGTTTTCACTGTATACAATTTGATTTTTAAGATATTATACAGAATGTAGATGAAAATAAAAAATACTTGCATAAACTTTAGTAATAATATTTATAAAATACATTACAGCATTTATTTAAAGGAATTATCAGAAATGCCAAACTAAACATAATACTGTCTGTTATTGTCTGTTATCTCTTTTTTTGTCGGGATTTTTACCTTTTTAATTTGTATATAATTCTTGAATTAAAAAAGTAAAAATCACAAACAAAAAACATAATTTCCCAAATGATAACACAAGAAATATGGATAAATTCATTTATTCAATTCAAGTTTCATGGGAGATTTCTTTAATTGAAGAACGCAAACCTGCTTTGCCAGTGTCGTGCATGGAGATCCTACCCCTTATGTGAATTAATTATTTCAACGCAATTTGAAACATCAAAGCCATTTTTATAAAACTAATGGTTTGAAAAACAAACGAAGGTTAAAAACGGAAAAAGGGATTTTCTTCGGAAATGTCGTCTTCCTTTCAAATTATACGATACCGGTATCAAATGTTACTAATGTCGGAAAAATAAGAAACTTTTTAAACCCAACATCATGAAATTGTGAGCACAAATGCGGGATTAAATTCTCTTAAAATTGAATAAAAAAATATAAAGCTTTCAATGTTGATTCAGGGTTTCAATTTCACACTTTTATGATTCCAGCATAAAAGTAAAGTTTATATTTGCAAAATTAGATTTGCATATTCTTGCATTTTGCACAGTTTTATGTCCAAGGAAATAAAATTAAGGTTTCATTTAAAACTTCTTTTAACAACAATTTAGCACTGTAAATTTTTACTTTTTTTATTAGCTTAAATATAGGATAGGCTTTTTAGCTTCGCCCATTATAAACAAAACTGCATATTATCATATTTGTTTCTGTTGTTTTTCTTCGTTCAACTTAATTTGCAAACAAACTGAGATTTATTTATTTTCACCCATTTTAAATTTTCTATTTACGTTAGTTGTGTATCCAGTCATTTTTACTTCTTCCTATCCTTAACTCCTTTTATATACTTAACCATGTTTTAATTATACACTACACTCTCTACTGAGAAACTAGCTTCCAAGGTAGAATATATTTCACAATCTACCACAATTACAGATTGTTACCCAGATAAGTCTGCTGGAAAAATAAAAACAATATGAAATATTTTCTAAAATGTTATTGGACAAAAGATACCTTGTTCTACAAGCCAACATTGTCTAAAATAGAAACATTTCAGAGACGGAGTTGTAACCCGTGAAGAATTTGTACAAAGCTGTTTACAGGTCAATATCATAGATAAATAAATAAACATAGATAGCTTATGTACGCTAAATCACCAAGAATTGTACAGTCCGGGAACCTCGAACTTCTAGGGGTCAAAGTGTACTTCAATGATAAGCGGGGTGGTGTGGTGTTTTAATGGATTTCATGAATAACTCCGGGAATGGAACTATTTGCACAACAATATTTCACTGAGTAATATATCATATTGACGAGAACTGAAGAAGGACATGAGAAGGACTAGACTAACATAAATTTCTCTCTACAGAACTCATGTACACCATAAGTACTAAATGACATAAGAACAGCCAATGTTCACAACCGACCTAGTTAATCTATATAATAGGAATATCTTTAAAATATCTCTGTACATTTATATCTTTCAAGATGAAAAATGTCGTCTTATGCGCTATCTATCTTTATCTATGGTCAATATTCTAGATTTTTTCTTGTTATCATTTTTAATTAATAGACATTTTGTTAAATTTAGTTTAACTTGAAGTAGTTTTTTGTAAAACTAAAGATATATTTGAAAAGTTTTCCTGAGTTGGTGGATTCGTCCCATCTAATGAGTAGAATATCATCAAGTAGGGCTGAGCCCGTTGATATTTCTTCATAAATTTTGTTTCTGGCACGACTTTGTGACCTCGTAGCTTGCTTTGATTTTACGCACAAGTATGAGAGAAAAAGTATTCGGTTATATACTAAAAATTCAAAATAAATGTCCTTCTCAATAACTCTTCAATAAGAGAAGTTCTGATTCAAAGTTTGCATGTTTTGAATCTAATGCTTAAGGAATTGAGTCTTTGCCACAAACTCGGGTTTAAAATCCCCATATCTTTGCAATCCCATGTCGTAGACATTTATAGATATTTCAAACTATGAATTATGTCAGATCAAATATCAAAGGTTTACACTCACATTGCAAAGATCTAGAGATTAGAAAATATTTGTCTGTGGCAAAAACTCAATTCCTTTAATTAATTTGACGTAAAGAATATTTTTTATTAACGATTCGTTTCAAAACCTGCCCAGCCCTACTTTTAATAGTTTCAACTAAACTTAGACATCGTTAATTTTCAATTAATTTTATTCTTAAAAATCGAAGAAATTTGGTAAACAACGTAAGACAAAAAGTATGAAATGTTAAGTTATTTATGCCAAAAATCACGTAAACAAAGAATACAATTCATATTGAACACATAACCGAAATGAAACGAATAATATAAAAAACATCCAAGCATGCCCTGGCCTAATTCTTATTTCTTATGGACAGATGTTAAACTTTCAATTGTCGGATGGAAAAGTTAATGTTTGTCTTTCAACTAAAATCTGTTAAAGCACTGATTTTTAGGCGGTTATTTCTACTACTTGTTCCCAAAATAACTTTTCTAAGATTGAAGTGAAATAATTATTAATAGTTTACCAAACCATACCAGGAGCATATTAAACTAGACTTAAACCTTGCTTAAGAATTACAAAGGCTGTATTTAAGAAAATATTTCTGCAGAATTAATTCTATTCAAATATAATTAATCTATCTAATCTCTGCATATTTTATTTAAATTTTTCATTATACAACACACATATCCATATATAAATTTAGCTTGTCTTTCTGTCTGTTTGTTTGTTTGTATCCAATAAACGTCAAAACGGCTGAACTGATCAGGCCCAAATTTTGTGTGGGACCTCACGTGGCCCCAGGGAAGGTTTGTGGCCAATCATACTTTAAATATGTAATCTTATAATATTTTTATCTTAAATTATTTAATTTTATAAAATTTTAAAAATGCGCGAAAATTATGAAATCCACAAATTAAATTTTTTTCAAAGAGTAGATGCTCACAGATAAAGCCACAATTAAAAGTTGAAATAGAAGATGGGCGCGAAGTGCCCTAAAAGCCTAGTATAATAAATATCTTTAACTAAATTAAATTGTAATGACAAATTTTCTAATGTTTACACCATTACAAATGATTTGTTGAGGAAATTCCCCTGTATTTAATGGTAAATGCTTACTTGCTGCAGAGATATTTGTTATTATTCAGTAACTCATTATTATTTTCGGCTTTGACTTGATTAGTAGATTCAACCTAAAATATAAATTTGTTTATTTGTTTCAGGATTCAACAATCTCCAGCTCTCTACAAAACTTTCAGTTTAAACTATAAAAACGGATTTGTGAAGAATATAAAAGAAAATTGCGGATTTGTAAAAGTGCCGGAATTTTGACTTCATTAACTGGAAAAAGGTTTCCACGTGTTTTTATTCTTGATGTGTGTTTTATTCATTCTTATTAAGGTTATACTCAAGTATCTGAGGCAACCATACAATACATGTATTTTATGTATCATGAAAATAAACAGTGGTCCCCAAAATAAAAGAAAAAAGAAAGACGACTTTGAGATGGAATGTTTTGTCCTCTCGTCACGAGTCACGTGTCACATGGCGACCACTGTATGTATTTAATTGCATATGTAAATGTTGATATTCATATATCTTATAATAAAGATTTAGACCGAAATAAAAATTTTGTAGACATTTACCTCAGTTTTGATTTTCTAATTCCAGAAATTTAACAAAATGAAGCAGCAGAATCTTTTCACTTTTCTCTTAAAAAACACGGAAATATTCAAAATGAGTTCTGCGAAAATAAAAAGTGTTAAGTTTAGCTGCAAAACCTTAATTCAATATTTATAATGGGAACTTTTGAATCAAAGAGCTTAAATTTTGAGATTAATTTAATTTTAAAATTATTTTTAATGCTTTTTAAATCTTAAATGTAATTGTCGACTCATTTATCGAAAACCTGAACAGTGAACGATGGAGGGGATGGCTGCTCTGAGAGGTTTAGAATTGCTCCCAGGGTTTTGGAGTGCTCCCAGGGGTTTGGAGTTGCTCCCAATTGGTTTCGGAGTAAATGTGAAAATTTATCCGACCTTTTATGAAAAGTCCTTTAAACAGTGAACTTTAAAACCGAAAATCGAAAAAAGGGCTCTACTACCCCTTTTTACTCTCTTCGCAAATTTCAGTGCAAGTAGCTTGGGGCGATCATACAGTTTTTATTAGCTAAACTGACAACACTTGTTTCAGCTTATTAATACAATTACAAATAAAATTGCTTAAAATACCGTCTTCCTATTCCACAGTTTTATGGGCGCCACAGTTTTAGGGTCCTTTAGAAACAATGGAAAAATTTGAATAGATTAGCACTTTTTAACTTGAACAACGATGATATCTTCTTCAATATTAATCAGACAAACTTTAAAGGATACCGTTGTGAATCCGACAATGCCTCTATCAAGATCAAGGTTCAATTATTTAAAAAAAACATTTTTTCAATTTTTGTTTTCCACGGGCAACGCCGGGCCCTTTAGCTAGTACTATATAAAACAAGACGTTCGTATATGTGTTTCCTATGGCCGGCCAAACGGGTGGACGGAATGAGCTTACTTTTCTTGTGGACACTCATGGGTAGCCTGGGTGTGACCGTGACATAGGCAAAAAGTTAGATTTTTTTCTTTTTTTCATTCAATTTTTTTTCTTTTTTCCAAAATATTTTAAAATTTTTTTTCCCACGGGCAACGCCGGGCCCTTCAGCTATAGTATACTATATAGACGTTTGTTTATTGAATACATTGTATTTGACAAAACAAAAAAATCTGCAAGAAAATCTGGTATACATAATTTATAGTTTTTACAATATATTTTGTAATATATAATGTATGTATGTTAATATTTATGCAAAAATATACAGATAAACTCGGAACAGTGGACACTAATGATTATAGAAATGATTCTAGGAATCATAAGCTTTATAGTTGTTTAGGTAAACAGTACATTTACAGTATAGAATACAGCGTTTGAATATGTATTTTCGAAGACAATGTTTTCATGGGGTTTTCCCAATATTGAGTAGGAATTAAACTTTTAGTGAATTATTGAAGTGTAGCTACCATTTATGTACAGTACACACCACGATGATAGGGCAGGGCCGGTACAAATTTAGTATAGTATTCCCAATTCCTGAATTCTGACATTCCTAGATGGAATTGATGTATATAGTATATATATATAATATATATATAATATTAACATTCTATGATTAAGAACAAATACGTGTAACAAAATATCAATTTTTTCTACATTTAAAATAACTTATTTACTGGGCAACCTAGCGTATACAAGTAAAATAATTTTCTTTACAATTAACACTTTATTTTTAAAGAATGTGCAAGATTTAAAACTAATTAAAAATTATTAATATGGATGTCCTGTTTTTTTTACAAATGAAGATCCTAGAATTTCATCTTAAAACTTTTGTTTACCTTTCTTCATTCAGAATTTAAAACAATTAGCACATTCATTATCGGGCATTATAAAACACTGACTTGGATAAGGTTTACTTGTGTTATTGTTTATATTTATTTGTAGGAATAAAATCAATATTCCGTGGATAGAATGTTTTTTCTAGAAGAATAGGTGTTATCACTTCCCCTTTTTTACAAATTAAACCATATCTTTTTTCTCATTTTAATGAAATTTCAAAAAGAAGATAAACCAAGGAAAGTATCATGGTTATTATATCGTTAGAACTGACGAGGGTCAACCCAGACCGAAATATATTTTCAATAAATGTGGAACTAACATCTACTTTTTTACCCTACAGAGGTTTAATCCATCATCACCATCACCGAATGAAAGTATATTGATCAAGCACTTTATTGTGCTAGCTGGCTACATTATCGCCAACTTACCATTCCATAAACCTTTTCAGTTTTCTTGGATTAAAACTATTTACTACAGATTCCAAAAACTTTTATCGTGGCAAATGCTTGCATTGTCGCAGCATCAACCCAAAGATATATATGTGCAGTGAAAACTCACACACTTAGTAATTCAACCCTCCAGCCCTCAATTTGGAATTTACGCATGACCACTGTCCAATTTAGGTTTTTGGTATTTTCTTTACCATTACATTTTTGGATAAAAAGCAGAAAAATATTTAAGATTGTAAGGTTCAATCATCATGATTTAACACATGGAGTTTTATTTATAAATCAGCTCTGCTTGACAACCGTAGAAAAATGCGGTAAATTTCTCTTAAAATGTTGTATTTGAATTGAAATATAAAATGTCGCCAATCATGGAACAAAATTTATTACTTTACACTACGGAAATAATATTTGGCCAGTGCGGTTTTGATAAAACAATCCCTATTTTCCTAGATTGAAGTTACGGCTTCTCTTCCAATATTGGAACAATCCCTTCCAATGCACTTCTACATGTTGAAAACTTTAAATTCCTTCAGAGGACCAGATGTCGATTTGAATTTGACATACCCAGCACCAAAACTATAATCCACGCTAAACTAAAAAGACCTGAAATGTATCAATTTTACTGGAATAAATTAGTATCGCACATCAAACATTGAACCATAAAAATCTTTCTCAAATTTTGATTGGAGAAATCGGTATAACCACTGGAATGTTCTAAGCTAGGAATGAAACTTTTAAGCTAAGTGGGTTGAATTTTATAGGGATAACTCAGTTTCCAGATAAAGCTAGGCTTCCAATCTAGTTTTTATATCTTCAAACAACGTTATTAAGGTTACGTCTAAAGACAAACATACAGCTTCTTAAAGAATTGTTTTATATTGCTCTCAGGATTTAAAGAAAATCCGCATAAAACATTGAGAAAAGTCCGCGAGTTTTTCTTCTATGTAGCAGAAACCAATCGACTGTTTTTTGGGAAATCAAAGTGAAATCTGTAAATTATAGAATGAGTAAAACATAGGGTCTCATAGTTTAATGTAATATATTTAGTTTTTAAGCAAAAATAGAGATGAAAATAAAGTAATGTAACTTTTATTTTTATAAAATAAAGCATATTCTTGCAAATTAAAAATGTCACTATTTTCCGTATCCAGTATTCTTCTTCTTGTTCTTAACAGCATTATTTCCCTGGTTTCCTAAGAACACCTGGTTCCCTTGGTTCCCCTGGTTTCCTGGGTTTCCTTGATTTCCCTGGAAGTTGTTGTTGTTGTTCATGTCGGGCCAGGGATCCTAAACAATTTTTTATTTTTTAATTTTAAAAATTGTAAAAAATGTGAAATGTTGGTTTATCCAAACTTTAACAATTTATAATTTCTGTAATATGTTTAACAATTCCATTGGGCTTACAGGGACTGTACGTGTAAATTCAAGAGTCCCTTCAAGCAAAGATGCCAATGTCCGATTTACAACGGCACCCTTAAAAGCTTTGTCTGATCAAGTATAAATTAGATATCCACGTTTTTGTTTCTTTAAATTGTTTATTTTGATTTGCAGGTTCCCTGCTAAATTGACTTGCTAAATTCGGAAGTTCCTTCATGCAAAGATACCAATATCCGATTTACAACGGTACTCTTAAAAGCTTTGTCTGATCAAGTATAAATTAGATTTCCACGTTTTTGTTTCTTTAAACTGTTTATTTTGATTTGCAGGTTCCCTGCTATAATGTGACTTGCGCATATCTTGCGTTTAACAATACAATAGAAAAATGAAGGTTTCTTTCACATTCTTAATCAAGGCATTGCTATATTTGCATGGAGGGTCACTTGAAGTTACAATTAATGTCCCTTTAACCTATCATTGTTAAGAGTACAATAGACACCATACAAGAATAACAGATAAAAGTCGTTCAATAAAGTTTCAGCCATGTTGATTCAGTGTCCGAATTTAATGAATTTAATACACGTATTAATTGAGCGCCGGCTTAAATCTTGAAAAACTTAATACAAATTTAAGTGGAACCAACCATATTTGAGCCGCGGCTTAAATTCTTTAAATTCTGCCCCAGATTGTTAAAATAATTCCACGCATATTATAGGATCAAGCGTATGAATTTCTACTACACAGAGCTAGAAACTTTAGACGTAGTATTGTTATGAATAAAACCTGGTTTCGGAAATTTTTGGAAATATTGCTGGAAATCCCATTTAAACTAATATCTGCAAGAATGTATACAGTACAGACCCCACAGAGGATTCTAGGAAACTCCCGGGGTTGGTTTCGTTCAACGATTCTCTCTTAAATTACCGACTCAGGTTGAGAGAGTGCATATAAGTACGTTTGTAAAATCTAGGTCACAAGCTTGTGAGATTGAAGAAAGTTACGAGGAAATAAAAAAGAGATAAAATCTAGATTTCTGGACTTCACTGCAGCCAGGATTGTAACCATAGGAATTTTTGCTCTGCACTGGTTAGAATACAAATGCCATTATTCTTAATGTCAAACCTTAAAATAATAAAAAACAGGGGTTAATATTCTCTTAATAAAAGTTTCCATCCCTTCTCTTAAAAAATGTATTTTTTCCCCAGTATGCTTAGTGCTAAATTGGAAAAAATAAATGACATTTTTGAGTTAAAAGTATCCAAAAAGGGTGAAAAACATGCCATTAACTTTTCGTTTTCCCTCCAGGGCCCAGTTCATTGCTCCTCCCTGAGGGGGGAAGAGGCTAGGGTTATGGGGAAAATAATTTAATTTTTATCTTTCATTTTTTTCATATTGTTTTTATTTCTCCATGACGCCTCCCAATTACTTTTCCCAGTTGGAAATTTATTTTCTACAATGAACTCACAGTGCTTTCTTTTTTCCCAGAGTTGTATTTTGGTCTTTCACTGATAATTATTAAATTATTAATTTAGAAATCCAATTCACAAATTAATTACACGTAGATATATATGATAATAAGTAGAAAAAACGATTACTTGACTCAAACTTTGAAATTTTTATCCTTATATCTGTGCAAGCTAATGGCGTAGACCTTGGCTATTTCTAAATATGAATCCTGTTAAAATAAATACTCAAAACCTGGCAATATAAAAAGTTTACATAGTGTATTCCATCAGGTTGCAAATATGTTGATAGTTGTAAAAATGTACCCGGTAATTAGGATCTCTGCAACATACATCAGGTTGCAAAGATGTTGATAATTGTAAAAATGTACCTGGTAATTAGGATCTCTGCAACATACATCAGGTTGTAAAGATGTTGATAATTGTAAAAATGTACCTGGTAATTAGGATCTCTGCAACATACATCAACAACATTTCCAGCTTGTTGGTTCACACAAGGCTAAATGAATTACAAGATAATTAAACTAATAATGTGGATAATTATGCAGATCATTAGGATAATGTATAAAGGGGCAAATACAGGAATTTATCCAGGGGGGGGGTTAACTTTTTTACATTCCAGGAAGGGGGCGGCTCAGCCGCTGTTGGCGATACAATTTGATACTTTTTACTTTTTAAGCCCTCCCCTAGTACACACCCCTACATAATTTGGACAATATGGATAGTATGAATAATTTCGATAGGATGGATATTATGGATAATATAGATAATATGGATAATATAGATAATATAGATAATATAGATAATATGGATAATTTGGATAAAATGGATAATATGGATAATTTGGATAGGATGGATATTATGGATAATATAGATAATATGGATAATATGGATAATATGGATAATATGGATAATATGGATAATATGGATAATATGGATAATATGGATAATATGGATAATATGGATAATACGGATAATATGGATAATATGGATAATATGGATAATATGGATAATATGGATAATATGAATAATATAGATAAACTGGATAAAATGGATATTATGGATATTATGGATAATATGGATAATATGGATAGTATGGATAATATAGATAATATGGATAATATGGATGATATGGATAATATTAATAATATGGATAATATAGATAATATGGATAATATAGATATAATAAAGAAAACTAGAAATTCAAGGCGCTTCGCGCCCTTCTTTCTAACCTTAGAGGGCGCTTCGCGCCCATCTTCTAAATTAATTGTGAACAATGTTCTCTTTGTGTACATCGTAAAACAAAACAAAAATGATTCGCGGATTTTCACAAAAATTTCGTGGATTTTCAAAGTTTTAAAAAATTTAATGAAGATCGAATTTTGATTGAGACAAATATTTAAAATTTCAATCATTCATAAACCTTGGCTGGGGTCCCTAGATGTCCCACAAAAATTTGGGCCCGATCGGTTCAGCCGTTTTGACGTTTATTGGATATAAACAGACAGACAGACAAACAGACAGACAAGCCAAATTTATATATAGATATAGATAATATGGATAATATGGATAATATGGATAATATGGATAATATGGAAAATATGGATAATATAGATAATATGGATAATTTTGAATAATATGGATAATATAGATAATATAGATAATATGGATAATATAGATAATATGGATAATATGAATAATATGGATAATATAGATAATATGGATAATATTGATAATATGGATAATATGGATCATATAGATAATATAGATAATATAGATAATATGGATAATATGGATAATATGGATAATATGGATAGTATAGATAATATGGATAATATGGATAATATGTTTATGATTAAATGAATGTTCTTACTATCAAAGGAACACGAAGCATCTCTAGTTCTGGGGAAAGATTGAAAACTTCGTTTACCATCACTCCCTCGAAATTACAGTTTATCCTAAAATAAAAACGAAATAAATAATTATCTAATATTATATATATATATATGGTTTATGAGTAGCATGATACCAATTAACATTAAAGCGTGGATTTTTATAAAATCAATCCGATCTTGTAAATCTATCATATACATATATTGTATATCTATCATATACATATATTGTATATCTATCCTATACATATATTGTATATCTATCATATACATATATTGTATATCTATCATATACATATATTGTATATCTATCCTATACATATATTGTATATCTATCATATACATATATTGTATATCTATCATATACATATAATATCTATCCTATACATATATTGTATATCTATCATATACATATATTGTATATCTATCATATACATATATTGTATATCTATCATATACATATATTGTATATCTATAATATACATATATTGTATATCTATCATATACATATAAAACAAAGTAATCTCTGCAGCTGTGTTTTTATCTGCAGTGTTTTTTTTTTACTTAACTGATTCTATTTCTATGCAACCTGATGGTTATAAGATAAAGCAAAAGTTATAGCTTGCTGAATAAAAATCCTGCGACATCAGGTTGCCAAGATATAAGAAAATAAATTAGAATTTATGGTAAATTGTTAAACTTCTTTACCTTGGAACACATTTCATAGCACTTGGACATTGAGTGAAGGGTTTCTGATCTGCAGGTACAAAATTCTAATCAAGAAATTCACTTTTAAAACAATTTAAGGATTATTTGTGATTTTTCTGGGGAGTAGGAAGACATTTTAGCAATCTTATGTGGATTTTATTATCATACAGTCGTCATCGTAGCTGCCAATAAGCAGCTTCTCTTTGTTTTCTTCTAAACTTGTAATTTGAAAAAGCTGGTTAGAAATGAAAAATTTGTCTTCGTTCTATTGATATAAACGCCGACCAGTGTGAACCCCTATACTAGCATAAAAATCAACTGATTAGGTGAAATTGCTGTGCTTCATGTTCATAGATTAATAAAAACCTTTTCTTTAGTTTAACAGTCGTCTAGCTATCCCACAGTTTTATGGGTCCCACTGTACCTGTTGTGATTGCTGTTGTACAGGTCTTGGTTGTTGTTGTACAGGTTGTCTAGGTTGTTGTTGTTGTTGTACTGGTCTAGGTTGCTGTTGTACAGGTTGTCTTGGTTGCTGTTGTTGTTGTTGCACAAATGGCTGTTGTTGAGAAGGCTGAGCTTGTTGTTGCTGAACAGGCCGAGGTTGTTGTTGTTGTTGTTGTTGTGGTTGAACAGGTCTTAAATAATTTTATGTCATTAAGAATGCGGTCCTTGTAATTTCATTTAATATTTTCTGCATAGTATCTCACTAAACATTTATTGAAAAATATGACCCTTTAAATATATTTATTGAAGCAGTAATCATAAAATAGCCCAAGTCATGGCATCTCCAAAATGTGGTCTGTCCATTTTTTAAAATTATCCGAGATATGAAGAATTTGTTTGAATTTTGATTTATTGAGTAAAGCCAAATTTTTCTAAACATCCAATAGCTTTGCTATTTTTCAGGTAAAAAGTAGGTAGACCAAATTACAGAAAGATTTTAATACGTGCAACTTTTTTATATATATAGGTACAGATACATATCTTATCATATTATGATCGTTTACAGCTCTAAATTAAGATTAAAGGGACTAATCAGAAAATTAAAAAAATTAATCATCAAAAAATGTATAACATAAATATTTTCTTGTAGAAAATACCAGGTATTTCGAGCATTATGTACACATTTTGGCGTTAAAGCTTGGAGGTAATCTAATATTTTATTGGATACTCTGTACTTTATCATTAAATAGATATCAAAGACAATATTCAGAAGTCGTCTCTCAATTATCGTATTTAGTCGTACCTGGGGTTTGGAGGCTGTACCGGTGAAATTGATCCTAAATAAAGATTTGATTTTAGGTCTAAAAATATATTCAAAAAATAAATATTTTCGTGCAAGACAACATTTAAAAGCACATGCATAATTACCATAGTAAATTACCAAAATCAGTTCGACCTATTGATCTTATTTTCTGAATTTCTGATAGGTAGCGATGGGCAACAGCTATATTCGTTATACAGAAACTTTTATTATTTTTAGACTTTTTAAAAGTTTTACGACAATCTGAGAAGGGTTCAACGTTTTAAAATTGTATTCTGTAGAAGTTTGCTTTTATCCAACATGCAAATTTGTTATCCTAGGTGAAAATAAAAGGTAAAAACGAACCAAAAACCGAAAAACTATCGTTTTAAAATGATCGATGTTGCTTTCTAGGGTAAAGAATTTGCATGTTTGATAAAAGCAAACTTCTACAGAATAAAGTTTAAAATGTTGGAATTTTCTCAATTGTCGTAAAAACTTTTAAAAGTCTAAAAACCATGAAAGTTTCTGTATAACAAATCTGGCTATAACCCATCCCTATAAAAGGCTTTATCAGCTCAACAATGCACTTTTAAAAGAACTTATACTTTTGATTCACCAGGAGAAAAAGTTTATATTTTAGAGGACATATAAAAATACACTCACTTATTGCCTTGTAAATGAACAAAATTGCCTTTACTTCTAAACAAAATTGCCTTTACTTCTAAACAAAATTGCCTTTACTTTTGAACAAAATTGCCTTACTTTTTGAACAAAATTGCCTTACCATTTGAACAAAATTGCCTTACCTTTTGAACAAAATTGCCTTACCTTTTGAACAAAATTGCCTTTACTTCTAAACAAAATTGCCTTACTTATTGAACAAAATTGCCTTACCTTTTGAACAAAATTGCCTTACCTTTTGAACAAAATTGCCTTATTTTTGAAAAAAATTGCCTTATTCAAAATTGCTTTACCTTTTAAATAAAACTGCCTTACCTTTTTATAACAAAACTGCCCTACCTTTTGAACAAAAATAGAATTGTTCAATGTTGTGTATCAAGGGTTGCATATTAATATATTTCCTCTGTTTAGTATTCTTAATGGAAGAATGGTATCTGAAGGTAGAATACAGAATACTCAGAATAAGATTTCAAGGCTAAGATTAGGTTTCCAATGGAGAAAAACTTTCGCGAAAATTTTCTTTCGTATTTCGCAAAATTTCGCAATAATTAATTCTGCGACAGCCGACAGGAAGTGAAAACGAGGCGGAATTTCACGAAAAATAATTTGCGAAAAAAAATTTCAAACATAAAAAAATCCGCAGCTAATCTATAGTGTTAATTGCAGCTGCAACAATCTATTGCGCAAAAAAAAGAATGAGGAAAGATGCGAAATTTTCGCGAAAATTTTTTTATATTTCGATGGAAACCCTAGCTAAAATACAGTAAGAACCAGATATCTCTGGAATAGGAAGACGACTTCTAGGCGCTCTCAAGTTGTCCAATGAACACTTGAAACACGGCAATTTGCAGACCATTTCAATTAATATATGATTTAATAAATTATTAGTATAAACTATCTGCATTACAACAAGATAAAATAAACCTAAGTATTGTAATAATATCGTCTTCCTGGTTTTCTGGTTCTCACTATGGTCGGCTAGAACATTCTATAATAGTGTTCATGAGAACATTTCTTTTTTCTTTTGTTCAGAAATAAAGGAAACCCTTATTATTGTAATCTAAATCATGCACGGGTAACCGCTAAATCATAAAGGGACAGTAGATGTAAATGAAAGTAAACCTCCATTTAAAGATTGGCATGTTAGATTCACAACGATACTCTTTAAACCTTTGTAGGATCAAGGAGGATGCAGATATAAATTTTTTATCGCACTCTTAAAAACCGATTTCGACATAGAATATTCTGAATTAAAGGAATTTTCTAGGTATGGGAATTTGTGACTTCATTCACAAAAAGTTGACACTGAACACTGTAAATAAGAAAAAATAGGATTTCTCTGTTGCAGATGAGTTCACTGGAAGGCATGCATTATTTTTTTGATGCAGAAAATATGTTTGTTCATTCGGATTTTTCTCAAAGCATTGAGCAAAGCTTGAAAGCGGAAATATAACATATGGATCAATAAAGTAAAAGGAAAAATAAGTGGTTTAAAAACTGATTAACATAATGATAAAATCAAGTGCTGACTATTGGCCAGCCAACATGCTATAAACACAGAGATGAAAGCAGCATAGCTTGGTACATCAATATATGGCAAATGAAAGCAGGAGCAGAGGTTTCCTCTTCACCCCACCTGAATTTCCTCTGTACCCGTTGGAGCAACCATCTCCATTTTGGCAACCTCCATTTAGACCTGCATTATTTTGACAGCCACCACTTTTCCCACCGCCATTGGGTTGGCAACCTCCACTGTTGCCTCCATACCCATTGCTATTGGACGAGGCCCCAACTCCGAGATTAGTGTTAACACCAGGGGCTTGGTTGCTGTTTGAGTTTGTTTGGCCCTTGTGTCCAGAACCACCATAGGATTTTCGACCACCACTGCTGTTCCCAAGGTTGTTAAAGCTACTGCCTTGATTACTATTTGCACCATTGTTAGGTTGTCTGTTACTCCCTTGATTATTATTTACACCATTGTTAGGTTGTCTGTTACTCCCTTGATTATTATTTACACCATTGTTAGGTTGTCTGTTACTCCCTTGATTATTATTTACACCATTGTTTGGTTGTCTGTTACTCCCTTGATTATTATTTACACCATTGTTAGGTTGTCGGTTACTGACAGGCCTATTTACATTGTTGCTTGACGCTGCCTTTTGAACATTATTAGGGCTGCTGTATCCAGATCCACCATTATTTCCTTGGATCCCAGAGTTACTGATACCAGGATTTCTATTGCTGTCGCCTTGATTGCTTTTTACGCGATTGTTGGGTTGAACATTATTTCCCGGCCTGTTTCCATTGTTATTTGAGGCTGCATTCTGACCATTAAATCCATTCCCAGAGGCTATATCATTGTTGTTGTTTGAGGGGGTAGATTGTCCCCTGGCATTTACTTGTGGCACAGGAAGACCTGGCCTCACTCCTTTTTTAGCAAATAAATGATAAAGATTATAAAACTTAAAAACAAGAATATAAATCAGATTCAAGGAAACACTGGTATTAATATATATATGATTATCATGATCCTACCTTGACCCTGGCAGACATTAGAACACCCATCAAAGCAGCACAGAGCGTTATCGATACAGTCAACATCAGTTTGACCTTTCACAAATTAGATTTGAAAATATTTACTCAAATAGCGACTGTTTACTTTTTCTTCTGATTGCAAAGCTATTAGCATCTTAACTATGAATGCAACTTACCAACACTCCAACAGTTGGAAGCACGTCCCGCGCACTGTTCAACCGGTGGAATATTATTTACTACAGGGCATGATCCCTAAATATTATGATATTCATGTCAGAATTTGTAGAATCTAGACAGAAGAGCCTATATAAATGGCCATTGCTCTTGAACAACAATCCAGGGGATGTTTTTTATTTGATAATAAAGTGATTCTTATTTTCTTACGGAATTATAATCAAGAATTTCATACAGAAAGATAAAGAATCAGATAAAGCTACAAGAAAAGTATACTTTCTTATTTATTTCTAGATTTGTTTACAAAAAGATGGCAATGGTACAATGGTACTCTTCAAAGGTTGTAACTTAAATCTGTTTATTTTCATTTGCGTTTTGTCTGTAAGAGCATTTTTTGCTTACAAGAATAAATGAAGAAATTTTTAGAATTTTTAAGGGAACCTTAGAAAAATGGGCATTAAAAAATCTTTGCATGTAGGGTCATTTGAAATTACGCTTACAGTTCCCTTAAAAAGGTTTGTTTAAAAACCTTAAATCTTTGGTGTAGTTCAGAATAGGGTGTACAAATCCAAATCAATTTTGAAGATCAAAATCAATTACCTGGTTAGGTGAGTTAACTAGGCCTTGTGTGGCAGGCAGTACACTTCCTGGAAGCACAAGATTAGCTGAGCTTACACTTTCGCTAGTTTCAAGTTCAGAGTCAGCTGACTCGGATAAATCAGATGATTCATTTAAGTCAGCTGATTCCGACCCGTCAGCTAACAAAACAGCTGTTGTATCAGTCGAGGTAGGATAGTCAAGAGATTCTACTTGGTTACAACATACTTCAAGCTGCCTGGTTATCTGGTTCATGCACGGCTTCCGAAAAAATGCTTAATTAGGCGCTGCGATGCAATAATGTTAAAAAATGTGATTGTTTAATTTGATTAAAAATGATTCAAAATCTTACAATGAGCTTTTTTCTTAAATCTTGATCTGCTAGTGAGAGCTGAAGGGGGCTTGTTGTAACTTCTGTATTATTATCACAATAGTTACCAGACACACAAAGCATACCTTTAAAAATGGAAAATAGGAAGAATATATGGATTTCTTTATTCTTTATGTTCTTAAATTTGATTACCAGCAGGACATTCTGTTGTTATTAGATCTGGGAGCTCTGATTCCGGATTAATGCTATTACTGGACGGATTTACAGTGTCTGGTAAGATTAGATCCTAGTCGAAGAAGAGCACACTATCAAACTATTCATGTGGAAAATACAAATAAGTTTTAAAAGAAAGCATGGAAATTAAGAGAATATGTGGTAAGATTAGAGATGGGCATAGTTTTTTCAAACGAACAAAATTTTTGGCGAAAGAGGGTGTCATTTATAATAAAAGAAGATGGACAAACAAAATGGATCATTCAGAGAAATGAAAAATTAACGTTTTTTAAAAACAAACTTGAATAAACTATTGGTTTTTACTCTAAGAACAAATTTTAAAAAAGATTAGAAAAAACTATCGTTTTTAACAACAATTGTCGGAACAAACTTTTTAAAAAACAATAATTTTTTAATGAACAAAGATTTTTTCTAACAAATTAAAAAACATATTTTTTTTTCACTGAACAAACGATTTTATTGAACTAATAATTTACTGTACGAAGAGTTTTACTGAACAATCGTTCAGTGAGAAAACGAATGAAGTAAATGGAAAATGAATGATAATTTTGAGAACAAACGAAATCAATTTTTTTTGAATAAGTGAAAAAACGAAAAGGGTAGTTTATGAATGATGAACAAACGAAATGAAAAAGTCAAACGTGCCTATCTTTAAGTAATATGACTTTATGCCCTTTCCTCAGATTTTTCAGGTTGGCTGGGGGTACAGCATACCTCATTTACTCCACAATCTTGAAACTAAAGACAAAATATTTGAAAAAATTCAACCCTTTTTTGGAAGTGTGCATTTTTAGAGCTTCTTCTTTTTAAAGAATTTTCCACCTTTAAACAACCTCTAAACTGTTGAACTAAAATTAAAAATATAATAATGATTTAGGGCATAGGTGTCTGGGCATTGGCTCAAACCTTTTAGAATGAAATTCAGTGACCGGAAATTGAAGGAAATAACATTATTAAGAATCAATAAATGCACACAGTCCCTTTATTAAGAAAAATACCCACACTTGCTACCCTGGGAAGAATTGCCCCTTCAGGGGGGGTCCAACATTCATTTTGGGGGAGACAGGAGAGGTCTTGTGGACAGGGGCTAAAGTTATCTAAATAAAATTCAAATCTTTATTATCCAATCATCGTTTTAGATATTAAACTAACTTCTGATATGGAGTATTATCAGGTGTAGTAAGTGCTCCTTTATCTATTTTTTAAGTTTTTAGTTAGACTAGAGTGTAGTTTGTTATTCAATGTTATTCAATGGGTTTGTAGTGAGAATTTTTTTTTGTCCTATATCGGGTTTTTAAGTTACATGTTATTATTTCGATGTTTATAATCTGATATGTTAAAAGAGGATTGACACAACTCAAGAAAAGCGTGTGATTGACATTTGTTGAAAACTTGTATTTGATAGATAAACAGAGGGGGTCAAAACAGTTAGCTCACTGACTGAATTGCCGCAAAAAGATTTGATTTTTTTAATTTTCATGAACAGTCCTTCATTCTAAACCTTTCCTTTATTTTATCATTAAGTTTATGGTAGAAAAACTGGCGGGAAAAATCAAATTTGCATAATTTCAAAGTAAGAGTATTCTAAAAAAGTATTTTTTTTGTAGAAACCAATTTCTCTAGAATAGCTTAAATTGCATTTAATTGATTTCACTGATGGAAAAATGTACTCTAAACTTTTTGTCATAAAACAAATTTTTAAGAAATTCTAAACTTTTATTCATTGTTAAGAAATTCTAAATTTTTATTTAAATAAATTTTTTATTTCATTTAATTTTTTCCATGGGTTTTATCTGCATTACATTAGATTTATTATAGTTTACGCTTAAAGTGTAATTTTTTCTACAGATTTTCTCAATTTTCATTTAGCATTTAGCTTTACAAAAAAAGAAATAAAGGGTTTTTAAAAATCCAGGACGTGCCCAGTCCTAATGTAAAGACGGACATGAACCCGGATCTAGGTTTGGTTCTTCTACCCGGCGAGGCAGGGAATCCTAAACCCACATTTCAATTCTTCTCATAACTTAAAAATTGCAAAAACTTGCACAGAGGCAGTGCCAAAACATGCATTATGGAATTGCAAAAATCATGCAAACTGCAACCAAGCATTGCAAATTTTTCACTGAAAAAATAAAAAAAACCATTATTCCAGACAAACCATCATTCTTCTTGGTTTCTTTATTCACAGAGATTGTAAAGAACTTCACAGCAACAACATTTATATTATATTGTCACAGAAAAAGATAAAGATAAGAAATAAGTTCAAATATCCGAATCAGAGAATAGAGAAATAGTTTAGAGAGGAAATAAGATCTAACACCCAATTACAGAATTGAGAGTTTTATATAGAGAGGAAATAACAACCAAACAAAAAATAGAGATATAATATATCTCTATATCGCTATATTTATCTATTTTGCTATATTTCTCTTTATCACTATATTTCTCTATATCGCTGCACAATGAACTAAGCTTTCAGTGTGTACTGCAGTACTCTGACTGAAGAAATAGTAGGGCTGATATTTCCCTATATCCCTATATTTCTATTTTGGTACATTTCTCTATATGCCTATATTTCTCTATATCGCTGATATTTTAAGATATAAAGCTGTAAGAAAAGTAAACAAAGAAAACACAAAATGTGCATCTAAGGACCAGGGGGTTTGCAGGGGGGGGGGGGGCTCTCTCAATTCTCGAAATAGAAATACTAATGATTAATGATGGGAGAATACTTGAGTACACTTTAAAAGATATTTTATTTTATTATTTTTTCTTGATTTAAGAAACATCACCTACTTTATAGATGAGGATTAAAAAGAGTTTTATATATTCCTTTTCCCCCCTAAAAAATACACTTTTTACAAGAACGGGAAATCCACGCCACCCTGCCCTCTAATCTGTAGTCAAACAACCATTAATCAAATACAAGTGGAGAAAGAAAATTAAACAATAACACTCACAATAAATACATTTCCGTTTAGACAGAGAAATATTTCTCATCATTAAGTTTTTTGGCTGAAATTGCAATTAATTTGATTTATTAAGAATTCAAGTGCTGCGCAGAGAAAGGTGTGCCGTGCAGGAACCGAGACCAGAGCGCAGTAAACCAGAAAATGCCGCAAGTTTAGTAAAGTCACGTAAAAATTGATGGACTCATGGTTTCTGTTAATAATAACTTGTGTAAATAAGCATGCAACCGTCTACAGTTCAATCTTTTGAAATGAAAAATGAAAACAAAGAGATATCACGGCAAACTAAAGTAAATTTATACCAATTGTCTTTTACAAAAGAAATTTATTTGTGGTGAAGATTTTTTTGGAAATAAATAATTTGAGTGTACCTCTAGATCCCTAGACCAGCTTTACCTTCAAAACTTCCCTCAAAAATATATGACTATCGTTTTCCAGATAAAATTGGTTTGAAAACCTATGGGTTCCCAATCTTTTCCGGATTAATTCCAGAAAAAAAAGACATTTCAGGAACCAGATTTTTTATTAAAACTTACATTGCAGGTATTTTTTTGTAAATGAACTGGATACTTGTTACAAAATATAGCTTTATCATTCCAATATCTTTTCAACCCATCTGTTAAGTGTACAATACCTTTCTGTAAATAAACTGTTTATAATTACTACACATTATCTAATCCTCAGGTAAAAAAACCTTACCTTGATTTCCCTGGAAATTATTTCCTGGATTATTCTGCTGGAAACTATTTCCTGGTTGTTGATAATTGTTTCCTGAGTTTTGATAATTATTTCCAGGCTGCAGGTTGGTCCCACCTTGTTGATTATTATGCGCCTGTACGTAAAGTTCTTTAGGGTACAATCAAGCAATTTAAAGGGACTGTAAGCGTAATTTTAGGTAACCCTCCATGCCGAGATCGTAATACCCAACTTACAACAGTACCCTTGAAACCATTTTCTGATCAATAATGCGGAAGATATTGCTGTTTTTCTAGATTGAAAACTATTTATTTATGAAAATTTACTCTTTTTTTTCTATAACGGAATTCCGCAGGTTACTGTACAGGATCGAACCACAGTAAAAAAATCAATTTTCATGCCTTTCTGTAAATTGAGAGTCACTTGAAATTAGGTCTACTACAGTCTTGTTAATTAACAGATTTGGTTGAAATTAGGTCTCTTGTTAATTAACAGATTTGGTTGAAATTAGGTCAACTATAACAGTCTTGTTAATTAACAGATTTGGTTGAAATTAGGTCTACTACAGTCTTGTTAATTAACAGATTTGGTTGAAATTAGGTCTACTACAGTCTTGTTAATTTTAAAGATTTGGTTGAAATTAGGTCTACTACAGTCTTGTTAACTTACAGATTTGGTTGAAATTAGGTCTACTACAGTCTTGTTAATTTACAGATTTGGTTGAAATTAGGTCTACTACAGTCTTGTTAATTAACAGATTTGGTTGAAATTGATGTTATACCTAAACTATTGGTCACAACATTTAAAAGCATGAACATGAGGTCAAATTTGTATTGATGACACAACTTTGTGTTCTCGTAGCTCCTCTAGTGTTTTATTTTATGTTCAAGTATGAGAAAAGCAAATGTATTTAATGATAAATCAGAAATTCAAAACAATTTTGATGTTTTCAGTAGTTCTTCTTTTTGCCACAGAGCATTTATGATTTGTAAGTTCTAAATATACCAATAGTCGGCAATAAACGACTACGAGTCTAATTATATTACTTCAGTCTAAAAATTATACAAAACAAATATAAAATCGATGGATCAGTTTTCCCTGAATTTGCTAAATTTGACATGAATATGTGAAATGTTATGTCCAAAATAGATTTAACTTTTAAGGTATTTTTTTTTCTTTATTGAAATAATTCAATTCGCTCTTTTTGATTTAAATTTTAAAAATTGCAAAAATAAGATTTCATCATTTTATGTGATGTTGATGTTAGATAAGCAGTATTTTTCATCTATAAAATGATAAACTTTCATGGACATCTGGATATTTCACAGACCGGGGTTCCCCAGGGGAGGGGGGGGGGGGGTGGTACAAAATATATCAAAGCGTATTTTTCCATTTTTTCCATGTTTTTCCAACATTTCTTGGGTTTTGTATATTTTTTTGGTTTCCTTTGAGAAGTAACCAAAAACTGTGAAATGTTAGTCATCTTTTTTCAACTTCTTTTTTTTTAAACAGTAAAAAAATACGACATTCTTAGCAATATTTTCTTAGTAATATAAAGAATATATACCGACAAAATGGCTGGTAACCACTGTACTTAGAAAATGTAGGGTTTTAAGATAAATTCAATTGTTAATTGATAATTGAGTATCTTAGTTTTGCCCTTGTATTAATATGTAAATTCTCATCTAATGATTCCGTATTCCCATTTTTGCTCTTAAAAACACCATTTAAAGGTCTAAACGGAACAAATGATAGGATTCTTCATGTCATTGGCAGTCTTTAAAGCTCGAAAAAAATGGTAGGATATCACAGAAAAAAAGCATTGAAAATATTATCTTGAGCATAAAACGATGAAAAATGATCAAAAATCATGCTTTTTCCGGTTCGTTTTGCCAATTATTGAGTGAAATATACAAGCTAGAGAATAATGCAAGAATGCAAAACATGCCAGTCTTACTGCAGAATCCGACCCTGTGTTTTGTTTCTTCTGTTTAGACCTTTAAATGGTGTTTATATGAGCAATTGACAAAAACACGATTACGGAATTATTATATGAGTATTTGTATAAGAAGACAGGGGCAAAACCATAATACTCAATTATCTTTTAATGCTTTACACCAACTAATTCGTTCTCTTCATGAATCTGTTACCTAAGGTACCTGGGAGAACCCTGAAAGGTTAGATTTTAAATTTAAATTAAATTTATCTTAAAAACTTACATTTGACTAGTACTGCACTTTGTAAAAAATAAAGTAAATGAGTTAAACAAAGTGTATAAGGGAAATAAAGCTTTAAAAAGAAATATTAAATCAATGAAAATTCAGTAATATGGAGTCAAATAGATTAGAAACAGTGTTGAAAGAATAAGTTTTGACTGAAGAATATTTGGGACTAACTAAAATTTATATTTTTAATTAACTCAGTAATATAAAGTACGTCTTCCATTTCCTTCTTTTCACGAATTTAAACTTCAAACAACTGTTTAAAGGGTATTGGTTTTATTTCAAGAGATCCTTCATTTTTAAAGTTGTATATTCGATTCACAACGGTACCCTTAACAGCTTTGTCTGGTCAAGATTGGATTAGATAAATTGAAAACTAATAAATTATTGTAACCTTTAAAAGTGACCTGCGTATTTCGGATGCAAAAAAAAACAATAATTATTAGAATTAAATCCTTTTCAAGCTAGTAAAACGATGTTATCTTCCACATTATTGATCAGATAAAGGTTTCAAGGGAACCATTGTGAATCGGGCATGCACCTCTGTGCATGGAAGGTCACTTGAAATTACGAAGACAGTCCCTTTAACATATTACTGAATTAACAGCTTTTCCTTGGTTCAAAAATGATAAACAATATAATATATTATTTGTGGCCTGTTTTATAGAAATTACCCAAACAAAATTTAAATGTTCATCATTTTTTGTGTGTGATATTTTTGCTTTTAAGAACTTTTCCCTTGTGATTGTTATTGTTTTGAATATTATTCCCTGCTCCCCCGTTGTTAAAAGCTCCTGAGTTCATCCACCAATATTTTCCATCTCCTGACACATATCCTGACCCACACACCAGGAGCAGTACAACTGGAAATACAAAATATTAATAGGAGGTAATTAATGTTCAAGATACTTTGATAACCAGAAAACTCTGAAATAGAAAGACGACTTTTAGAATAAAATTATAGATTCAATGAGCACAGCACAGAAATTGTGCAGTGGAAACAGACCTATTTTACAAAATTAGTGATTTAATAAGTGTCTAGTGTCTTCCTATTCTATTGTTTTCTGGATATCCCTGTAGTACTCTAAAAAAAGGTTCATGACTCCAAAACTCAGGTCTTTATATTTCCATTGACATTTTCTCTTAGGATTGAGAACATTTGCATTTGTCTTCCAAGATTGTTTTAAAGATATTGTTCTCATAGACCTTTTTTTGAACACTTTCTTAGATTTTTCTAAACAGAGGGGATAGGATGGTTTGTTTTAACATTTTATTGTGATTTTGGAAAATTATGATGAACGGGACAACTTTATGTTAGGTCAAATTGTAGGATCTAAGGTTACAAAGATTTAGAGATTAAAATATTGGAGTGCCAGGCAAGTCTCCGATTCGGTTTTATTGTTTTAATAATACACGATTCCGCTCCTTTCTTTCAAAGATTTTTTAGTTATAAAAACATATTTTTGAAATTACTATTGTTCCCCCCATTCACCACTTTATCTAATCCTAACACTATTGTTTTCCGGGGTAATACCCAGAAAGGATGAAACTTTTAAGACGACCTAAAAATAACATATTAAATGTTAATTTAAGTTTCTGCCTTAAATATAAAAACAGACAGTATAAATTTCGTAAAGTCGTCTATAAAGTCTCATCCTTTGTGGGCATCCCTGTATAGTCTACCTGCTGAGAGTAGTTGCATGGTTGAGTGTTCAACGTAGACTGATTTCTTTAACCGCGACACTTCTTTATATATATATACTTATAGATACAAATATACACTTTTATATATATATATATACATATATATACATATAAATATACTTATAGATACAAAAATACTCCTGTAGTCTACTTTGATAATGACAAATCACAAAACTCATAAGACAGCTAACAGTACAAATAAAAAAGAAACTGCTCACATTCAATTAATTTTTAATTATTTGAGGTCAGGGTGAACACATCTTTACTTTTTTGAATAAAAGTTTTAGTCATTTCATATAGAAACAACAATTTTGTCTTATTTTACGAAAAAAATCCGATTTCTAATAAAAAAATTAATTTTATAATCCCTATATTTTTGCATCTGATGTCGAAGACCTTTGGTAATTCAAACTGTAAATTTATATTATATTATAAGCAGTTTAGGATTAAAATAATTTTTAAAATCATAAATGGAGCATAAAAGTCATCTTCGTATTCCAAAGTTTTCTGGTTCTCACTGTATTAAAGATCAAGGTAATAGAACTTAAATCAGAGTTATAAACCTTTAAAGAAAAAGTTAAGCGTAGCATTAAAACAAATATTTGAGGCCCCAATTTATTGATTACAAATGTGAAATTTAAATTTACATAAACAATCTCAAATATTAATTAAACTTAAGTTAACTATTTAAATAATTTAAATAGTTTTTTTGATTTTTTTGGTGTTGGAGTCTTTCTGCATTCTACAATGTTCATAGTATACTGTACAGTGAACAGCGTACAATGAACAGTGTACAGTGTAAATCGAATAGTGTACAGTGTACATCGAATAGTGTACAGCGTACGTTGAACAGTGCACAGTGCAGAAAAAAATCGGTCAGCTGTACATGCTTTTGAACAGTGTACCAGTACAGGACAGCTTGTTATACAGGCACATTGCACATTTTACGCTGTACAATATTTCAGATTTATTTTATAATTATCTCATGGTTAGTTTGTCATCCTAAATTTACATTGTTCGACAATGACGTAAGAAAACCTCAGTTATGATTCATCATCTTCTTACAGATTTTTATTTTACTAAAAACTCCTCTGCGTTAAATTATTAAATACCAGCGGAATTTCCATACAAAAGATTATTTAATTTAATTTGATTAAATGAAGAACTTTTTGTAAACTAAATTAAATCTGTAAAAATACGTTAAACTCATTCTCTTTTCTGTCATTGATTAAATCTTAGAAACCGTCTTATAGCCATTAAGCATTGCAGGTATTTGTCTTCTTAGAAGAGCAAACATTTTTTAACAATTTAAGTGTATATTTAATAAAGATAGTTTTAGTTCACATTTTTTACTTACTATTTTTATATACAAACATGTTACATTTAGAAAAAGCAAAAATTGAAAGATTTTATTTTTCTTTTTTTTTACGAATTTGTTACTTTCAGATTTGGTTCACGTTTTCTGGATTGTTTCTACCAAGATTAAAAAAATCGGCCAAGACTAAATTCTAAGAAGAATAAATATTATTTAAGTCTAGTTTAAACCAAAACTAAACACAAAGGAAGAAACAATGACTAATTGTGGGCTGGGTCATGCTTCACAGTTTCTGGGTTACAATTAAGGAGGGGGGGGGGGAGAATATTCAGAAAGAGTAGGTTAAGTGAAAGAAAAAAATATAGTTATTGAAGATAAATGGCGTGAAGTGGCAAGAAAAATGTTAAACTACTCTTACAAGGGCCCTTTTCAGAAGGAGGCAAACTTATTGAACCCCCTGCACTTTAACTTAAAGGTCTCACGCTCTCAAGCAAAAATCAATGAGAATTTTGCCACTTACTTCTTAAAAACCAAAGCTAACTACAAGTGCTTTATAGTGCTAAAATGTGCATGTTGAGGGCTACAGAAAACAACAAGTCAGTTAGAGCGGTAAAATTTAAGCCCAAGGCGTTGTTACACTTCACAGTTGATTCTGTCTAAAAAATTGATGAGACTTTTTATAAGCAGGCTGAATCTATGTGCCTGGATTTTAACCTTTATCCAAGAATCCCAAGGAGGGATTGCAAATCAGGAATACACAAAGAGTATAGAATATATATTAGAGGGGAATTTACTAGAAAAAAGTGTAAAACGGCCATTTTGTTGTACTGTTTCCATACTGCAGGTGTACTTCACATATTTGCGCTATATAACCTTTTGGGCCCTGGAACATAATTTTATAGAAAATCTAAAATTAATATTAAAAGAAAACCAAATTATAAAATAGGCTGGTTTCATAATTGACCAATGATCATTTCATATAGACTCTATGCCTTTCACTTTGCAAACGATGATTTTCCATTATAACTATAAATCAAATGATGTTTTTTATTCACCTAATTCATTATGAAGTTGATTTAACAGCTTTAAAAAATTCGAAATTGAATCGGATAGTCTAGGGAACATACTGTATTAACTATTAATGTACTCTACTGCATATCATCTGTGAACATTTACATGGTTTGTACACTTTGAACTCCCTTTCAGGCTGAAAGGGACTGACAAGATTCATACCGAAGGATTGTCTAAATTCCACTCTTATATATATTCTATTCTCTTTAGGAATACATCAATACTTTATTTCGTTTTCCCAATAATAATGCTTTTGAAAAAAGGTTTTATGATTGAAAACAATCTAACGTGTGGAAAAATATGTTACAAATGGCAAATACAGTTTAACTCAGAACTTCGGAGGATTCAACAGATTTTATAAAATGTCGTCTTCTTAACCAACTGAATTTTTCACATTTAGTCTTTTAATTGAATAGTTGCATTGAGCTTTTTTAAACTGTTTCCGCATATTTAAAAGCTATTTATTTATTTTTACAATTACTGAGATTTAAGTATCTCCGAAGTTCTTGGTTAAAAACTTAAACTGTATAAAAATTATAATTTTGAAAATGATTCGTTGATATGGCTGATATAGTTGATATAGTTGATATAGTTGATATAGTTGATATGGCTGATGGTTCTGCCTGACATTTTGGTTTAAACTGTCAAACATTTAAATGAATTGACGGAGGGGAACTTAACTTTAAATATTCATAATTTCTTCTTTCAAATTATAAATATATAATTCCTATAAGAGTGGCAGGAAGAACACTGAGTCTGACAGCCTAGTTATTATTTATTTGTAAATAAATTTGCGATGTATATACTTTAAAATGCACTTTGACCGTCCAAATTTAAGAACTTTGTTTGCATTGATGGATTCCCAAAAATTATTTAATTGACATTTTACCTTGGCAAATTTTTTAAATTCTGACCAGACTTAAAATAATCACTTAAAATTTGAGCCCGATTGGTTCAGCAGTTGCGTAGTATATTGAAAGATAGACTTCAAATTTCCGATAAGATAAGCATTATGCCACGACAGACCAAAATCCTCTTGCAAAATTTAATAAGAACCACTAAATTTATTTTAGCGAAAAGGCAAAATTTTATTTTTTATTTTTTTGCAAACATTTGTTTGTACAAATAATTAAATCTTAGGCACCACAATAAAAGATAAAATTTGGACCGACATATTCAATAGAAGTCAAATCCACTAAGAAATATTCAATGTAAACTCAGGTTCATTTGAAATACCGTACTTACCAAATGTATCATCTCTTTCCTGTGAGATTATTGTTTACATATAACAAAGTACAAACTATAACGGGAATTACCACACAGAATGAGATCTGAATTTTATGAAACCCCATGCAGCGGCCTAAAGGTTAAATTGTAACAAAAAATATTGAATAAAATACTTCGTGGGAAATTTCTATTTATTTACGGTCAGGAATATAAATGGGAAGGAAGATTAGGAATATTAATAGGAAGGAAGGTTAGGAATATTAATGGGAAGGAAGATTAGGAATATTAATGGGAAGAAAGATTAGGAATATTAATGGGAAGGAAGATTAGGAATATTAATGGGAAGGAAGATTAGGAATATTAATGGGAAGGAAGATTAGGAATATTATTTGGAAGGAAGATTAGGAATATTAATGGTAAGGAAGATTAGGAATATTAATGGGAAGGAAGGTTAGGAATATTATTTGGAAGGAAGATTAGGAATATTGACGGGAAGAAAGATTAGGACTATTATATGGGAGGTTAGGAATATTATTGGGAAGGAAGATTAGGAATATTAATGGGAAGGAAGGTCAGGAATATTAATGGGAAGGAAGGTCAGGAATATTAATGGGTAGGAAGGTCAGGAATATTAATGGGTAGGAAGGTTAGGAATATTGATGGGAAGGAAGGTTAGGAATATTAACGGGAAGGAGGATTAGGAATATTAATGGGAAAGAAGGCTAGGAATATTAATGGGAGGAATAATAATGGGAAGGAAGGTTAGGAATATTAATGGGGAGGAAGTTTTGGAATATCAATGGGAAGGAAGGTAATAAATATTTATGGGAAGGAGTGAGATAACGGGAAATTAAAGGTGAAAGAAATGGGATTCCCCTTTCTATTAAACACTCCCTTGTGGAAGATGAGGACCCAGCATGACGCTGGTTCTTGGAACAGATTATCTTTTAAATATACTGAGACGTGTAAATGTCAACTGTGCTCCACCCCACTCCACACCAAACTCAGTTACAGGGTATTTCATAAAAAGTGCACTGTAATCAACACAAAACTAGTTAATATATTGATTACGAGTTTGATAATTCAGGGGAATTAGTACCAAAACTAACACTTGGCCCATTTATAACTGCACTGAGCGTTAGAATTGAGTCTTGTGTTATAGTTGAAACTAATGTCCCTTGGAATTGGGACATTTGATATTCTAGTTTTCTAGTTTTCTAGTTTTCTAGTTTTCTCAGTCTTCTATTTTCTTTTCGTTTTTAATTAAAAAGATACAACGACAAACAAGAGATTTTAAGCAAAATCGATCGTTTTGTCTTTAAAACGATCGCTTCGTCTTAAAAACAATAGTTTTACTTTAAAAACTGGTTTTGTTGTTGTTGGATTTTCAGCATCAGCTGCATCTTAAAAAATTGTTAATCTTTTAAC